TATTTTATTGTGTGCGCAAAAGTCATGTATGACTTATCGAAATTATTGTCAAGCTATACAGTCAGTTATTGCTTGTGCACTGCATCTGGCAGAGGAAAGCTATGTGCATATAGTGCTTTCTGGTAGGTATCATGCTATTTCCAGTAACTGTACTGTAATTATGTGTGCTCTACCACGCTCTCGATCCATCTTTTCTTTTTATTCGTATCGCTCACATTATAAATGATGTTATCTCTCTCTCACTGCCACAAACAAAGAAACAACACAACATAGCCCCAGCTTACGTTATATATACTCTCTTACACAAAAATTGATAGGAGGAGCATAAAAAACGAACCATGCATAGGAAAGTACATCTAGAAGCATACAAGTACACTTGGTGGTAACTGTCTTTTGCGGATACTCTCCGAAACTATTGGTTCTGATAAGATAAACAACAATACGCAAATATAGTCGATCTATAGTCGATCACAAGAAGTAGCCAAGAGCTCTCGTTGTCACTTTACAAAATACAAAGCCAATGACAGCATGTGTGAACAGTGTGTGTAACACAAACGAGCTTGACATTTTGGTGCTAGCCTTGCGCTACGCGGGAAAGCATGCATGATAGTAACCGTCAAGATTCCCGGAAGTAAAAAACGCGGCCCCAGCATCGCTACTACGGTAATAACAATTAACAGCGAACGTATTAAAACAGGTGTGTGTAGCTATAAAGCATCACCACTGCAACAGCAGCAGCAGGCCCGAAGATCAAGAGCAGAAACAGAAAGATAGCGGTTCCATCGTGTTGCGTTAGCTCGACCGCGCTTTTAACGCGTATGTAGAAGGACACGATCACTTTCCATCGTTGAAAGCGGTGAAGAGAATTCTGCTGCTCTCAGGCTGGACGTCGAGAATACTGTATTCAAGAAGCAGTAGAGCAACCTTACAGGCAACTTACATAATCTGCACAAGCACGCAACATCATCCAGACGATAAGACTTTAAAAGAACGAGCACTGCATCTCTTGGTCTGCCATCTAAGTTACTGATTGAACTCCAGAGCGTAAACGCGCAAGGTTTATAATTAAAGAGTGTAGGCCTTCCAAAATCTTTAACATGCCGAGAAGCGTGTAGGAATCAAGTCTGCTACTTGGATCACCGATTGCCAGTGCAGATCTCCCTTAAGACAATGCCACACATTAGCGAATTGAATGAAGTGTTTTCGCAGGAAGAGCTATCATGAACCCGGGGGCTCATTTATTATACTGCACAGTTCATAGCTGGTAGCCGCAGTCGCAAGAACTGCATGGGAGGCAGCCATCTTTGACTGTTCCGTATGCTTTCATGCGCCCGTTTTGGATAGCCTAGACCTTGTGTAACTTTAGTGTCGAGTAAAAGAAAAAACGCGTCTTTTTATACTTTAACAAGTCGAGACACTCCATGAGAGCCGTGTAGAAAGACGAGACTAATGTGTACGTGTAGCCTGGCGTGTGGACATTGCAAAGGGGAATGTCAGGTTGATTGCAATCCCAATGCCTTAGGAGATGGCAGACGCATTGCCCAATGTGCTTGTCGGTGTAACCTGGCATGGTCTGAATGGACAGGTGACCCTATCAACTTTCTTTTTTCCTTTTTGGATGGGGTGGGTGGGTCAGTTGAACAATTCGAAATGGAAGATTTCCAGCCATGTGACTTTGACCAATTAATTCACCACGAAACGCTCCAATCACGCGAATCAAAATGACGACGACGCGTGAAGGAGAACGCATACCGTGTTTCCATTTTCATTGCCATATAACCTAAGCAAGCCCGGCAGAAGCTGCCTTAAGTTGGTTACTGTGCTCGCCTTTTTCTATACACTGCAAGGAGTTGTATCTGCTTTGCATATGGTAGGCGTCGAACTACTTGAATATGAAGATGTAGTTATGAAAGAAGTTGCTTCCACTACACAAAATTTAAGTCAGGCACTGCCTTTTGCTGACTTTGAAGGACTACTATCATCACCTTCATCAACATCAACATCAACAACAACAAAGAAGAACGCGCCGCCTTTATACAAAAGAAGTTTTTGAGGGCCTGTTTTGATAAGAAAATATATTTTCATGAAGGGAACAAAATTACAGTTCCTAACCGCCATGAATTTAATACTTCTGCCAACATCTGAAATTTCTCTGCCAATCACGAAAAATCACACCACCAATCAAAGACCCCACCCCCCACGCCAAAGAAAAAAAATGAGCCGCCAATCAGTGATCAGCTTTTCGGAGGTGAAATGGCATGGCGGGTGGTGAGAAACGATGAAGGGTGGTGAGCGGCGGCATGTATTTCATTGAAATCTTTATATAATGGGTCTATCTGTTATTGTTCCAGGTAACTAAGTTACTCGTTAACTATCAGTAAAGTACCGTTTTTTTAAGTGATCTTCGATTTTTTTATAAGTCAAAGTGCTGCAATAGTATGATTACAGCAAGACCATTTAAGTATTGTATTATGGGTGTTTACATAATGGGTATTACTAGGGACACTCCAAAAAAGTGACTCGACACTCCATTTTTCCTCAAATAAACCAAATGGTTGCACAAAAATAAGCGGTTGCTCTATAAATATACTAACAAAGGACTATTAAGGAAGAGGAGTGTTTGGAGTGTCGCAATCGCAATGATGGCGTCGTAGGCGTTGAGCTTATGAAACTGTTTACTACTCCCATGACTGATAAAGTTACGAAGTGTCTATTACTCAAGTTGACAAGTTTATAAAAGAAAAAGGATGAATCCCCTTTTCTTCCTCTCTCCCTTTTCTATCAAGATGAACGCTACAAGAACAGATATCATACCATGGTCGATCATATTGGCACCAAATATGATTCGAAAAATCAGCTCCGAGCAAAGGTTCAAGAGATGACCCTAAAGAATCAGTTTGCAACATCCACCAAGCGCAGCAACAGTCGGAATATCTACATCCACTGTTGTGTTCATGGGGGTGCTACAGGAACTGTCATGACATCGACGATGAAGAACGTGAAAGACTGGTATCGACACAGAGGACCGGTTGTACTTGGGAGCTCTTTGGCTCATACATGCCGAAAATCAAAAAATGGGTGATTAAACGTGTCAGCAGCGCCGAACATCGAAAGCCAACAGCTGATATTGCCAGTCGCATCTTGTCAATGACAGAGAATTCTATCAAAGCAGCCAAGATTTGTCAAGAGTTACAAAACAACGACGAAGGCACAATCGTGACGATCAAGGATATTTACAAGAAATATTCAAGGACGACAAATCTGGTGCATAAAACTATTCAGCTTCTTGATCAGCAATCAATATATCGTAAGATATCGCATAGATAGTAAAACGGAAACATTAGAAGCATTGTTCGTTACGCATCAAGTTGGCTTGGCAAAAGCAAGGCGATTTAAAGAAGTCATCAGTCTCGATGCGACGTATGGAACGAACAACAGCAAGATACCGCTAATCAACGTCGTTGGGATCAGTAACCTTGGTACGACATCGTTACACAATGTATGAATTGCATCAGCAGTCGTCGTCATTGAAAGAACCGATTCGTATCTCTGGGTTACGAAAACCATGCGTGATACTATTTGGCCCGAAGGTGATGTCGGCATCTTCATTACTGATAGCGAGAAGGCGCTCATCACTGCCATCGATACTATCTTTCCGAAATCGATTCATCTTTTATGCGGTTGGCACATGGCGCAGCATTTGATCTCTCACTTCGGTGGCTGCTTTCCGAAGAAAAGCGAGAAGTACAAGCAAGTCAAGAGCGTTGTGAATTGCTTGATGCCATGGCAACCCCATGGCTACGACTCAGCATTGACACACTACACTCTATACGTCTTTTCTTTACTTCTACTTTTTGGGAATATGACCGACAGCAACGTTCCTTCTCTATACCCAAAACGCTGTATCTTTTCCTTTTATTCTGTATTTACGACTGGCAAACCATTAAAATAAATTGATGATCACCCATCTTTAGTGTTCTCTACTAGATACTACACAACTTGCTTTTCCATTCAAAATTGTCCTATATTTCCTAAATCAATAATTCATCTCTTTATGCCACAGCAAAAATCATTGTTAGCTTCATTTACATTACAAAACTTCATTGATTCTAAAAACGTTGATGATGTAATTCGAAAATCAGAGTTTATCTGCAGTATGACCGGATATCGGATCGGATATGATACTTATCCACATCTGCATCCGAGAGCTACAAGGTCGATCCGAATCCGTGGGTATCGGATCGGATACGGATCGGATGAGCGGATATGATGCATATATATTATTTTGTTGCAATTTCATATTTCACGTCCCGATTTCAAAAATGGCTTAGACCTGATACCGTACATGGCACTGACGCATTGTAGACTTAGATAATGATTTCTTAAACAAACAGGCGCACCTCTCATGACTATATAGTCTCGCGTTCGTCTTGAGAATACACATATAACAAGCTTATGATATGAGCTGCACGGACTTCTAGTCCCTAGTAACCCTATTTAATCAGATTCATTTTAGAGTTGCTTTATCACACATGGGGTCGTTGGCTCGCTGCTGTCACCGTGGCCTTTGTGGGAAAATATCCTGGCAGCGAAGCATGCATCAAGTATTATCCGCAATGTAATTTACAAACAAACAAGACAGCAGATGCTCCAACCTTTAGTACTTACTGCTCTTGAAAGGGCTTGAAGTGACTTTACTCTAAACTTGACTATCCTTTTAGTATCTCTGATAGTATACCGATAGAGCAACGGGTGAGCGAACTTCAACACAATAAGCTATAAGAGATAGCGCGATAGTAACAAAATTTATATGATTGTTGTTGGTTATTCCATTAAAGGGAAAAGGCTAACCGTATATGGTAACCAGTGCTATAGACACCCTACTCAGCCGTTTTAATTTTTTCACGGACACGTGACCTAATCACTCTCGGCCAATTAAATAGCCGGGAGAGAAACGCCAACTTTTTTTTGCTTTTATTCTTTATTCTTTATAACAACTCGATTACCTCACATCGCAAGTCAACTTTATCAGCAATGGATACTCAACATCAAAACCCACCTCTTACTCAAGACAACCACGAGATGGATCGTTCATCCGTGAAAATGTTCAGTTTTGCTCTAACTGCAAGTGCGAAAACCAGCCTGTTGAATTGTTTGTTGGCAAGACACGGAACTATAAAACGTGTAGATTGTGTCGTGAACGTCAGAGTGACGTCGGAAAACCCATTCCAGACCAATTGCTCGTAACGATGGAAGAAGTAGAGGCTATGATTCCGTCTCGTACTGATCTTCCAAGCGCAAACGACACTCTTGAAGGTTACTCTCTCGATGTCTACGTTCAACTCGATGAACAGCTGTCGACAATGGCAGATCAGGAGCTTACTGCTGCAATCGTTGGCCGCATTCAAGCCATCGACGGTTACAATTACTACCATGTATCTCGAACCGAACCCGGGAAGAAGTTTTCTTGGTCGTTTTTGCATAAGTGCTCTCAAGATTTCGATGTGCAACACCAAGTTCCTGATGGCGATCGCCTGCGATTGCATACGCGAATGGAGACATTCCTTTGTGGGGGTTATATCAAGGGATTAGTCGATAAGCCCAATGGCTATTTCTATCTACATGTCGAGCACACGCATGCACATCAAACTGCTCCAATCCAGGCAATGCGCGCTGTATTAACTTTTGTTTGCTTGCTTTATACTCTTAATTTCATATGATTACTTCTTGTCCTGACAAAATTATCCACGATACTCGATGTTTGGTGAGGAAAACAAAGTAAGTATGCCGCGTATCAACATGAATGTGTATGAATTATCCAGTAAATGAAAGTGCAACATAGACACCATGTAATACATAAGTAGAGGTGATTCTTTAGGCCGATCTGAAAAAAAAGTTGGCGTTTCTCTACCGGCTATTTAATTGTCCGAGAGTGATTAGGTCACGTGTCCGTGAAAAAATTAAAACGGCTGAGGCTTTAGTAGTATACCTCAAATTGCTACATACTCTTTCTTTCGAGCAGTGTTACAATTGTAAATTGAGCGCAGTGGCTGCATATAAATTTAGCCTCTCAACTTTGATGCATCACCATAACCCTTCGTCGGGTATCATTATCCTCCTTACTGGGAGGATACAGTAACACTCTTAATAATCTTGGTTAGCATGCTACAACGCACAACGTGATGCACTTGACCAGTACAGTACTCATCTTCATTTTACAAACATCGTATGTCTCTAACGATCGTATTTACTACGAAATATGTCACATTATTTTTAAATCTTCAAGTGGTCATTCTATATCGAAAATGTTTCTATTTATTTATGAGCTTATGCTATGTTGGTTTTATTCCTATTATGTTGTCTACGTTTCAAAAACTGCTTCTAAGTGTTGTCTTATATGTGCGGACTGAGAGAAAAGAATTAGTACAAAAAGAAACCAAAGCTTCTCATGGAAAACAACTACGTAGGTAGAGTCATTGTAAATTAAACCGTTCTGGCACTGATGCTTCTTTTGCACATATTATGTGTTTCTCGAATTACAAAAAAATTTTAACTTGTACAATAGGCAACAACTTAATTCACTAATCTATGGATAATTCTACTGTATGTCTCTTACTCCTCGGTTCTACGACGCTTGATTTCATTTCCCAGTTTGTCTATACTGATACTGAGATCACGACGTTTGTCTTCCAACTGACTTGCAACATCAGTGGTTGATATATAGCTTTCTCGTGCTATCCGCTCGACTTCTTCAAACATCAGTTTTCTTCGGCGAAAAAAAAACTCGACTCCGTGGAATTCCTTCTCCATCGCGTGCGGCACGTTTCTTCCAGAAATTGAACTGAAGGCTGCCCAGCAATTCCAATGGTGTACTCGCGCAAGACATCGGTGACAGTTAGAAGTTCTCTTATAAGCTTATAGCTTTGTGGAGGCGGTGACAGCGATGCCAAAGATGAAGCGTCCACTGGGAGCATATCGCTAGTTGTGGTAGTTTGATGATCAACTTGAAGGATCTCGTTTCTTGCGACGTCAACTTCTGAAGTGGGAGTCATATTCGCTGGATTGCGGGAGAAGTAAAACGGGTTGGAAAAAATGGAGTCTAAAGTACTGATAGAACCTTTTTGCTGTGACGATTTAAGAGCCTCAATATCGCTTCCGATCCCACTGATGATGCCGAAGGAAGATCGCAGTAGTTCCGTTATATGTGGCATAGCCCTTTCGATCTGTATGCCTAACGGCTCTTCTTCTTCGCTGGTTCTTGCTAGATAACGCAACACGTCCAATTCATACTGTTTGTATAGCGGGTCGTCGAATATGGGGTGTGTCCACAAGAAGTGGGTCGGATGAAGCTTTTTCAGAAGCACAGAGTCCTAAAGTTATATTATATCAAATTTTAGAGATTTTTTATAACAATATGATATAATAAATAGTGACTATGTACCTGAATCAAAACAATTCTCAAATATTTTAAGAGCTCCAAAAAGTTTGGACCTGCAAGATCGTTTTGGACAGTCCTCGTCTCGAACTTGTTTTCCCAGTACTCGATATCAGGAATAACTTTTTGTTGCAAGCTCTGTGGCGGATCGATTTTGGCCCGTGGTAACCAAACGCACCAGCTTTTTTGGCATAGAAACCAGCTAAAGCACGAATCACTGGCTTTGGAAGACTTGTCAAGTAGCATCCGATCATCTTGTCCGACCCCACCTTCTAATTCGACGTTGATCACTGTCAGAAACATCTTGTTCAGTGATCGACCTCAGAACACTACCGCAGTTGATGTGTGCTATTTTGCTCGGTTGAATACCAACAGCTCGGAGCGCTTCCTGACATCCATCTCTTTGCGTATTGTAAGTGATAGCTTGTATACGGTTGACACCCTTCAAGACGTGCATGCCGTACCAATGTCTGCATGATGTGAAATCCGGGAACTCTTCGTTTTCAATATGCGAGCGGCAAAAAAGGTGGAATGCCAAAGCTCCAATTGGACAAACGTCTGCACAGCGGTGTCTGATGGCAGCTCCGTACTGATACTGATGTATGTAATAAAAACAGATCTGTGATGTTCAAAAATAGAAAGGGACTAGAAGTCTTCGAGATTGCTGTTAATTTTTGAAGGAATAAATGATCTATCCTTTAACTTGTTTTTACAGCTATTTAAACACGACCAGAGTCTGTGATGAGAAGAAAAACCATGAAATGATAGATGCGCTCAGAAATCTGACCAATACATCTTGACGCTGGTTTCTAATCGAAACCGCTTTAAGTCAGCCACGACAATGTCCTATGACAATATCTTTAAATCTCACATTTACGTTATTGGCATTCTGTACAATAGCAATAGTAACCATAATTTTCATATATTTAGGATGATGAAGACAAAGATACTATCACTGAAAGCAGCAACAGCCAGTATGCTTCCTGCCAAGGATCCATGATGGTGATAACGACGCCCAAAAAGCTAGGCGTCCTACGTACTCGATCGAAGCGCCAAAGAAGCTGGCTCGTCGAGAATACTTAGGCAAAGGTCGTCGGAAACCTGGATGATGGTAGAAAGGAATACCGCTGCCAATAGGCATTTAGCAATGGTCGAGACAGTATCCACCCACATATTAGCGACAAGAAGGGTCCATCAAAATCTGATCGTCCATATGAAAACATATGACATTACCGAGGGTTCTCCTGCAAAAGGCGCGCCTGTAAACCATCGTGATCGTTCAACAATCGATGCTCATTTTGGAAGTCAAGGACAAACGCCCGTGGCATCATTCGGCAGAGACGCGTTTTACAGGTGCCTTGTTCAGGATATTATATAAATTGCCGCACCGTACACGTCTGTCCAAGGATCCTTGTTGCAAATGCTCTTGCATATGGCCGATTCTGTACCGAAAATCCAAGACTGCAGCTCCAAGTGTTAGTACGTTTGAAAGGTACATGACCAGCTTGTACAGCGCTTCTTAAAGGCAAATAATACAGAACTTGGAAGCGGTTCCCTTTCATGGCGCACACACAGACGGATGGACCACGGCATACATGAAATACTCGTTTCTTGGAATCGCGGCGCAATAGGTCAACCAGGGGCTTTGAGTCTTTGAAGGGCTCACATACTGGCAAAATTCTTTAGTCGGTCGCAATAATAAACAGCGGTCCAGAATCTTTCTTCCGTGTCCACCTCTTTGCAAGGAAACCTACTTCTATATTTTGCATTTGAACATATTTTAATGCTTTCATTTTTTTTTCTTTTTAAAAGATTTTTTCTTTACAAATTCAACCATGTTGACAAGGAGCTCTGCTTGGTTGTGTATTTTCTTCCTTGAGATGTTTCAAGTGAGCGTGCTGGATTTCGATCATTTCCGTATTACGGGTGGTGTTGTCGTTCACTAGCAGCGCAAGTCAATTCGGTGCTATTCAACAGGCATATGGCCGCAGATGAGCGAGTGTAAGTTGACAACGGTGAAATCTAGTGGCCCAGTGTACTTACTCTTTTTCCTTTCCGTCTCTTATTAGATCGTTGGAATATAGGCTAGGATGGCTGCTTGTATTGAGTTTCTGTAATTATGTCTCAGTTGGTTTTGGAACCACCAGATGTAAAGGGTTAAACATATAACTATTAGCTGTAACGCTTTTGTCTACTTGATTCAAGAATAAATTTTAGAGAAATTTTAATATGCATGTATTAATGATTTAGTTGTAGATATTGAAGTGGTACGTGGACAAGGGTGTCATAATATGGAGGGCAGTTGTATTAAGCTTTTTATCGCATTACACCCGTTGTCAGTGAAGACCGATTGTTATAATATCTGGGAATCGATGCGGGCACGACAAGTTCTAATAATAATTATGATATGTTACACAGAGCAGCAAAGCTGACACTCTTGTGTTAGTTACATTGCACTGTAGTGTTGCTTCCAGAAATTCGTACTCTAGTACCCCGTATGCTAGGCACAGAAACTTTTTGTATAGCAGGTTTTAGCCAACGGTCTCCCGAGCCAGAATGGTTGCAACGTTTATGGACCTTTGAAGAGGCGCTTCAGTCGCGGAAGATGCTATTTGTTGGCCGAGACGTACATTCTTGGTCGGATGTACAGCGTACGAATACGCTTGGACCGTTGTACCACCTATCTAATCAACTACATACTACATTCTGATGCAAGTTGGTGGAATGCTTGTAACACCCTACACCACGCACATAACCTTAAAACCACCAAAAATCATGACCGAGTATTTGCACTTGGAATCATGTTTCCGGATATTGTTAAGGGTATTACCGTCGATTATAAGCAGCCTTTGTCCGACTTATTGGTCCAATTTCATGCCCTTCTGGCGAAGAGCGATCTAAGCGTCTTGTGCTTCGGAGGAGCACAGTCCGAAAAGAATCCGTCATGGACTGGTGCTACCGGAACAGATTTACAGGACCGTTTCTTCGACACGGAAAATAGCGTTGCCGTTGTTGACATCGACGGACAATACATGTACGTAACTTGTACGAGTGTGATTAGCAAGATGCTAGCAGACACAGGGGAAGACCCACGTGCGTGGACGTACGACGATTTACCACCTATCCCTGGTCACCCCGCTGAGGAGGAGTTCATTACAGGCTACCTTGCAATATATGTTCAGCTACCTGGACACAAAAAGAGGAAAGTAGTAAATCTTTCTGATTTTGTTTCTTGCAACTTTGAACGTCGATCCTTTACCATCATCAACCCAAAGCTCCAGTTTTTGGCGCGTTTGATACCGCTTAAGAAGGAAAATTTGTTCTGGTAGATCGGTAGACTATTCCTCACAAAGGAAGTAGCTTCATTTTCATTCGATCTCACGGAAGATGAAAGTAGCTAAGGTACTACTAGATATGAAGGAGGATATGTGATACTTTCCGGGATCCAATTCCATTTTTGGTACGATCGTCGTTTTCCAGTCATACAAAAGGAAGGACAGCATTACAAGGCAATCGGCACTTGTAGTATAAAAAACTCTGAATATTTTTTCGCTGATAACACTGCACCCCCTCAGACTTTTGTTATTAACTAAACGGTATGGCATTTCCTTTGTATAGCCATGTCTTGAGCTCGCCGTCGTCCCTTGAGTTGATGGTTGAAACATCAGTGCTATACACTTAGTACCACGCATTATTATATCAATATGATAAATACATACAATATACATCGTATATTTGGAAAATCCTGCTCAATTTGTTTTTGACTAGATGTCTTTCCACTTTCCACTGCACTTTTATCGTCATTGCAAAGTATTATATGATGATAGAAGGTAACGGATGAAATCTAAGGTGATTCCATCCGCTTTCCAGTTGTCAAAAAAGATGAGGAGTACTACAAAGCGCTCAGTACATGTGAATAAAATATTCCGAATACTTTATCGATGACTATACTGACAGTTTTTTAAAGTATGATAACCTATCATTTTCTCTCTCACAGCGTTAGTTATGGTTTATGATACACAGTGTGGCTCACACGAATAAGCTTTAGCCAATAGCTTATGAGATATAAAGTCTACCTACATTATGTGCATTTTTCCTAAGTATCAAAACAATTTCTTGAAAAAATGCCATAGCATTGAATATGAGACCATTAGGAAGTTGACTCGTTCTAGATTACATCGAGTCTAGTTCGTCGAGTAACAGGCATTAAAGATATGAGTTGCAGCACAACGAGCGAAAGTGATCATGCATCAAACTGAATTCCTCTTCGCAACGTGCTCTCATCACCCACTCATATATGAACTACATTCTATGTGATCCACACTTTGTTGACCTCAGTATTTTCGGCCACGAAATGCATTATTGTTCTTCCAACTCAGTCCCTATCTCCACATGCACATGGAACAGTAACCACTCTACTCGTCCTTTGTTAAACTTTTTCTACTCCTCCTTGATGCGTCATCCACCATGGCTGGTTATTTTAGCCTAAAAGAACTTCGAGCATTCATTGCTAGTAATCCAGAACCTGAATTTGACCTATTCATCGAAGAAAAGGATTAACTCAGTGGTAGAGTGTCAATCTTACAAATTAAAAGTCGGTAGTTCGATTCTACTATTCCCTAAATAGTTTATAATAATAGTAGAGTGGTTATCTTGCACATAACTGGCAGTAGTTCAACTCTACTATTCCCTATATTAATAAATAAAAGAATATGTATCTATATAATAATATGTATACCCTTTTAAATACATTAATTTATTCATATACATTCGTGAATAAGCTGTAATTGCTGCTGCAATACGAACAGATTGTAAAATAGTTCTTTTTGAAGAATCATATTTTAGAAGCTCATTATTAAAATCTTGTTCAGATAATTCACATAAATTTTGATCAGGAGTAATATTATATTTAACTAAATATTTGTTTTCAGGTAATTCAAAAATAGTATTAACAATATGGGAAGTTAATAATTTATCCATTTCTTCTTTATTTATTATAGTAGTTGAATCACTAATTTCATTCATACCTATTCTTCTAAATAATGAATTTAATAATAATTTATAAATTTCTCATAATGGACCTTCTGATCTTTGTTTATGGAAATAACAAGTTAGGACATAATTTTCAATGACATCTTTACCTCTATCAAATTAATAACTATATAAAACATTAATTTCATAATCAAATTCTTTAGATTGTTTTGATTCTTCAGGAAAATACCATCCTTTCCATGATCCTAAAGGACAATACATTTTTTCATTATCTCTGTAAGGTAAAGTAGGAATAAATAAATTATCTAGTGTTTTAATTTCAGCATAAACAAAACCAAAGTAATCATCTAAATTTGTATTACTACTAAATCTTAGTTTTCCAATAGGCATATTATTTAACATTGAGAAAGGATATAATGAATTTACATCATATTGATATAAATTAGATCCTTTAGGATTAAATACATCAACTCTCCCATCATAGAAACTCTTTTGAATATCATCATGAGCTCTTCCTTATACTTTATAAATGCTATGTTTCATAAAGTTAGTAGTAAAAATATTTAGTGCTACACCTGTAATAATAGAACCAATTTGTTCTGAGATTGTACTCCATAACTTTTTCATGTTGAATAAAATTAATTAGAGGTATTTCCTCAAGTTATTAATAATTCCAATAAATAATTCAATAATTATTTAATTATTTATTAATTTAAAACATGTAAAAACGCAGAACCATTAGACAAAGCCTACAAATAAAATAGGTAAATACACTTTTTGAGAAATTAATTTAAAATAAGATAAATTAGAATCTTAATTAAATAATTTAAAGTATAGGAAAATTATTTAATTAATCAGCAGCCTTTTTAGGCTACTGACAAGAACAACATTGCAATTTGGTTCACTTCTACCAGCTGTATTTCAGCAATTAACCTATATTCACTGTGGAAAGGCAGATTTCAAAAAGCATGGAATATGGATTTGGTAAAGAAGAAGACGCACTGTCCAAAGTATGTATTCTCTATAACAGATATAGCAAACTGGCTCTTGGCAATAATGACTCATACTTTTTAAACTTTAGAATTAGTATGAAAGACACCCTCGCCCTTTGGCAGTCGATTAAAAACATGGTTCAGCAAATAGTAAGTTCGTCATGGAATTCTTTAAAAGGCTATGCTAATAGTGAGTTTATTTTCTATAGAAATCAACTAAAGACGAGTATGCGATTCAAGCTATGATTATTCTATGAAGTATGAGCTCCTTGAGTACCAAAATTCTCTTACAAGCGATGGAACAAGAAGTGAAGTGAGTAGAGGCACTATCTATTTTTTTCATCAATCAATAATAATATTTATATATTTGTCTCTGACTATTATCTGTAGAAGCCTTGATTATGATGGGAACGGCGGATCAGCACAAGTAGCACAAATCCCCGAGCAAACACCCAGTGAACAAGACAATATGTGTAGTAGTGACTCACTCGGTTCTGCACACAGTACACTCACATTTGAAGACAGACCCCCAACATACTGATTCACGAACAACAGTATTGCCCTCCCTTCAACCCAAAGCAGATACAAGATTGGTCAATACGACGTATCCTTGGCATTTTATGCCTTTCAACTCATTTCTGGCAATACCTTTGATATACTCAATGTTGAGTCAAATGTATCCTATGTCTTATACGTATAAAATGAATAAAAAATCTATTGGAAATAAAGAAAACAGGATTGCTAATACCATTTCATTTCAGGGCATTATCATCTATCTTTCTCATCCAGCGCAACAAATGGCATCTGGATTTGATGGGTGTATTCAGGTATTAATCCTTAACAGTGATTTAAACAAGGTTTTATTAATTTAATATATATAGTTGTTTAAAAATATATAGGAAAAAATCAAAAATTAGATTATAATTTTTTTATTTTTGAAACGTTTAAGATATTTTTTTTATTTTCTTTAAACTCATATAATATGTTTAGGTTTTGTATAAACCTGTTTAAATCGTTTAAACTATAATATTCTTGTATAATTAATTCAAAACAGGCTAGGAGGTACGACGATGCCCAGTTTAATCAAAAATCAATGAAGTTAGATTTTTTTTAGAACACTTGACAGTGAAATCCTTAACTAAAATTAATTTACTATTTAGAGTAATATTAATTGTTATGGATTGAAACTCTTCACTGAAAAAAAACTAAAAGACATATTCGATGATCAATGCAAACGGTTCGGTAACTGGAAATACATTCGCAAGTGTGTCAACAATACTGAAGCCATGACAAATATCATCAAGGTATATTATTAGTCATTTAATACATAGGATAAAAGCAGGGTGACGATTATCAATAGCATTCTCTACAATTTTTCTATTTGCGTTTTCTATTTAGGATTTCAAAAATGATATAATTACCAGAGAAGAGGCAATTATAAAAACATATACATTGGGACTAACACCTTCTTCAATGTCTGTATCCACAACATTGACAACAACAACAACAACAACAACAGAAACAACAACAACAACAGAAACATTACCATCGTTATTACCACTTCCCACGAACCTTAATAGGCTTCTGAAATGCGTGGCTAAGCTATAAGTAATTTGGTGAGGAAGAGTAAAGATTGGATTATCAGCTTGACCATCCTTTCTATAGGATCGAGAAATTGCCTAATCAAGATATCAAGGAAGAAGTTCTAGAGTTTGAACTATGCCTACGGTACATCGACCCAGTTTTATCAGGGTTATTTGATGATCCAGATAGGGGCACCCTGTTTAGATGGTAAGTGGCAATTCGTCTCCAAATAGTTTGTCATTCGTGTCAATGGAGGGAGATACTCACGATATTAATGCATATATAATATATGTAGGACCAGTGTCACAAACGAGGAGTCAAAGTACAGATACATTACAAAGCAGCGTCCTGACAGTGTCATTTCTCAGTTGGATGGACTCTCTTATGGGCCATCTTTAGGCTTCGTGGAGGTCAAAAGTGCCAAAAAGGGTAGCGGCAAATTCGCAGTTTCTAATGATCTTGTTCGACTTGGCCTTCTTTCCAAAAATTCAATCGATCGGTCGAATGTAGATGGTTGCTTAGCCATACAAGTAGTTGGTAAGTAGTAAGGTACGACAAGAGAGGCAGGACTAAAATATAATTATGTGATACTCATAGTTTCACTTTCATTTTAGGCTTGAATATTAACTTTTTCATAACCAAACTGATGGCAGATGGGATATATACAATGTTTGAATTGTACAATATCAGGATCCCATCATCAAGAGAAGCAATTCAAGGATTTGTTGGCTACTTTGACGAGCTCTTGGCTGTTCTGGATCTTTTCAAAGAACATTGTCTCATGTCCACTTGTGTTAATGACCAAGATTCCTGTAAGCGAAAAGCATTACCCGACGAAGCATTCGATGTTATTCTATCAAGGTCAAAGAGTAACAAAAGACAATGCTATACAATAGAGAGATAGTACCAATGCCTCCACCTCCTTCACCCAAACAAAAATAATACGCATATATACCAGCAAATCAGCATCTTCTTTCATACAATCATCTAAAAAACCCCCCCTCCCCCAATCCCTTGTTCAATGACAAGATGACTAGTATTGTTATTGTGGTGTAATATTAAAAAGGAGCTATGATTAGGGGTCGCAATTGGACCAGTCGGGCCGGGTCAAGGGTCTGACCCATTGACCCACGGGTCAAGAAAACACTGACCCGACCGACCCGTTCAACCCGACAGGTCAAAACTCAGGTTGACGGGTCACTACTGATTTTGATTTGGTGACAAAGGAGGTTTCAATCAACCTGAGCTTGAGCACTGGAAGTGCAAAACTACATGTATACACAGCTCTCTAAGATGATGGCACGCAAATTCTTAGTAGTGCTAGCAATATCTACGTTTTGTGTGATTATTCTTAAAGGTAAAGGGGTTTGTGCCATAACAAAAGAAATTGTTTGCGCTCACATGCATTAAAGCAAGGATAATGGTTAAAGTGTGGTTAAATATCGACTTGCTTTAAATGCCCCTAATCCTTTTCCCTTTTCCCTTTTCTTTCCATTTCTTCCTTCTTCTTTCATTTCTCTTTTCTTAATTCCTTCTACGTCTTTTGTCAAATCTCGTCTCTCACTGCCACTCTCTATTGTCTATTCTTATTGTACTATTGCTACTTCTTTACTACTATTACATATATTGCTTATAGCTTACTTATCTTACACTTTTGAATATAAAATATGATCCCACAATGAAAAAGAATATAAGTACGTTTTATGTTACAGCTCTATAGCAGACATATTGACAACTACATCTTTAATATAATGATCCTTCCCAACAAGAAGATTGACTACTTTGAATACAAGTACCTCATAGATATCATATGTATACATGGGTCACAACGGGTCAACGGGTCGCGTCAAGGGTTAGACAGGCTGACCCGTGGGTCAGAAAAGCATCAACCCGACCCGTTGACCCGTCCTCAACCCATAGGTCGGTTTTGACCCGTGGGTCAGATTGCGACCCCTATCGATGACTATACTGACAATTTTTTAAAGTTTGATAACCTATCATTTTCTCTCTCGCAGCGTTAGTTATGGTTTATGATACACAGTGTGGCTCGCACGAATAAGCTTTAGCCAATAGCTTATGAGATATAAAGTCTACCTACATTATGTGCATTTTTCCTAAGTATCAAAACAATTTCTTGAAAAAATGCCATAGCATTGAATATGAGACCATTAGGAAGTTGACTCGTTCTAGATTACATGGAGTCTAGTTCGTCGAGTAACAGGCATTAAAAATATGAGTTACAGTACAACGAGCGAAAGTGATCATGCATCAAACTGAATTCCTCTTCGCGACGTGCTCTCATCACCCACTCATATATGAACTACATTCTATGTGATCCACACTTTGTTGACCTCAGTATTTTCGGCCACGAAATGCATTATTGTTCTTCCAACTCAGTCCCTATCTCCATATGCACATGGAACAGTAACCACTCTACTCGTCCTTTGTTAAACTTTTTCTACTCCTCCTTGATGCGTCATCCACCATGGCTGGTTATTTTAGCCTAAAAGAACTTCGAGCATTCATTGCTAGTAATCCAGAACCTGAATTTGACCTATTCATCGAAGAAAAGGATTAACTCAGTGGTAGAGTGTCAATCTTACAAATTAAAAGTCGGTAGTTCGATTCTACTATTCCCTAAATAGTTTATAATAATAGTAGAGTGGTTATCTTGCACATAACTGGCAGTAGTTCAACTCTACTATTCCCTATATTAATAAATAAAAGAATATGTATCTATATAATAATATGTATACCCTTTTAAATACATTAATTTATTCATATACATTCGTGAATAAGCTGTAATTGCTGCTGCAATACGAACAGATTGTGAAATAGTTCTTTTTGAAGAATCATATTTTAGAAGCTCATTATTAAAATCTTGTTCAGATAATTCACATAAATTTTGATCAGGAGTAATATTATATTTAACTAAATATTTGTTTTCAGGTAATTCAAAAATAGTATTAACAATATGGGAAGTTAATAATTTATCCATTTCTTCTTTATTTATTATAGTAGTTGAATCACTAATTTCATTCATACCTATTCTTCTAAATAATGAATTTAATAATAATTTATAAATTTCTCATAATGGACCTTCTGATCTTTGTTTATGGAAATAACAAGTTAGGACATAATTTTCAATGACATCTTTACCTCTATCAAATTAATAACCATATAAAACATTAATTTCATAATCAAATTCTTTAGATTGTTTTGATTCTTCAGGAAAATACCATCCTTTCCATGATCCTAAAGGACAATACATTTTTTCATTATCTCTGTAAGGTAAAGTAGGAATAAATAAATTATCTAGTGTTTTAATTTCAGCATAAACAAAACCAAAGTAATCATCTAAATTTGTATTACTACTAAATCTTAGTTTTCCAATAGGCATATCATTTAACATTGAGAAAGGATATAATGAATTTACATCGTATTGATATAAATTAGATCCTTTAGGATTAAATACATCAACTCTCCCATCATAGAAACTCTTTTGAATATCATCATGAGCTCTTCCTTATACTTTATAAATGCTATGTTTCATAAAGTTAGTAGTAAAAATATTTAGTGCTACACCTGTAATAATAGAACCAATTTGTTCTGAGATTGTACTCCATAACTTTTTCATGTTGAATAAAATTAATTAGAGGTATTTCCTCAAGTTATTAATAATTCCAATAAATAATTCAATAATTATTTAATTATTTATTAATTTAAAACATGTAAAAACGCAGAACCATTAGACAAAGCCTACAAATAAAATAGGTAAATACACTTTTTGAGAAATTAATTTAAAATAAGATAAATTAGAATCTTAATTAAATAATTTAAAGTATAGGAAAATTATTTAATTAATCAGCAGCCTTTTTAGGCTACTGACAAGAACAACATTGCAATTTGGTTCACTTCTACCAGCTGTATTTCAGCAATTAACCTATATTCACTGTGGAAAGGCAGATTTCAAAAAGCATGGAATATGGATTTGGTAAAGAAGAAGACGCACTGTCCAAAGTATGTATTCTCTATAACAGATATAGCAAACTGGCTCTTGGCAATAATGACTCATACTTTTTAAACTTTAGAATTAGTATGAAAGACACCCTCGCCCTTTGGCAGTCGATTAAAAACATGGTTCAGCAAATAGTAAGTTCGTCATGGAATTCTTTAAAAGGCTATGCTAATAGTGAGTTTATTTTCTATAGAAATCAACTAAAGACGAGTATGCGATTCAAGCTATGATTATTCTATGAAGTATGAGCTCCTTGAGTACCAAAATTCTCTTACAAGCGATGGAACAAGAAGTGAAGTGAGTAGAGGCACTATCTATTTTTTTCATCAATCAATAATAATATTTATATATTTGTCTCTGACTATTATCTGTAGAAGCCTTGATTATGATGGGAACGGCGGATCAGCACAAGTAGCACAAATCCCCGAGCAAACACCCAGTGAACAAGACAATATGTGTAGTAGTGACTCACTCGGTTCTGCACACAGTACACTCACATTTGAAGACAGACCCCCAACATACTGATTCACGAACAACAGTATTGCCCTCCCTTCAACCCAAAGCAGATACAAGATTGGTCAATACGACGTATCCTTGGCATTTTATGCCTTTCAACTCATTTCTGGTAATACCTTTGATATACTCAATGTTGAGTCAAATGTATCCTATGTCTTATACGTATAAAATGAATAAAAAATCTATTGGAAATAAAGAAAACAGGATTGCTAATACCATTTCATTTCAGGGCATTATCATCTATCTTTCTCATCCAGCGCAACAAATGGCATCTGGATTTGATGGGTGTATTCAGGTATTAATCCTTAACAGTGATTTAAACAAGGTTTTATTAATTTAATATATATAGTTGTTTAAAAATATATAGGAAAAAATCAAAAATTAGATTATAATTTTTTTATTTTTGAAACGTTTAAGATATTTTTTTTATTTTCTTTAAACTCATATAATATGTTTAGGTTTTGTATAAACCTGTTTAAATCGTTTAAACTATAATATTCTTGTATAATTAATTCAAAACAGGCTAGGAGGTACGACGATGCCCAGTTTCATCAAAAATCAATGAAGTTAGATTTTTTTTAGAACACTTGACAGTGAAATCCTTAACTAAAATTAATTTACTATTTAGAGTAATATTAATTGTTATGGATTGAAACTCTTCACTGAAAAAAAACTAAAAGACATATTCGATGATCAATGCAAACGGTTCGGTATCTGAAAATACATTTGCAAGTGTGTCAACAATACTAAAGCTGTAACAAATATCATCAAGGTATATTATTAGTCATTTAATACATAGGATAAAAGCAGGGTGACGATTACTAATAGCATTCTTTACAATTTTTCTATTTGCGTTTTCTATATTTTAGGATTTCAAAAATGATATAATTACCAGAGAAGAGGCAATTGTAAAAACATATACATTGGGACTAACACCTTCTTCAATGTCCGTATCTACAACATTGACAATGATAACAACAGAAACATTACCATCGTTATTACCACTTCCCACGAACCTTAATAGGCTTCTGAAATGCGTTGCTAAGCTGTAAGTAATTTGGTGAGGAAGAGTAAATGTTGGATTATCAGCTTGACCATCCTTTCTATAGGATCGAGAAATTGCCTAATCAAGATATCAAGGAAGAAGTTCTAGAGTTCAAACTATGCCTACGGTACATCGACCCAGTTTTATCAGGGTTATTTGATGATCCAGATAGGGGCACCCTGTTTAGATGGTAAGTGGCAATTCGTCTCCAAATAGTTTGTCATTCGTGTCAATGGAGGGAGATACTCACGATATTAATGCATATATAATATATGTAGGACCAGTGTCACAAACGAGGAGTCAAAGTACAGATACATTACAAAGCAGCGTCCTAACAGTGTCATTTCTCAGTTGGATGGACTCTTTTACGGGCCATCTTTAGGCTTCGTGGAGGTCAAAAGTGCCAAAAAGGGTAGCGACAAATTCGCCGTTTCTAATGATCTTGTTCGACTTGGCCTTCTTTCCAAAAATTCAATCGATCGGTCGAATGTAGATGGTTGCTTAGCCATACAAGTAGTTGGTAAGTAGTAAGGTACGACAAGAGAGGCAGGACTAAAATATAATTATGTGATACTCATAGTTTCACTTTCATTTTAGGCTTCAATATTAACTTTTTCATAACCAAACTGATGGCAGATGGGATATATACAATGTTTGAATTGTACAATATCAGGATCCCATCATCAAGAGAAGCAATTCAAGATTTGTTGGCTACTTTGACGAGCTCTTGGCTGTTCTGGATCTTTTCGAAGAACATTGTCTCATGTCCGCTTGTGTTAATGACCAAGATTCCTGTAAGCGAAAAGCATTACCCGACGAAGCATTCGATGTTATTCTATCAAGGTCAAAGAGTAACAAAAGACAATGCTATACAATAGAGAGATAGTACCAACGCCTCCACCTCCTTCACCCAAACAAAAATAATACGCATACATACCAACAAATCAGCATCTTCTTTCATACAATCATCTAAAAAGCCCCCCTCCCCAATCCCTTGTTCAATGACAAGATGACTAGTATTGTTATTGTGATGTAATATTAAAAAGGAGCTATGATAGATGGTGGATAACTGATCCAATTCAAATTAAGTGAGCACTCATCTATCACTCTCCTCCCTTCCACCCAATCGTTTCTCTCTCTCTCTTTTCCCATCCAAAAGATTAGTATTATGATACTGATGTATGTAATAAAAACAGATCTGTGATGTTCAAAAATAGAAAGGGACTAGAAATCTTCGAGATTGCTGTTAATTTTTGAAGGAATAAAGATCTATCCTTTAATTTGTTTTTACAACTATTTAAACACGATCAGAGTCTGTGATGAGAAGAAAAACCATGAAACGATAGATGCGCTCAGAAATCTGACCAATACATCTTGACGCTGGTTTCTAATCGAAACCGCTTTAAGTCAGCCACGACAATGTCCTATGACAATATCTTTAAATCTCACATTTACGTTATTGGCATTCTGTACAATAGCAATAGTAACCATAATTCTCATATATTTAGGATGATGAAGACAAAGATACTATCACTGAAAGCAGCAACAGCCAGTATGCTTCCTGCCAAGGATCCATGATGGTGATAACGACGCCCAAAAAGCTAGGCGTCCTACGTACTCGATCGAAGCGCCAAAGAAGCTGGCTCGTCGAGAATACTTAGGCAAAGGTCGTCGGAAACCTGGATGATGGTAGAAAGGAATACCGCTGCCAATAGGCATTTAGCAATGGTCGAGACAGTATCCACCCACATATTAGCGACAAGAAGGGTCCATCAAAATCTGATCGTCCATATGAAAACATATGACATTACCGAGGGTTCTCCTGCAAAAGGCGCGCCTGTAAACCATCGTGATCGTTCAACAATCGATGCTCATTTTGGAAGTCAAGGACAAACGCCCGTGGCATCATTCGGCAGAGACGCGTTTTACAGGTGCCTTGTTCAGGATATTATATAAATTGCCGCACCGTACACGTCTGTCCAAGGATCCTTGTTGCAAATGCTCTTGCATATGGCCGATTCTGTACCGAAAATCCAAGACTGCAGCTCCAAGTGTTAGTACGTTTGAAAGGTACATGACCAGCTTGTACAGCGCTTCTTAAAGGCAAATAATACAGAACTTGGAAGCGGTTCCCTTTCATGGCGCACACACAGACGGATGGACCACGGCATACATGAAATACTCGTTTCTTGGAATCGCGGCGCAATAGGTCAACCAGGGGCTTTGAGTCTTTGAAGGGCTCACATACTGGCAAAATTCTTTAGTCGGTCGCAATAATAAACAGCGGTCCAGAATCTTTCTTCCGTGTCCACCTCTTTGCAAGGAAACCTACTTCTATATTTTGCATTTGAACATATTTTAATGCTTTCATTTTTTTTTCTTTTTAAAAGATTTTTTCTTTACAAATTCAACCATGTTGACAAGGAGCTCTGCTTGGTTGTGTATTTTCTTCCTTGAGATGTTTCAAGTGAGCGTGCTGGATTTCGATCATTTCCGTATTACGGGTGGTGTTGTCGTTCACTAGCAGCGCAAGTCAATTCGGTGCTATTCAACAGGCATATGGCCGCAGATGAGCGAGTGTAAGTTGACAACGGTGAAATCTAGTGGCCCAGTGTACTTACTCTTTTTCCTTTCCGTCTCTTATTAGATCGTTGGAATATAGGCTAGGATGGCTGCTTGTATTGAGTTTCTGTAATTATGTCTCAGCTGGTTTTGGAACCACCAGATGTAAAGGGTTAAACATATAACTATTAGCTGCAACGCTTTTGTCTACTTGATTCAAAAATAAATTTTAGAAAAATTTTAATATGCATGTATTAATGATTTAGTTGTAGATATTGAAGTGGTACGTGGACAAGGGTGTCATAATATGGAGGGCAGTTGTATCAAGCTTTTTATCGCATTACACCCGTTGTCAGTGAAGACCGATTGTTATAATATCTGGGAATCGATGCGGGCACGACAAGTTCTAATAATAATTATGATATGTTACACAGAGCAGCAAAGCTGACACTCTTGTGTTAGTTACATTGCACTGTAGTGTTGCTTCCAGAAATTCGTACTCTAGTACCCCGTATGCTAGGCACAGAAACTTTTTGTATAGCAGGTTTTAGCCAACGGTCTCCCGAGCCAGAATGGTTGCAACGTTTATGGACCTTTGAAGAGGCGCTTCAGTCGCGGAAGATGCTATTTGTTGGCCGAGACGTACATTCTTGGTCGGATGTACAGCGTACGAATACGCTTGGACCGTTGTACCACCTATCTAATCAACCACTACATTCTGATGTAAGTTGGTGGAATGCTTGTAACACCCTACACCACGCACATAACCGTAAAACCACCAAAGATCATGACCGAGTATTTGCACTTGGAATCATGTTTCCGGATATTGTTAAGGGTATTACCGTCGATTATAAGCAGCCTTTGTCCGACTTATTGGTCCAATTTTATGCCCTTCTGGCGAAGAGCGATCTAAGCGTCTTGTGCTTCGGAGGAGCACGGTCCGAAAAGAATCCGTCATGGACTGGTGCTACCGGAACAGATTTACAGGACCGTTTCTTCGACACGGAAAATAGCGTTGCTGTTGTTGACATCGACGGACAATACATGCACGTAACTTGTACGAGTGTGATTAGCAAGATGCTAGCAGACACAGGGGAAGACCCACGTGCGTGAACGTACGACGATTTACCACCTATCCCTGGTCACCCCGCTGAAGAGGAGTTCATTACAGGCTACCTTGCAATATATGTTCAGCTACCTGGACACAAAAAGAGGAAAGTAGTAAATCTTTCTGATTTTGTTTCTTGCAACTTTGAACGTCGATCCTTTACCATCATCAACCCAAAGCTCCAGTTTTTGGCGCGTTTAATACCGCTTAAGAAGGAAAATTTGTTCTGGTGGATCGGTAGACTATTCCTCACAAAGGAAGTAGCTTCATTTTCATTCGATCTCACGGAAGATGAAAGTAGCCAAGGTACTGCTGGATATGAAGGAGGATATGTGATACTTTCCGGGATCCAATTCCATTCTTGGTACGATCGTCGTTTTCCAGTCATACAAAAGGAAGGACAGCATTACAAGGCAATCGGCACTTGTAGTATAAAAAACTCTGAATATTTTTTCGCTGATAACACTGCACCCCCTCAGACTTTTGTTATTAAGTAAACGGTATGGCATTTCCTTTGTATAGCCATGTCTTGAGCTCGCCGTCGTCCCTTGAGTTGATGGTTGAAACATCAGTGCTATACACTTAGTACCACGCATTATTATATCAATATGATAAATACATACAATGTACATCGTATATTTGGAAAATCCTGCTCAATTTGTTTTTGACCAGATGTCTTTCCACTGCACTTTTATCATCATTGCAAAGTATTATATGATGATAGAAGGTAACGGATGAAATCTAAGGTGATTCCATCCGCTTTCCAGTTGTCAAAAAAGATGAGGAGTACTACAAAGCGCTCGGTCCATGTGAAATAAAATAATCCGAATACTTTCTCGATGACTATACTGACAATGTTTTAAAGTATGATAACCTATCATTTTCTCTCTCACAGCGTTAGTTATGATTTATGATAGAGATAACTATGACAAAAAGACTTGTTGTGAGAAAAATGGAGTAAAGTGAAAGAGAGAGGGTGAAATGAATACCGAACAGCTATTGTATTAAAAATTTAGGGTCTAGCTATCTGAGGGACTATCTATTTTCCATGAGAGAGCGCAAATTGGATGCCACTGGTCATACGTCGTCTTCAAGTGCGTCTCTTTCTTTGCTATGATGTAATCTGTTACAACTGCTGTTGCTGATACTCTTATCGTGTCTGTCTGTTATCACTGAAGAAGAGATTTGTGTGTCTCACCCATCATTACTCGTTCATGTCAGCTCTCTCATACATGTCCTTTCTTTGCTGCGACTTTCAAGGCTTCTGTTACTATTTCATGTCTTGTTGTGCAAGGTCATAACATGTCTTTGTTATTTCTGACCCGCAATGTCTGTAAACTCGACTGCGTTTCTACCCACCTCATATTGCGTTTGCCTGGGTTGATTAACGAAAAGGCTATAGTGGTCTGGCGTAGAGATCGCGTGTGGCGCCATCGAGGAAGCAACCGCGACCTGGCGGAGGCAAAGAGGCTGTTCATAGAAGCCGTGGTTGTCGGTTGCTGCGGTAAAAAGCATTGACATAAATCTTTTTTTTTAAATTGTTCATCAATATAAGATTCCATGGTAAGCATCTGTTTTTTACTTTTTCTTGGGATAAGAAATATTGTGGTATACAAGCTGAGCCATTTATTTTCTCACATTTAGGCAGTGTACAATGGTTTGGATATCATTTGTGGAAAAAGAGAACAACTTAATAATTCTTTTTGCTCGTAACTCATATACGACTTTCTGTTTGAATATCTATAGTCGAAGATCGAAAACGGCCGTATTCGATTTCCTCAAGGCAACGTATGATGGTTTGACAATCTTTTTGGAAAGAGCGGGGATCTTCATTCGTAATACTATGATAGTTAACTGATATGACTTTCTGTTTCAATATCTATAGTTTAATGATCGAAAACCGCCGTATTCGACTTCTTTAAGGCGACGTATAATGGTTTGACAATCTTTTGGTAGCGGGTGGATATCACAATTTTTGTTTCTAGTAACTGATCACTGTATGAGAATTTTTGTGGATTTAAATTCTTGCAAAACACTAAGTAAATTAACAAGAATTCTTGTGGATTCCTTGTGAGCTTATATAGCGATAAAGCGGTCACACCTTTACAAAAAAGTATGACTTATCGAAGTATTGTCAAGCTATACAGACAATTATTGCTTGTCCACTGCATCTGGCAGAGGAAAGTTATGTGCATATAGTGCTTTCTGGTAGTTATTTTGCTATTTCCAGTAACTGAAATTATGAATGTTCTACCACGCTCTAGATCCATCTTTTCTTTTTTCTGTATCGCTCACATGATGGATGATGTGATCTTTCTTTTACTGCCACAAACAATGAAACAACTCATAGCCCCAGCTTACGTTATATATGCTCTCTTACCCAAGTGTTATCACGAACAACAAACTGTTAGGAGGAGCATAAACAAGCGAACCATACATGGGCAAGCACACAGAGAGCCAAAAAAAGTTTCGCTCTCCGCTTTTGTTGCTCTTTCACGACTACTTACAAAGTCTCTCCCTCTTCCTTTTATTTTCTGAAATTCAGGACTCTCTCGATCAATCATGTCCTCACCCAACGAATCCATCAGTGATTTCGGCAAGTATCACCATAAAGCAGCCTAAATTTTATTCCGTTTGCTCTTTGCCGTCTCTCTTGGGCTGTTCAACTACACCCACGTCCATACAGACACGCATACATAACGGGTGAAGGAGAGAGCGAGAAGTGGACGGTTGTAGTGACGGCGTTATATGTATACGCGCCGTCTACCAGCCCGCGTCAGCTTCAACGTTTTGATTAAAGAGTTTATGCTTACCAAACAACCCATTAGACGATGCCGCATCTACCAAGAAGCGAGGACGCGATCAATCCGTAGAACCTCAAGACGTTCCTGCGGACGTTGCTGTAAGTAGAGCAAGAGTGTCTGGGGAAAGTGGGGTTGGGTTTCGAGTTCAGCTTTTCTTATCGTACATTGCGTTATAAAGTAAATGCTAAACGTTCTGTGGACTTGTATGTAGAACAAGGTAGACGGGGACAAGCAGCCGACTTCTTCTGCACCCAAAAAATCGTAAGCGTCTATTATATTGAAAATAATTAGGAAGAATTTAATGCAGAAGACTAATTGATGTATTTCATCGCTATGCTGTTTATATGTATCAACAGTAAGCGCGACGGAGAAGAAGAAGATATAGAACCATCATCTGCAACGTCAGTACGCACGATCCGTCGAAATTTAAAAGACATGTCTACGGCTGATAAAGAATCCAACAATCCAGAATCCACAACATCATTACAACCTAACGAACAAGAAGAGGATACCACCATGCATCATAACGAAGAAAAAAATAAGGAGGATGAAGAGATACAAGAGGCATCTTCAGAGACAATCAAAGAAGCTGCGGTAGATACAACGACAATGACGAATAATGGCTCATCACCTTTGCTGCATGATCAACAAGCAGAACAACAAGAGCAAGAAAAAGAATCAGCATCCGAAAAAAAGAAGCATGCATTTGCGGCATTCGGTGGTGGCAATGAAGATGATGACGGTTGGGGTGAGTTCGCAGAAGTGGATAAAGATGAGCAGGCAAAAAAGGATTCAGCGGCTGCAGCAGAAGAAAGACCAAAGTATACATTTGGCGCCACATCCGGGTTTGGTACTAAGGGTTGGAGCTCACAGCAAACAGCCACTCCACCGGTTGCACAAACGACACAAAAGGTAAAGATAACAACCGCAAATTTCTCTCAATTGCTTTATCACTAGGCACTTCATGAAGATATTGACATGTTGAAACATATCATATAGCCAACATTTGGCGGATTCTCCGGATTTGGTGCATTCGGCTCAAGATCTGGCACCAACAGCTCAACAACAGCAACAACAACAACCCCGTTAGTGCCAACAGCTTCTAGCAGTAACAAACCTGTGACGTTCGGATCGTTTGCTCAAGCTTCTTCGTTTGCCCTGGCGGCAGCAAGTAGCCCTACGAATGCCTTGCAGTCCGTATCTGTACTAAACAAAGACTTGAGCTATCTCTCAAACGCAAGCACCACTACGGACAATGAAGACGACGGAGAAAGCAACAACACGGAAACACGTAGCGCAACATTGACACCTGAACCAGCTGCCGATAATACCACCAGCACGACGACAAACCCAATTAAACCTGTGAAGCAAGCCGAAGTGTTTACGGGCGAAGAAGATGAAGATACATTGTATCAGACCAAGGCAAAACTGTATGAAATGGAGGGCACCACGGGCAATTGGAAAGAACGTGGTGTTGGTACATTACGTATCAAGCAACATAAAGAAAATAGCGAGCGCAGGCGTGTCGTGATGCGCGCAGATTCTGTATACCGTCTCATCCTTAATATCCGACTGGTATCGTGGCTCAAGTTTGAAATCATGCAGGAAAGATTTGTACGGTTTGGTGCGATCGAGATGGAGACGAACGAGAACGGAACAGCGGAGCGGAAGTTCCGTAGTTTTGCGCTTAAAGTAAGATTTCTTTGCTGTTCTCATTTTATATCGTTGGCAGAATGGATTGAGGAAAGAGGAAGTAGCACCCACTAACTGTATACATCAATAACAAAACAGGTAGCAAATCCTACGGCCGCCGACGACTTACTAAACAACTTGGTCTCATCGCTACCCAATGAGGACGAAAAAGCAAAAGATTAATGATTTTAATATATATATAAAAATATACAATTGTTTTTTATACTCTGCTAGTTTGTTATTTTTTCGACACGATTAATTTGAAGAAAGACAAGTTGGGGTTTGAAGGGTATTGATCAAAAAAGAAATTGGGGGAGCGAAAAAAGAAACGGATTTAAGAGAGGGAAAAGGGAGTGAAACGAACCTGCGCGTTGATTGTAGCTGTTTGTTGTAGTATATATACAAGAGTAAATAGAGAGAGGAAATTGAGATAAAAGGTGAGGGACACGTTGGTTAGGAAGGGGAGGATCATTCAATAACTATGATAATAATCTATCGCATCTTTCAAGAGATTCCACTAGGTGGCTGTAGCATGACATAGTTGGCCGGGAAAATGCCCACTGCACCATTCTCTAGACGACCTTGCCACCAATCACTGGAATGGCCGGTGGCAGGATCCACCTTGGATGTGACAAAGATGGTCTGGCCTTGCCGCAAGTTCAACTCCATAGGTCCCTCTGCAACAAAATCATGCATGACCGTTGCCAACTCCTCTTTGCCTTGCAATAACAATCGTCGCTGATTATATTCGCGTGCGCGCTGGAACAATTTGTAAAGTGCGTATGGGAGACCCAAAAAGATAGCGAGAGCGAACAGAATAGATCGCTTGCGGCGGATGGGTTGTTGTTGTTGTTGTTGTTGTTCGCCTTCTTGACCTTCAGGACCTTCCAATTGTCGTTGTTGACCTTCTTGTTGAGGTGGTTGCTCCAAGAGTTCAGGTGGTATCTCTCGTCCAGTCAATCGATAAAACAACCGTTTGAACCATCGAATCCATGCATAAATGCTAAACAAGTTGCCAAGATAATGCTGCAAATTTCCAAACTGTTCAGCAACACCGACCATGGCCATAAAACTGGAATGTGTTGCCATGAAAGTCGAGTCCAACATTTGTGCGAATCCACCAAATGCACTGACAACTTGTGAAATGACTTCAAATGTAGCTCGTGTACTAGATTCCATGCCTCCTTGTTGGCCAAATTCGTCGCCTGGTCCGCCCATCATGCCACCACCACCAAAACGACTGTATGGGGACCCAAAGCCGCCTAATCCGCCATAGCTCCCGTAGCCACCGTATCCGCCATAGGATGATCCGTAACCACCGTAACTCGAGCCGTAGCGACTGTATGGGCTGCTGTATGATCCGTATCCACCATAGCCTCCCATGGTGCTGCCATATCCTCCCATGGTGCTGCCGTATCCTCCCATGGTGCTGCCGTATCCTCCCAAGGTGCTGCCGTAACCCCCCATTCCCCCAACTAATATATTGTTTTAATACCCGTCTGTTAACTAACGTTATATAAAACAGAAGCAATCGTATGCAGTAATATATGTATCTTTACTTACCTCCTCCATAACCGGTTGTGCTTGCCATGGCCGATGGCCGATTAGGTACAGCGGGGGAATTGACAGAAGAAGTAAGATCAGTCGTTATTGAAGATGCAGGAGCACCGCCACTGAGTGCTGAAGTGGCCGAAGTTGTTGTTGAAGCTGCTGTCGTCCCTCCTGTTTCCCAAGGTTTTGGAGGACTAGGCATAATAATTTAGACGAACGAAAAGTTCAGAGTAGAGTGTTTCTTTGTAAAATAAAAGGAAGGTATATTTTACCCCGCATCTGCATTCTCATTTTGTCAGCACAAATTCGATACTTCCGTATCCTAAATCTGGTAATAAAGTTGAGTTTAAGCATGCGAGAAAAAAAAAGTACACATGGTGGAAAGAAATTCCTTCATATCACAAATTAGCCGCGTAACAACAAGTAAATAAAGCCGTTGCTCAACGACTGAATTACCGGTTACTGGACGATGTCTCATACAGTTGCTTTAGGGAGGAGAAAAAGAGGGGATAGAGTGGCGGTGAAGGCAATGACGAACCTTCACTTGTATACAACAATTCATTTCTGGAAACACTGTACCCACATAGCACACTTAGTATGATATATAAAGCCATGCTGCAACGAAGAAACAAAGCTGATACGACAACCAATAAGCATCTCCGCTGGGAGGACCAGAAGAACCGTACATACTCTTCATAACAGTGATGGTGATGGCTTTACATGATAAAGTTGAAGGGAAATTTTCCATGACGGAAACAGTGATATCCTCGACGCACCATAATTCTACACTTTTGAGAGATGCAGTACGTGCGGATTGTCTAAGCGCCCTCCGACTGTACCAAGTGTGACCTATTTTAGAGGCGATGAGCCGTTGTTGCTGTTGTTTTCTCCCAATGATCAAAAAAAGCTGGTCATCGTTCCATCACAGATGTATCTTGCCTCGGTGAGACTGATTGTATGGAGCGTAGAGTTCAGGTAATGTATAATCGTCAACAACGCTGCTACGGAAACAGGGTGATAGTTTCGCAGGTTATATCAGCTAAGCGACGACGACCAAGGATACCGAACGACACGTGCCGGAGCTGATTTCGGAAGCGGTGGCGTATAATGAAAAGTTTGGTGGATCGATACTTGTTGCTGTCTACCACCAATACACGAGGGTTCAGACAAAGATCAGCAACACGCTCTAAAGCATGACCTGGAAGGTAGGGTACGATGATTTATAGCGTTAGAAGCGTCGTTGTCGGTTCAGTAGGTGGAGAAAACGAGGAATCGAAAAAGTCAAATATGTCCAAAGTGTAATAGTCCAGGCATGTTAAGCTTTTGCACTTTGAAATGACAGAAATCAGTGAAAAAAGTATGGATGCTTTTGATATAGTTGGGCTGAAGGTTCGATACAGCAGGTATGCCAGGATACATGTTGACATCACGCGTTATTGTGCAATCTAAGGATACGAATAATTTTTTTGAGTTATAACAGAGATGTATTCAAATTCGCGTTTCCTTCCTTACCCTTATTTTTTTCCTGTCTATGTCTATATGTAAACGTTTACTACTGACCAAAGCCGGCCAGCAAGAGTACCTTCGTGAACGAACAGATACTATATGTATGCATTCGTCTATAATAAAACTTCAAATCATGTTGCTAACAAGTTGTTGAAGAAGGCGTTGCTGTAACGGTGGCTCTCTTTACCCGGGAATCGTATTGATTGGTTGTTGTTTCTACGATATTTTGTTCATAATGGTTTCAAGTAAAAAATTATCGGCGAAGTACACATGATGTATGCTCAACTTAGCTCCGACCTACAAGTAGCGAACTTGGATCCAACTGATGTGGCGTTGCTGATATCTTGAGGCTAAATAAAAGTACTAATTGATGTACACAGTATATATACGTAGTGATAACTTGAAGAGTGATAAGCATCTAATTTCAAAGGAAGACGAAGTAGGTGCTGCCGCAGTTACAGAGTAGATATATGATGCGTTACTCTGTGTGTAACTCTACGTAACCTATGCTTCATGATTCACCAGCTTCAGACAACTCTGCCCTATCTGGCACAACTTAAAAAAATTACATCATGATGATGCTCACGGCGTGTGTATACATGTGCAAAGTGTGGCAACAAGTAGTTTTTTTTATTACGGTTGTATTACGAATTATGTACAGAGTTCTTTTTCAAAGTTCATCGCTCTCACTTTTACTCTTCCTTTTTAGCAGCTACAGATGTGTTGGACATGGAGTTCTTTGCATCAGTACCAGTAGTATGAGCTTTGGCGAAATAAGCTCTGGTTTTTGCATAAGCTGAACCCATGTTATCGTTCATGTATGACTGGGCGTTGTTCATCTGTTCCTTCAAAATAGCTTCTCCTTGCATCAAGTGCGAATCCACGATGCCTTTGTTGGACATGTACAAGCGAGGGAAAATGAAGGCTGAAATGACAAAGAAAAGGATAATGGTGCGGCTTGACATGTGTGCTGAAATGGCCCAGGTCACGTAAAAGATGGCAAACCACTACATTTTACGTAATCTATCATTTAGTCAATCATAGCGACATCAACAGTGTGCGTGAAGAACACGAGTAGATATCAGTAATTACCTTCAAGCTGGTCATGGAATCTTCGATAAAGACAATGCGAGCAAGTGCACGGATGATGGTCTCAGCAATATCGACACCCAATGAGCTGTAGTGATGGACCAAACGCTTGTCGACCGTAGTCAACTGCTCCTTGTTACCAATGACACCTCTGAAAGACATGCATTAGCAATTACTACTCTTTTTTTTTGCGCAAGCAATAATTAAAAAGCGACTCATACCGATAAGGATGGACAACTTCACTGCCTTCAGAAAAGACCTTTTGAGTCTGGGTCACAAATGTGACATAGATGAGATTCAACCCGATGGCGACAGTCAACAATGCAGCACCGAGTTGGAGCAAAGAATACGAACGGGTCAGCATGATTGAGCTGACAATAATGGCCAACGTAGCGCCGGAACGAACTGGGTTTTTCCATTGCAAAACGTCATAAACATCACGTTCTATACGACGGGTAACATCGTTACGTTGCATATCTAACAACCCATTTTTTAAGCATTGATGCTTTACTCTTTTGAAGTAAACCTCAAATGTAAAGGAAAAAATGTATATACCAATAGAGCTCTTATCCGTCATCATTTCATTTTGGGTGCCAACAGTCTTTTGTTGACTTGCCAAAGTAGTAGACGGAGCAGTGGAAGTTTTGTTTGTGTTGTTGTCCTTCATTGTTGATGATGGGAGGTCATCGACACCCGTTTTGCCAGCGCCAGCAGCATCATGCGTCTTGGCCGTGTTATGGCTGAATGGTTTGGCGGACCGTACGCTGGTAGGTTCGGTGTCGTTCATTTTGTTATCGTCCAGATCGGCAAGCACTGAGGATTTTCTTTTGTGGCCGTTTTCTTCGGGTGGAGTAACAGGTCGACGAGTATAATCAGTATCCATTTTCAATATAAAAAAAAAGAAAAGACCGGAACCTTTATAGCGAGGGGGGCTTGTCGTGATATATATATAAATCGTTAATGAAAGACAGAAACGGGTAAGGCCAGGAATTGGAGTATAAGCGGGGGTAATGCGATACAATTTGAATGCAAGGGTTTGAGGTGCGGCACCATTACAGACAACTCGAATAAATAATGACAATGGTGATGATGTAACACCATCATATGTGCATGATTGATTGGCTATCATTACAAGGGTTATCCTAGCTAGTTGTGTTGGCGGTATTTTTAGATTATACCCAAATGCCAATGACAGCCATGACAGCTGCACCAGCATACATGGAAAGAAAAGACCCCACTTTGGTAGATCGACGCATCTTTTTAAACCGATCATCAAAAATCATTTCGCTTGCCAACAAGTTGACCAATCCCACATAGATCAAGATACCAGACGAGACCGCGTCAAAAATGCCTTGTGCCAATAATGCAGCGGCAGAATTGCCGTTGTAGGAAGAGGAAATACCCACGCCAATGGCTGCACCTACTGGCGTCGTCCAAGCGAAAAATAAGGCCATGCCAAGCGCTCTTTTGCAATTGATCATGTTGACTTCTGCTATCCGTGCGCCCAAAGCAAATCCTTCAAAAAATTGATGGAAGCATAGTGCAATCATAAGGCCGGAAAACTCGTCTTGTCCAGTGACACCCAAGGTTATTCCGATGATTACCGAGTGTGTCAAGATGCCGAATTCTAGTACGACCGTGCTGAGCCATCGCTTGGTATCGTTCATGGATTCGCCCTTGGTTGTGGAGTCCCACGCAGTGCGGTCGTGTGCAGGACATGAGGTGAATGTTGGCTCTAATTTTTCGTCTTGTATCGTTGCCCGCCGACCATGAACATAATAGTTTTCGTTGGCCACTGACTCGTCCACCATGGTTACTTGTGAGCGCGGCCGGCCGTTCTCGTCGTTAGTATTGTTGTTGTTACTGTCAATATTTTCGTCGTCGTGTCCGACAGCAGGATGGGTGTCAATGATGTCGTGCGTGCATTGATATGGTGGTTGTGGGGTTTCAGGAATCATTGTATTATGGGCGGTTATGACTGGGTCGTTGTTTGTTGGATCATGGTGTGAGCGTAATGTGCTAGTTTGATGCAAACCGTCAAAACGGTGCTCGAGTTGCGTGGTTGCCAAGTATTCAATCAATTGCATAGCAAGAATAGCACACATGGCGAACAGCATGGCAAATGAAGGATATTTCTCATGCCATACATCCCCAAGACACGGTGAGGCGAGCTTTTCAGTCGCGGGTTGAAGCATGTGAATTAATGCGGTGGCAATGATAACGCCAACGCCGAAAGATTTGCCTTTTTGTCATTGGTATTAGCGAAACCAACGATTTCGTGCAATGCATTATCATCATTGCATATACAGCAAAAAGAATGAAAGAACGACATACCGAATGTGATAACACGTGGTGGTATTCCAAAAGCAGGGACGAATTTAGACGCGATGGGTATCAGTACGCCAAAGCTGGAGACGGCAAAAATAATGAATATGGCTGCTATATGGACGGGGCGATTGTACGATGACAATGCTTCTGCTGAGCATGACTGTGCGTCGTCCGCGTCTGGTCAAATGATTACATTTATACTTTTTTGTAAGTTTGTGCCTTTCTTTTCTAGTTCTCTTTGTGGAATGACTTTTACCAGACGACACGGTCATCGCAAAGACCACCCATATCAGCAACAGAGGCAATGGCCAAATCATTAAAAAATGGAAAAAGAGACCGGAACAAAAAAATGCGACTAGTTCGAACTGATAAAGTAAAATGTCAATACAAGCAAACAAAGTATTACATTTGGAACATTGTTAGCCACCTTGGCGATGGCGTCAAATTTACCCCAGCCTCCCTCCTCAATATAGAATTTACTATGCGCGGAAATATCGCCACTTTTAAATTGACATCATGGAATAACAAACAACGCTTTTTGTCAGTGGGAGATCATAAGCCTTGGTTATCCTCACAGTGAAGGCGATTGGCAAAAGTAATAGTAATAGTTGCTATAAATGAAACATGCTTATAATTATAAGGTTAGTTGAAATCGGTGGTTTCTAGTCACATCTTGGAAAACACTCTAGTCATGTAAAGTGCCTGACGATATTCGCTTAGATACTGTTGGACGTAGCAACTGAATCTGCTACGACAACCTGGATGCGCATCAAGCAAAAGTAATCAGTGTCGATCTAGGCCTTGTTATATCGGGGATGTCTCAAATCAACTCAATGACAAAAAGACCGACGCAGGTGTAGTTCAATCTTTTTAGAGTTGCAGCATGAGCGCCCTCACTTTGACAATCAAAAGAACTGCCCGTGTTGCACAAAGATTAATAACCATTCTCATTAAAAGACATGATATATGAGCAAGTTCATAAACTACATAAGCACGAGACATACCTTTTTACTCTTTTCCTCTTCTTCCCCGACCGATCGAATATTCTCCAGAAAGAATAAGACGTGTATATAAACCATCTAGCTAAATGGTAACTACAGTAGAAACTACCACACAATCAGTACGTACTGAAGCTGTCGAAGCACCAGCACTGTCACCTCCACTTGCCAGCAGCAATACCAATCATATCGGCTTTACTGAATTTCGACTTGATCCACTCGATGCTCATGCCACACCACCTCATCAACTACGCGAATCATGTCGAACATTCACCTTGAATCTCGAACCTACCCCCGGCACACCCCTTGCACAATCGTTTAAAAAGTTTCAGGACTGTTCATATTCGACAAGTGGACCGAATCGTGCTCACGACACTACACCCCATATCTCCATACTCGGCAAAGTAACAATCACACGAGGCGATCAGTCGCAATGGCGTACTGCTGACCGGCTCCATCAAATTATCAGCCAACAAGTACAGTTACTCGATATGTTGACAGCACCAATTTTTGGCGGTTATCAGACCATTTCCAAACCTACACGCGCACTCGTCATGCATGTCCATGTCGATGCTGATTTTGCTAAACTCGCTCGTTCTATCCATCGACTCATGACGCCCGAACAAGGTGTCAATTTCCAAACCATCCCACCCATGAACCGTATCTATCTTGCCTACGACATTTTACATTCTTTATCCCCCACAACGCTGTCCAAGTTGAATACCTTAGCCAAGGAGACTATCGTTGTCGATGATTGGGTGTTGCACGGACAAGATTGGCAGCTGTCGTTGTATGAAGTCATCCTTGAAAGTCGCGTAAAAGGCATACAGCAGCAGGCAGTCTTGATAGATTCGTGGCAACTTAACAAGCCTCAAAGCAATACTGCACCCTCGACACCCTGGTTGTCAAAGTCATTACGCGTCAAACTTGCAGTCTTGTCAACACGTTGTTTTGGACCACGGCCCTCTGCTTCTACTTCTACTTCCTCGGCATCTGCAAATCTTGTCAGCAATAGTAGTACTAATGAGAACGAGATAGAATCACGTTCGTGACATATGCATTTTGTATACCACTATCGTAAACCTCCTCTTCCATACATCCTCCTCCATTCTCTCCTCTATCACTGATTATGTAAAAGCAAATGCACTATCCCAACATATTTTTCTACCCATCAATCTTCATATCCAAAAAAAAAAAATTCAAGCCATTCGAGTCGATTTTATCGTAAAAAGATGCATGGTGTTGTTGTTTTTTGCCAGAACGTATGGGGCTTTTTTTCAGTCTGTTGCGTCTTGGTGATATATATGTATATGTGTTGCGAGTTAAAAGAAAGGAATAAAAGAGAAAAGGCGCGTGATGTGGTGTGTTGTACGTGTGCTTGCGCGTGTGTGTTTGTGTGCGGTTTTGTTCTTTGAGAGGGCGTACGTATATATACCTACGTCAAAGCTCACTCTACTGCTCCATTTCCGTATCCTCGTCCACCCCGCGAATATACAAAACGTTGTTACATCTAAAAAAAACCAGGTACTCTCAAATTAGAAGCTGTCACGGTGATTTACAACCACACAACACAGCATACCTGATCAACACTTCGCCCAAAGTGCCTGTTGAAACACCGTCTTTGAATTCTTCAGTGTTGGCCAACTATTATTTTTTATAAGAAAAAAAATTAATGGATCCACTCACGAATGGCTGCTCATTGCTGATTTGAAAGTTAATTGTTTATTACTTGAAGATTCATGTAGCCATCAACAGACACGAGGTAACCCTTGTATTCGCCACCCCATTTGAGCTTGACGATCACAGGCTTTCCCGTAAGATCATTGAGAAATGGTTTTGGGTTTACGGGAACAAACTACGCAAAAAAAAATTAGACCAGTATTTTTTTTAAAAAATTCTAACACTGAAAAGCAAAGAGACATCGCGTGCAGTGTTTATATGGGAATAGCATAAGAAAAAGGAGGAATGCTTACTGCGGCCATGATTTGTTAAAAAGTGGGAATCGATGAACGGAGTCGACAAACGAACGCGAAGCCCAATACTTTGAAAGCTCAAACGTCGGAGGTGACTGAGCTTAGAGTGATAAAGACGTCACTAACTGCCAAATCTAGAGCACAAATGAATACAGGGTCTAGAGTGTGATAGTGGCTACAAGTTCTTATCCTATCCGTCAAAACCAGAGATCTTTGAGCAACCGCTTGTACCGTTCAATTGATTAATGTACAATGAATCATATGGAAGCGGTTATAGAGTACATTAATACATTTGTCAAAAAGACAAGTAGCAAATAGGTGAGAAAAAACCATTGATTGTACATTTTTTGATCCTGTTATGTATAACCCGTTCATGCATAACAAAATAATACTGAGTGGGTACAATTTGGGATTGCAGAGATACAGCCACAGGTTTTCTTAAGGGAAAATGAAATCAGACTTAGCATGAGCATTCACACCTCCGTGCGTTGCGAAGACGAGCTGAGGTGATCAGAGCATCGTGAGGAAAAAGTGTCGTGCATGTAGAGTAGTGCGTGTAAAACGGAGAGCAAAACTCACCAGTCAACGCACTATTGATGGTTCTTCTCAGGATATGACTTGCTTTGCTCAGTTGGTGTAGAAAGATCGACGAAAAGGCGGTAGAACTAGTCTGTCCTTTGCAATGATGGATGATACTGATGTAAGCAGATTGATGTGTATCCTTTACGTGCATCACGGTTGCTTGTGGTGCATTGCTTTTTACTGTTGACTTGGGCACTGGCGGTTATTGCATTTTTAATGCTGTTGACTGAATGTATCTTTCCGTCTGGCATATAGAGATGCTTCTTGATATACAAGACTGGTCGAAAGAGAAGAGTGACTCGTTAGCTAATACAAATGTTCACCGCTATTTGATACGTTAAATGGCCCATACATACCTTTCACTCGACATTATTTTTATAAAATATGTTTACTTCTCTTTGTGTGCGCGATCAGCAGATGAGACAATTCGTACTATGAAATTGATGCCGCATTGGACATTACGAAACATGATAAGGATGGTGGCAAACCAGTATTTTTGATGTTGAACGATATGTAGTAGGTTGTTAGTATTACCTAGTGAACTACCAGTATAAACGAAATCGCTGTACTGGTATCTTACCGTACAAAATCGCTCATATTTTCGAGTTGTCTTACATTATTCCTATGAGATACCGGTGAGAAATCATACAAACAATTATGGCTTGCGATAGCTCGTATACCTACGGCTTTTATAAACATTTAAAGCCCCTGATTTATATCTATTATCCACTGCTCTGGCATTACACTACTTTTTCGGGTCATATCCACGAAGTGCAACTACGATGGTGAGCAATAGCGAAGGTATCTTGAGTTTGTGTATTTTATATTGGCCAGATTTATAGAGCAATTATACATGCAGATATCTTCCTTAACTTCAAACACCATTTGCTGGTTTTTCCCAGAAGATTTGAGCCCAACCTCCTTGGGCAGCAGTGTATGAAGTGGATAATGCTCACCAAAAGGGCCTTTTATTATTGTATATCATCCTATATAACTCTTATAAGGTAGAGCTATATGTTCTAGCGCACCGTATACTACGCTTACACTATGAATGATGCCATTATATTTTACATCAGTCTCTAGTATTTAATTATCAGGTTTTTTTCCGACTAATGACAGAGAGGAATCATACTGCTATTAGTAACTCGTATGGCGTCGACTTGATATAGTACCATCACGCCTAGCCTCCAGAAAAGTGCTGGTTTTCTTATTATTGCGGATATACACTCCAAACAACGTGTAACGGGCGTTTCTTTATAGTACATACAAGGCTTCTTTATATCGGTAAGGGAACCCCTTCTATTTCTGACTATATAATCGTGTGACCCTTCTAGCAATAATACCTGTGATGTTGTTGCTATTGCTATGATAGGAGTGCGACGAAAATGAGCAGAGAGAAACTGACACAGTTCCACTAAAAACGGAATTCCTCTCACGTTACTCCTTTCTTCACCCCCCTCTTTTCTACCTTTTTACCCATGCCCAAATCAGCCGAGGGTACCAAAGGCCCAAAACCACGCAAACTTGGACGTCCACGTAAGCCACGCGAATCGAGCACCCATCAAAAAACACCTCAATCGCATCCGCAGCAGCAACAACAACGACCAGAAGGAGAACAGCATAGCCGAGTGCAGGACGTCATCCCTCCTCCTCCGCAGCAACAGTCGCCTGACGTACAAACTGCTTCATCCGGTATCAGTAATCGCAGCAGTAGCTTTCATACAGAAGATGATCAGCAGCTGCAACAGGCACCAGCATCTTCTTTCTCATCAATGAAACCACCACCACCAAAAGAAGAAAAGCAAGTTACGACGACGCGTCATCAAGGAGCAGCCACAAGTACTGGTAGTAATTACGAACATAGTAAAGATAATCGGCAAGCAAAACAGCACATCGACCCAATCCAACACTTTCTCTTTCATCACGTAATCCTTTCCAAGATCTTCTCCGAATTCAGTCAAAAGGAATGTATGACTGCCATGTGTGTATCGAAACTTTGGAAGCAACGCATGCCTGCAATTTGCCCGGCAGACTCATGGAAAGTTGTGCAACTGGATGCGGCAGATCGTGCCTTGGAACGGTTTCTGTTACACTACTGCCTTGGTGCTATTCTCGGTATCAAAGCGGTCATTATCAGAGGATTCCATCGACAGCAAGACCTATTTAGCATGCTGCGCATTGTGAGTGAGCGCAACTGCATCGCGGTCGAGTACTATAGTAAGTAATAGGAAACAATATAGACTACGCAAACTATTTGTAATTTATTAAGAAAACTTTAACGTGCCCATTAGATTTTATCGATTGTACCATTACCGATCCTGCACTGTTTATGGAAGAATATTTTTATCCCATCAGTCAACGTACAACCAGAGTGGAGTTCCATAGCCAGAATGGCAAGCTACCGATCCATCTTTTCTTGACTATGTGTCCCAGCCTTGCTGAGCTTATTGTAAATTATGTCAATGAGCGACAGGTGGATGCGCTGCAACAGCGGCTGTTGTACCAACCGCCACCACAAATACCAACTACAGCCTGTCAAACGTTACAATTCAACATTGCTGCTGGATGTAACCTCAGGAGCTTGTGCATCGGCATCCCAGGACCGAGAAGATTAAGTCGCGAATACCAACAACAGCAAGAATACAGACATGGTACTTCTCGCCGTCGTAGTGAGCATCATATCAATACATGCACCGCCGACGTTTTGGCAGCTGTCATTGACAATTGCCCGCAGCTGAATGACGTTATCTTATCATGTACTGGTGACAACCTTGCACCAATCGTCATTCAAGCCTTAACTCGACTTTCTGGACTTTCTCTCCTTGCACTCTATTACGATCTCACACCTAACCACTACGACGGTGCACTCTATGCTTTATTGCAAAGACACGTTGACATGGGCCCTAAACGCAGCTCTCTCAAATGTTTACTCCTCAACGTTGCAGACGATACTATCTTGGATTTGGTCGGTCGCATCCTGACGCTGAAATTGATTGATTTGGCGAACGGGTTTCAATTAGCAACCAGACAAGGCATCCTGCGGTTTTCTATGCGGCTGGGAAGCAGTTTGATCTTGAAAGACTTGATACTCAAAGAGTTCGATCTACGTCCATTCGAGATTCTCAATCATATTGCGCACGCGCCAAATCTGACCAGAATCGATATCAGTCATTGCGATGTGGAGCACAGTGGTTATCTCAACTTTCTCAATAAGGCGCAACAGTTGCAGGTGGCAGTGCAGACAATATATTGCGCGCCTCAGCAGCAAGAAGTGGTCCAATTGATTGACCCCGATACTGGAATTCGCTTGCCTTGTAGGGTGGTGCCTGTGGACCTCCTGTTTGGTGGTTTGGGTATTGTTTGTGCTCGGAATCCTTTTTTCATCATTGTCGAGCATCAACCTGCCCTTGCTTCTCTCACCACTTTCTCCTCCCCTGAAAATATGACCTCCCCTAGTGCTTTCTGTCCTCATTGACATATTGTTCATTCTACTGTTTATAACTAGCTATATTTGTTCGCATTAAATTAAACATTGCTTTCAGTCATCGCTCTCTAGTCACACCTCAACAGTACTCTTACTTTTACTTTGATGAATTTGTCGGCATAGGATAGTAGTATCATAGTGTATTCGACTGTATATACCGGCTTCCTACTGCTTTTGCATATGATAAAAAAAAAGAATGATGAAGAAAGACGTGTTCTATTTGGTGTGCCTCGAAAAAGATGTATGTTTGACTCTATCTTTGAAGGCATCAATCAACTTGCTGATGGAGATAAAAATCGCTATCGAAAGCGATACTTTTTTATGATATTTGCTACAGGTACTGTCTTTATATCTATCAGCAAGAGGGAATTAATGACGTAACACGGTAATGCGATTATATGGCCCTTCAAATTATACGTTCTGAAGCTGCAAGGTATGTAACACAGGATATTTATGTTTTGGAGGAGTGAGAGGGATGTGATGAGTACATCCCATATGTAGCCTTGATTTGTTGCTTGTACGTCGACGACAAAGCACTGTATAAATGATGGAATGCTAAAAAATACAGATAGTAAGGTACTCTGCACATATTAAATCTCCCACATATTCATGATTCCTTTTTCCATGTATCATATGTATTTCCTTTCCTAAAAGCATTTTCCAAAATAACAGCACGCGCGCGTTATTCTTTTCGTCACTATCTGAAATCAAGATAGAAGTGATACATCCGGCACGCCAGTACAGAGCACCATATAACAACAACAACAGCCACCAGTAGCTTCTTCGGTTCCAATTGAGTAAGAAGCAATAAGCCGCAAACAATAACATAACAAAATGATTTCTTTAATCGCACTCAGATTTTATTCAAATTTATGCTATTTATCAGATATTTTCTCGCATCTCGACGATCCAGAGAATTTCTTGACAGCCATGTGTGTATCAAAGCTTTTGGATGAAATGGCCGCTGCTTTGCGTTGACGCCTGTAAATCAGTGACATTGGCTGGGTCTAAACACGACGCTTGCACCGCTGCTTGGGTACTCAAGCGGCAACACTGTGTTCTGCGCGATCTTCAACAACCCGCCTTTACAAGAATATATGGATTGCTCACACTAATGTTTGAACCGAGGCACTACAGTTCTGTAAGTAATAGTGAACCGATGACAGTATATTTAGTAGCAAAAGCATCACACGGAAACATGTTTTAGTTGTGATGTTTTGCATGTTTTGTACATATGTAAGATTTGGGACATACAATGTAAACGACGAAGAACAACGACGGGGTATTAGACAAAGCTCATCATCATGTACCGCTAAAGAATTGACTGGTAGTCAGTGCTCTCCTTTGAAAAAAATTGGTCTGTCATATTTATACTGACGACAATCTGGCGTCCCGCGCGATCAAAATTGCTATTGTGCGCCTGCCTGTACAGCACGATCTTAAGCTGTACTTCTGTATGATGATCATAGAAAAACTCCCAATCAAAGCGATGGCGGGGCTGCTTTTAAATACTTGCTCGCAACCCATGTTGACTTGTGTTTTTGCGGGTCCTCTGCGACTTTGACCCACAATGTTGCGGACGATACAGTATAGAGCTCGAATTGATTGGGCACATCGTGACATTGCGGATGAATACTCTTATTGACGACTTTGGAACGGGGTCGTACCGAGGATTCAATCAATTTGCTAGTTTTTGGCAGCCGGAAATAATGATCATAATCGTAGAATTGCTGCTCCTGGTGTCCTTAGTATACAAAGTATATCGTTTCGCAAGTTTGATCTGCGGCCAATGTCTCACATGAAACGTTTCTCTTGGATGTCAAGTTTGGTTTTGGCGGACGTGTGGAGCTGCGACCTCCACCAGGAAAGCTACGCTATTTTCTTAACAATGCCCAAAAGCTCGATATAATTTTTCAACCTTACGGTGACGCTAATAGACTGTCAGGAGACACGCGCTTGACATAGGAGATTTGCAAGCGGTGCCTGTCGTGAACGATCACGGAAATAGGTTGCCGTATCGGCTTGTTCATTCTACCCGCAAGCTGTCGAAGCAACTGGAAGGCGCTACCCTTACTTTTGTTGTTAAGCTAGCAAAAGACGCTATTTTAAGTTTCTTTTCGACGTTCGACTAACTTCTGTCGCTCAAAGGAAAATTAATTACTTCTGTCATTTCTTGCTTAGAGAATCATTCTTATACAGTCAATAAGTAGTGCAAATTCTCGTCGTGTAAAGGTTTTCCCTTCAAAGATAAACACATGTTGCTTTCAAGCTTTTGATTTGAGAGTTTATAGTATCGATATTGTGAGCTATCATACTATACTTCATGGATACATGCGTTCCTTTATTAACTCTTTCAAGGAGGCTTTGACTAACTGCTACACACAGCGCATACGCGGAATTCGAAATATTTAATTGATGGATGATGACCATTGCTGCACATCTCGTCTTTCCCTCTTTCCCTCAATGCCCAAAACTCCATTATGGACGACACGTCTTCTGATACCCATATTGTAGAACAGTCCGCGAGTTGGACCATTCGAGCTCGCAATAGCAGCGATCCAAACTCTTCACGACCCTACATTTATAGACGTTCTTATTCTGCTCCGGACTCACAACACAACTCTAGCAATAATAGTGCCATAACAACTCCCACGACTGCTACTACACCTGGAGCTGGCGGCGGCAACGATCCTTTGTTTGAAGCACGTGTTAAAGCATTTGCCAGTCGAGCCAACACACAACGTATACTAAAATACTTGCATGCTAATTCTGTGACCGAACTTCGACGACGGAATGCCGAGCGCCAAGCACGATTAAAGAAGCAGCAATATGACGAAAGTATTGGCACAGGTGCTGTTACTGCTGGATCTCATCAGCTACAACAACAACAACAACAACAACAACAGCAATCGACTGATGACTCCAATAATGCAACATTACAGCAACAACAACCACAACAACCAGCAACGACAGAAGGCTTGGTCATTTCTAATGAACGAAAACCATGGCAATTCTTAGATTCGTCTACTGAACTTACACCACAAGACCAAAAGGCGTGGCAAGCTAGTATGCGGACCGACGTTGTCATGATGTATCCACACCAATGGTTACGACTGGCGAGCATGTTTAGTGTTCAGTCAAAAACACATCGACAACCAAGCTTGCTGGCCCCAGCGGCAGAGCATGCAGCTAATTTGGATCGTGGAGGACCGGGTGGACATACGGAAAGTTATTTAAAGATACGGGATACCCAGAATCGTAATTATGCACGAGACGCGTAAGTATTGGATACTGGTAGTAGTAGTAGTAGTGAAAAGAATGGTGATCAGTACGCGAGATGGACAATTTTTATTCAAATTTCGAGCTACGTGTTATTTATTAGTGTTGCAGAGGGAGTCAAGCTGATGGAACAAAACCGGTTGAATGACGCGATGGAGCATTACAAGCGGGCATTGGATATGGATCCAAAATATGCAGAAGCGTGGTTTCGTGTCGCTGAAGGGTAAACTACGACTTTTGCTGCTGCTGTTGTTGTTGTTGCTTGCATGGGGGCACTCTACGATTCAATTTAAAGTATTGACTCTGGGAAAAAAAATATGTCTATTAGACTTTTGCAACAACGCAAAAAGACAGAGGCAATCGAACAATTGCAACGTGCGCTTCAATACGACCCTAGCCACGTCGGTGCCAAAACATTGCTATGCAACGTCAAAAATACATCGTCCTCGTCATCAGGCAAGAAATCATCATCTCGACAACGGCGCGATGTTGTGGATACATTATCTGAAAAAAGTTCTCATCGGGATCGATCCAAGGAAGAAGGACGACGACCCAAACGGCGGCAGGATAGAAAGAGTGATAAAATAAACAAAAGGGATGATCGTAGTAGTCGACGACAACAAGGAAGAAATGGACGTGATGATCGACCCAGACGACGACGACGGTCGACATCATCATCATCATCAAAGTCTTCTAAATATGAATCAAGGAGCAGCAGACGACGACGGCGACGGGATACAGACGATGAAGTTGAGGAGGAGAGTCGGGGTACTCATCGTCGTCATCGCAAGCGTCGCGCTGATGACAGTGATGATGATGCATCCTCAAGACGACGCAAACGGAGCCGTTCTTATAAAAGTGAAAATGAAGATGATGACAGTGGTGGCAGTCGTGAGCGAAGACATCGACACAAGGAAGAGAAAGGACACACTAGTAGCAGGAGTCGTAGAGATGATGATCGGGGTAGGAGAAGTGGTCAAAGACGGAACGAAGAGGATGACAAACACAAGGAGAAGCAGCGATCAAAAGACAAGATGGATGATCAAGACAAAATGGATGTGGAAGTCAGGAAAGAGGATGAGATATTACCAAGCAGTGGTAAACAAGATGATGGTGCTGAAAAGGAGAGTCGACGACGTGACAGCATGGATGATGACAACAAAAATCGCAACGATGATGATTATCGTGGTCGTCGTCGATCCAGGAAAGGTGCACGAGGGAATGAGAGCGAAAGCGACAATAACAAAGACGATGATGATGACAAGAAACGAAGATCACATAAAAGCCGAGACGATAGATCGCCACAACCCCAACATCAACGCAGTAACAACAACAACCGTCAACATCGATCATCACGAAACAGATCGCGGTCTCCTCCATCCCCCTCTTCCTCCAGACGAAAGAGACGACGAAGAGGGTATCGATCATCACGTTCATCACGTCGATAAAAACCCCACAATTCCCTCCTCTCCCCTCATTGTTAAAGAGATCAGATAAAAATTGTAAAGAACTTTAGATAGAGAGAAAATGAAAACTTTTGATAGTACGGATGATGTTGAGGATCTTTTGTTATTGTTGAGCAAGTCCGTGTTTTCAAAAGTACCACTAGACTGACGATTCAAAGCGAACAAATGACTCCTGTATCGATCTTTGCTGATTTCGGCTTCGACATCGCATTGGACCATGGTATAGACGATGCGGAAGCGATCAATCTAGTACACCATCGAATATCTCGTATTGGTCTTTATCTTTAATACTGCTAGGCTGCCAGATCTGGAACGTAATAATTAGTCTATGTGCTGTGAAGAGAGAGTTCTCAAATTGATGATTATAGTTATTTTCTAATGAAATACACTAGTACTACTGCTTTTCCGTACATGCCGTTGCCATCTTCCTTGCAAAGATTAAGACGCGCCATATGTCCATGATGATCAGGCATATCATTCATGGAAAAGTTGGTTGATTGCCCAGGCTTATAGAGAGCATGCGGCGAAGGGCTCTCGAAATACCCGACATTGTCACAGGATACCATGGATGGGTGTTGATATTTTATAGAAACGGCTGCTGCCATGGTGGTGCATGTAAACGATGCGAATTACAAATTTCGTTCATACTATTAGCACCACCGAGAACAGCAAATATGTATACCAGTGAATTTCAGATTTGAGAATGTCTTCATTTTGTGAGTGTGTTGCTAAGAAGCGCGTGTAAATGTATTATGTGGATGGATGGATGATATAAAACGGCTGGCCCGTCTTATGGACTAGATGTGTCCCCTCTGTACATATCTCGCATTTCCGATAATAATATATACAGAGAAATCAGGCAGTGGGTGCTGGGAATATTATAACCCTTTCGCTCTCATACATATGTACCCACGCCCCTTCGTCTTTTCTTTTTGCATGAACGCAGAGTTCTTTGAAAAAAACCCCGAAGGATTCTTAACTCCTGAAGCCACCATTAGCAGGCATGAATAGAATGGCCAACCAAAATCAATTTTATGATCCGTATATATGGAAAAAATACAACTTAGAAGGTGAAAGGTATTCTTTTGAACGACAGACTGGGGGAGAAGGGATAAAGAGGATATAAAAATCTTTCATAAGACGCATTATAAAGAGTATAAGTTATATAGCAGAAGGAAGAGAGGTAGTTATGTATGATGGGTGTGTGTGTGTGTGTGTGTGTGTGTGGATAGCGAAGATGAGATAGATCTAGACAAGTGTAGAAGGGGTGATACAATGATATGATGCGTTTGTGTGTGTTTGCAGTGACCAGCAAATAAAACGAATTGCAAAATAAAGAACTAAAAATATACATACGAAAAAGCGAAGAAAATTATAGAATAAAACAATGTAGAATAAAAACTTATACAAATCCACGATAGTATGCTGGCTGCTGTTGTTGCTGAGGTGGTGGTTGCTGTTGTTGCTGTCCTTTTTCTACAAGGCCATTTCGTGCTGCTTTCAAACGGCCATAGGGCGACACGGCCGTATTACCATTTCCCATCATTTGAGAAAACCGGTTCAATAGCGAATTGCTCCGTGCGACTGGTGCAGTTCCATTAGTCGTAGCAGCAGCAGCAGAAGAAGAAGACGACGATCCAGTTGCAGCCGTCGAATGTTCGGACGAAATCGATGCACTCCGGTTAAGGTCTGCTGTTGGACGTTTCATTTTGCTACTGACCGAAGCAAAGCGCTGTGACAAACTTCTTGTCACATCGCCTGTGCTTGCCCTTTTCCATGCCTCATCGACACGACCCCCACTCCTGCGGAACAATTCATCCAACGACTCACGCGACTCTCGACGAAACGAATCAAAGCTTTGTCGAGCCATATCGGCGTTGTCCCGTAATCGTTGTACCCGAGTAGAAGACCCGTTGGATGCAATGGAGGATGTGTCGCTCCAGTCACTGGCAAACAATCCGCTGTTGCGTTTGTCGTAGGCGCCAGGGACAGGTTTGCCGTTGGCAATGGCATCCAGTCGCATTTCTCGTAATGAATTGGCTGTTGCGAGCACTACTTGAATATCGTCGATAGGGTAATTCTTGATTCAGGGAAAAAAGGCAAAAAGAAATGAGTAACGCCACTCGGGGAAGCATCTCTTTTTGTTATTTACCTGCAGTAACCGAACATTTTCTGCAAAGTCGCCTTTGAGGATGTCTTGTCGAATGCATCTGTCGACGAATCAAAGGTAAATAGTGTTAGCTACTCATACGTGATCAAGATAAAGTACGACGATCGATAGAGGGGGAAAACTTACAGCACCATAGCAACAGCAAAATCGAGCAAGAACTCGAAGCGAGTCTCTGCCAAGCCTTCCTGATTGCCTCTATCAGCCAGGATAGAGTCCCACAACCGAATCACGCTTGGTAAGTCCCATTCCTGCGAACAAAGCACGGTGATCCAACGGAACGCATAATACTGCTCCTTGATATCTTTCCGTCGCAGATCCCGCCACAAGGGTTTATCCACCCACGCCAACCGCTGACTCATGCGCTGCATGGTCGCGTTGATCCCTGTGCTTGCATCCTGATCCAGTGACCGTACGAAATGGTCCCGGACATCCGACATGAGAATTGTAAACACGAAAAACGCATCTGCTTCAGCATACGCTTGTGCTTCCAGATCAAAATCGTCCTTGGCAAAGACATAGTAGATGGGTGCCAGTATTTCGTTCATGCCTTGCACATACCCGACACCTGGGTTCAGTTTGGCATAGATGAACAGGATCCGTTCGATCGCTTCCCAGTGATAATCTTGGGTATGGAGGTCGGTCGCATGCGATTGGCGTGCGATTTCTTCGGGTGTGGCATTGTCTCCTCGCAACAGATTCTCGTTGTTGATATGGGCAATGCGTTTGAACAAGATGCGACGGTTAGTGACAAGCGGACAGATGGGTTTCAAATTGCGGATGTTGTGGTTGTGTTTCCGTTTGGTTGTTGGGTTTGTACTACTCGTGGGAGGTAAAAGAACCGACGTGGAACTGCCGCCCTTGAAGGCAGATGAGAACTTTCGGACAATATTCCGTGGTGATGCTGTTGCGTCTGCGTTTGAATGTGTAGAGTGTACTGAGCTTTTGGAATTAGATCGTGATCGAGTATTGTTACTGTTGTTGTTGTTGTTGTTTGCAGCAGCTGATACTCGAAGCGATTTCTTTGATGCAGTCGAGGAGGATCGTGGTCGACCCATGAACCCAAACGAGAACCGGCGTCCTTGCGACGGTCTGTTTTCCGCTGATGATGATGTCGATAATGGGTCTTCGATCGATTGTTCCTCTGTAGCAGGTGGCGGTTGAATTTCTTCCGCTCGTGAGAGCGGATTCAAGTGATTGATAGGCACCTGCGCTTGGAAAAAGGCAATATCGGGCAATGTGCGTCGTACGTCCTTGTCAATCTGATCCAAGATAGAATTGTCATGAAAATACGAAGCCCACTTTGATCCTCTCTCGTCATTGAGTGGCTAATAACCCAAAAATAGCCTTTTTTCTTTAGTAATTTATGCAAAACCCACCCGTGAGACGAAACTTACATGATCACTCGACGGCGGTTCTCCTCCTGGATCCTCCAATAAATCTCGAGCCCAATTCTATATGATGTATATATAGTTTAGCACCATGCATGCTATTTTTTCACCTCTCGCTGCATTGTAGTATATGCATAACAACGTACATAATAACTTAGTCGTTGTGAATGCAGCACAGTGTTCCACATTCGTTTATCCGGTGGCAAATAACCAAGCAACACTTTCCATGCCGTGGCACGTAGTCCAGACTCGTCGGGTACACCTACATATTATACGGTCCGTAAGTATATTACACACACTCTTTTGAATCTTGGGCTTTACCAAAAAAACATGCTTCACGGAAAGATTTAATGTCAATTATCGGTTTCCAGTTGTTCGTTTCATCGCCATCACTACTTGTAGGCTCTGATCGTAATGTGGTCTCAAAATAATTGATTCTGGATATTATGGAGTGTCATCAGCAAGCAAGCAAAACTCAATTGCAGGTTCTACCGCCCATTTCCACAGTGATGACAGACACTTTAAGTTCCACACACATTTGCCCTAACCCCATACTCGCCTCCGCGAACTACTTTAAGTATTAATTGGCCGCTAAAATTACCTTTCTTTATATGTTGAGTCCATCAAGTGAGCGGAGAGAAAAGAGAAAGAGAAAGAGAGGGAGGTAAGTAAGTTGCTGTGGGAGGAAAGGAAAGAAACAAAGCTCGTATGCAGTGATTTTGCTTTGCGTTTCACCTTGTTTCTTATTTTGGTTCCCGCCTCTCAATTTAATTCTACGGGCTAACTTATCGGGTGGCAACAGATCCCCCTCCTCTCATGGTAATACAAGCTTTTTCACTTTATGTGTCTCCAACGAATATATAGTTTAACATACGCACATAATGGAAGTTAGTTGACAAACAACAGAACGCCTTTCTATTTAATATTAAGTTCTCTGGAGGACGACCCGTGCTAAGATGAGCTTCAATTATGTGTGGGGACTGAGAGACCTTTATGGTCTCATTGCAACGTCGATCAGCAATAACAACGCATAAAAACGTTCAGTAAAGAAAAGTAGCTCTTGTGAACCTTATTGGTAAACCTTTTTAGACTACTACAGCTGTACAAAACCAACAATCAATAACGAAATAGGTTCACTCGACTCTTTTTGCAAAGCAAATAGCTTTTGAACGAACTTGGTAAGTCTGGAACTGCAGTGAATATCAATGTGAACAAGTTACCTTGCAAGAGAGCATTTGATTGAGCCTGAATGGGAGAAGGGTGCTCAATTCAAGATATTGCGTTACTTATTAGTTGCCTGTGCTGGTTAATAAACGCATATCAATTGTATGCAAGACATATCTTACTGCCTGGAATGAGTGATTGCGTGGATTGTTTTGAGAGTTTGGGGGGGGGGAAAGAGGATGCTTAATTAATCAAGTTTAGGATGAAACATGAAGTTTCCTTTTACGTATGATACTTCTGCTGGACTGAAGCTGATGTATTTATTCGATTGTCCAAGTGCAGTGTTGATCGTTAGATGGAGGCTACGTTGCCATGGTATTGAAGGCGGGTAATTGAAAAGACGGATTACTCGCAATAAAGTTCAAAGTCCCTCTTTTGCCCGCCACTTTCCACCTCCGAGTCCATTCGCTTCTAATAGGGCCGGGGGGTGTATGGAGGAGCTGTTACACATCCATGAAAAAAAAAACGTGCTTCTCTTATCATTTACTCTAGGTTTTAGGTATTTAAAGAATATCTGTCGCATTCGTTACACTTCTTTGCCACAACCATGACTTGGCAAAAAACTACTTCAACACAAACACCAACAAAATTTAACGTCTTCGCGTATCTCAGGAAGTCACCAGCTTATTTAGGAAAGCATGCGCTTCAGACATGTTGTACACGTTGCTCTTTAACGTGTACATGGAATTCAAAAACCATTTTGTTTTGCAACGTCTCCAGCTGCCCTAGCCGACTTGTGGGATGGATATGAAACCCGCGTGTGGTGTGTGTGTTTGTTCGGAGCTGTTTTGCCACGGTTAGTGAGCCAGTTAGTCAGCCAACCAACCAGCCAGTGTATACGTATACACTTGGTTCTACGCAATGCGCTCCTCATGACACGTCTGCATAAATTCTCTCGCAATTACATGACTCTCGTTTTCTCTGTTGTCATTGTGAGCGCTTCTATGAAAAGACCAGCAGAAGATTGTTTTGTTGCCATGACGACGGCTTAGGGACGCCGCGCAGTTGTGTAACGTCAAACACAGAAAGAGAGAAAAGAAAAACTCCTCCTAATTTGCCTTCTATTATTTCAACGTAAATAATGAGCGACAAAGTCGTCCTGATTACAGGAGCAACTGACGGCTTAGGCAAAATCGCAGCTGCAAAGTTTCTTGCCGCTGGCAACACTGTCATTATCACCGGTCGGTCCGAAACAAAGCTCAACGCTACCGCTACTTGGCTTAGTGATCAGCAGCAACAACAACAGACGACAAGACTATACACTATTTTTCTGGATCTCGCCAGTCTTGAATCCGTACGCCAGGCAGTAGACGCATTTCGAGCACTCGGCCTTGGCAAGATCGACGTGTTAATCAACAATGCCGGCACAACAACATACGAGCGTGAATATGTCGCTGAAACCACTGCCGTGGAAAAGACCGTCTTTGTGAATGCCGTTGCACCATGGTACTTTACTCAGCTCCTCTTACCACACATGAACGACGCAACTGGCAGTCGGATTCTTTTCGTTACATCGTCTTTACATGATCCAAACGTACGAGGCGGTCAACGCAAAAATGATAAAGGCTTACCGACCCATGTAACATTGGATTCTCTGGACGGACATATTGCGTGGGAAAGCATGTTGTTCTACAAGATTTCCAAACTGACGCAGCTCTGGCTTGCGTCCGTCCTTGGAGAACAACTGAAAAGTCAACGGATACAAGTCATCGCGCTGTGTCCTGGCTTTGTACCCACCACATCATTGAATCGAAACACGAGCTGGTTCTTGCGTTTGCTCATGTATTATGTGATCAGCCGTATGAGTTTTGCCACGTCGGAAGAAGATGCGGCGGACGATTACGTGTATTATGCGCATGATGAGGAAATTGAACGAGAAGGATTTTATTATCGAAAGCGACAAGTGGCAGAACCGTCCGAGGATGCAAGGAACTCGGACAAAGCCAAACAGTTCTGGAATATGACATGCGATATTTGCCATGTGCCTGAAAAACGGATCTAATACTCTATCCTTTGCTTATCACGCACTCTTCCTGCAGCGTACAATGTATGTACCCTAAATAGGGTGCCGCTAAATCATCATACCACTCTTCCCCTTTTCGCTGCTCTTCTGCACTATTTCCTTTTCTTTTTCCTACTTGTAATATTAACTTATATAATAAAATATATACCCCTCAGAAACAATCCATCCTTCACCAATGTCCACAAAGCAAAATGTACCAGAGCATATGCGCTGGTATGTGGTCGGTGCGCATCTAGCCGGCGCTGTCGATAGTCAAATTGTCGAAATGACAGACTTGACAAAAGGCAGCATTCGTCAAATCATTCAAAACTTCAAACGTACCGGCTCACCTTCCATAGCACGACTAGCACCTCCCGATGGTAATACGTTTTTCACCGTGCGTGCGAGATATAGAGTAAATATTAATATGATATCATCTCTCTCCGCACAGATCCACACTATGCAGTTATTGCGGAGACTGCACTCGACAACAGCAGCAATACCGCCGCCGACACCGAACAACAGGTAACCGTAGTTATCAAATGCGACACCCTCATGTTTCCGTGTAGCTAAAAGAATTCAACCCATTTACTGTATCCCAAAAAAGGACCACAAATCCAAACGACGAAGGGTGGGAGCACGGAGATTCACTGCGAATCAAGTGGTACAACATATCCTGGACGAGTCCGAGGTATAAGATAAATTCTCAGTTGATAGGGGGTATGATTTTTGGGTGTCGATAGAAAGTTTTGATGTGTCTTCGTTTTAGAAGAATGGTGCGGCAAAGCCTAGTCATGGTACTGCTACGACAAAATCTACAAAATCAACAGGAAAGAAAACGAAAAAAGAGTGGACACGCGAAGACGATTCAATATTGCTACAACATGCTTGGACACGGTTCCCTCGAGCTGGTGGCCGATGGCATGAAGCGGAAACCAAAATGGAGAAAAGACATACGGCCAAGGAGTGTCAGGACCGTTGGGATGTTGTACGACCGATAATGATGGATGCTATTAATCGCTACGGAACTGAAGGATGGTAGTAGCAGTAGTAAAAACAGCAGGACAACTTTACTGGTGCTACTGCTATGCACCTATATACCATCGCGCGCTCCTCACTTTATATATCTTTCTTATCTCGAGCAAGTCTCTCTTTCATTATTGCAGTACTCCTTTGCTGTTAGTAGTTATTCTATCTCGCCTTACTACACCTTCTTCTTCATGACACACACACACGGAGACATCACAACACGCCTTTATTTTCCCGTGTGCTGCTTATTCGATCTTCTCAGTGCTCTATATATCCCATACTTCAGCTAACCGGAAATAGCAAAACAAAATATCAATGCATACGATCGGTTCAGCATACCATTGTTATCATAAATAACCATTGTCTTAAACTTTCTGTTGTTTCTTTTATTCTTTAAAATCGGTTTTGTTTAAAAACTTCAACTACTATACATTAATATTATAGCTGTGTATATGGTATCTATAAGAAGAGGAGGTATGTTTCCTATAATACGACGTGTAGTAATAGCAGGAAATAGCCACTACTGTGTATTTAAAATTACATTGCTTCAGTTTGTAAAAAAGAAACCAGGTGACTAAACAAATCACAACGAACAAAGAGTAGATTTTTATAATTTACCATTGCTGCTACTATCATCCGGTCCTCCTTCTTGTAATGATATGTTGTCCACTACGGCATTAATGCTTTTTTTTTCTTGACCCGTGAACTTATTGTCGCTGTTGAGTTTTTCTGCGTTTAATTATGTCTGACCGTTGAATCAATGCATGTTCTTGTTCCATTTTTCCCTAAAACAAATTCATCCGAATTGTCATCAGCGAAAATAGGACCTATGAGCTGGTAGACTGAAATTCAGTGGCCGCTCGTTATAGTGATATGCCCGGTGAGACCCAACCCCCATCACTATATCGAATTATTACTTTATCGAATTGTAGTTCCGTCAAAGATATCCGGTACATAGATTACCCGGGGTATTTGGCGAGCTCTACAGAAGAATCTAGAATCACATCCTGTCAAAATTGATAGTATGCAACTCCTTAAAAATTTAGTGTAGGAGAATAAGCTGAAAGGCTTCTATCTGATGAGCTTGGTGCTAGGATTTTGGATACTCATGAGGAATCATGTGGCATTGATGGTATTGATTTGATACCACATGAAGAATTAGAGGATATCCATGCACCAACTTCCTTCTTCAACTACCTCATTAACGATGCTATTATTGATAGAGATTAAGGTACGTTCATAAACGGCTGATGTAACCGAAAAACCCATCACTATATCGAAATATCACTATATCGAATATCACTATAACGAGCGGCCACTGTTCATGCTTTAGTATGAAAGACTAATTGGACAGACGCCTATGGGCATGTGCTCGCTTTCTTGCGGTACAGTTGTGGAGAAGGGATATTGGTTCATGATGATGTAATGCATTAACTGAAGAAACCTCCCACAGAGGAAAAAACTATGCTAGCATAGATCAATAGTGCTATAATTGCGGGTGGCGAAGGATAATATAGAAGAGTGTATATCATAATAGGTTACAGTATGATTGAAAGAATAAAGAATGGGGCCAATGGTATTGTCTTGTGCTGGAGTAGGTGGAGATAGTAATGGGCTTCTTTTGAAGCTGTTTCGTCGTCGTCGTTATAGCTGTCAAGAGGATGACTTGAGCGATCTATCTCCCTGAGGGGCGCGAATTAGCGCTGGCCAGATCCTTTTCTATTTGTCACAGAATAGGCCGGTATTAGAGAGCGAGAGATGGTTCACTATGTGGTCGACCACCTGATTGTCAAGTAGTAGGTCTGATATCTGGCTAAACGCGTCTGTTGAGCTCTTTAAAGTTTCGGACGTAGCAATGAGCATTAAGAAATTTGGTCTCATTAAGCTTCCTCGGCCTCACGGCGACAGGATGACCCATTAAGTTATAAAAAATTTGAGATTACATACATACTTGAGCTTGATCGTATTCGGCTTGTCGGGTTCCACGAGCGACCAGTGCTTGATTTATTTTCTGTATAACACTAGTATGATAGTAACAGACACAAGATAAAATGGTTAAACAACGGTGGTAGAATTCGTTCATTGTTCCTGTTTGTACCATAAACCAATCTATCATTAATTTATATCCCTCGCACCACCTTGCAGTCGATAATGTATTTATCCAAATTTTACAATCGCTTTTGACAAATGACACGATTACAGTATTTGTATCATAGTTTGTTTATGCGCGATCCGCAGGTCCCTAACTATGGTCGTCAATTCATCGATATGCCACTCGTTGATTGCGGAGAGCCCCGGTGATTAATGTTAAACTATCAGGTTGTAAAAAAAAAAAGAAGGGAAATGGTGAGCTATTTTCCAGATTACTCTCGTCAAACTCTAGCTAGTCCCAACGATTTCTCCACATCGTAGATACTAATGCCACGAAACAAAGAGAATTTTTTTCACCTGTTCCAGTATTGTCAACGGTTGAATGCCTTCTATTGTTTCATTCTAAGCACCTGCTCCTGATGACCATCCAGCTGCTGCTGCTGCTGCTGATGTGCTATGTTAATATCGGTCGAAGTGGAGAAATTTGCGGGAATGAATGATGGCATTGTTATTGTTTCTGCTGTGTGTTAAAAAAGTAAAAAGTGGAGGTTTTGAACACAGCGTGAAAGAGGATGGACGGAAGAAAGTAAGAAATCCGGACGATGAACAAGATGAGAAAAAGTCTTCGTTTTCTCGCATCTTGTGTGCTTTCCACATCATAGCTTTGGAGAAGAAATTGGGTGGGGAAGGCAAACATTTGACAAGGCGATCCCAGAAGGCCGAAGGCGCATTCAAAAGGTAGTAGTTCGCAGTCTTTCGGACACCTAAAACGAGCTTCCAAGACCCTTTGAGGTCTCAGGTGTTCCAAACGGTAATTATCTAAGAATGTGGATAAATAGCGACCACGACGACAGCGATACTTTATTATTTGGTGACAATGATGCTGAAGACGATGTTGTCTTTGTTTGGTCGAGCGTAGAGTATACTGCTCAACTTGTTGACATACAGTAAACAAGTCTCTTTATATAACTTTTTCGCTTCACTCTGCTATAACGTTGAAAATGAAATTACCCGAAAACAAGTGCGTTCAAATGTCGCTTAGTCATGCTGTGGCCATTCCAATTAGTATGCTTTCGTCCATTATCCCTCTTCCCAAAGACTTGTCTTTAACTACTGTAGTTAATGAACAGAGAGCTTAAAAATAAATTGGAAGAGAGTGAAATGAAGAGCATCAAAACCTGTATCATATAAATAAAACGCATTTGGTTAAATTTTTGTCCACACCAGCCTTTTATGTTTCTCAAAGTGATGAAAAGTATTTATCCAAAGGTACTCCCCGCGGTGGCATGCGTACATGAATGAAGTTTGTTATTTTGAGGAATAAGGGAACACTAACTTCTTGTTTATGTTTATCTCTAGGGATCCGTATCAGAACCGTAGAACCGGAACCGAACCGAACCGAAACCGAGAAAATACGGTTCGGTTCCTGTCAAGAACCGAACCGGAACCGAACCGGTTCTGTATAAGTAGAACCGAAGAACCGAGAGGCAGAAGATTGCAATCAGCGATTTTGGTAATTAGTATAAAGTAGGCTATAATGGAAGTTACGAACAATGTTATTCCGAAAAGACCACGAAGTAGTGTATTTGCAAGCCATACTTTATTGAAAAACTTAACAAAACCTGCAAAAGCAGAAGGGAGTAAAAAATAGTAAAGAAGAGAAGAGAAAAAAATAAAAAAACACTTCTTCTGACGGCAGCTTGCTTTCTCCGCCCATGACGCACATCATTACTTCCTCTACTTTGCTACCCACAATGCATTTTTCTCCATGACGTACTACTTTACTAGATTTATCATGGCTTCTCGATCAGTTTTATCAAGTTTGTGCATTCCGTTTGAGATTGCGCATTCTGGGGCTCATAACAGAATTATCTTACCCATTCACCCTTTGCCTTTTATGAGACACTATACACTATACACACGTAGAGACACAGCAGCTGTATGTACTGCCGGTTGTGGTTCAATTCCTCCAATGTTACGATAACATATTGTACTAGTAATACTAAGTCGCTCTAAGTAAGTACTATAAGCTCCACTTTTTTTTGTAAAAACTGTGCTTCAATCTTTTAACCATGCAATGACCCACATCGTATGAGAATGTTTACATTCTGTTTCTCTTATTCATTTTGAGATCGCTGTTCACTGTACAATAATAAATTATTCTTTTTTACTGCAGTATTCAAGTATACCGCGACATTTGAACACACACATCAGCTTTCATTTAAAGATACCGAATCTTGCCTTTTTTATATACATGATGGGTTCGGTTCTTCGGTTCGATTCTTCGGTTCTACGGTTCTCGTCGGTTCTAGTCGGTTCGGTTCTTGCTTTAGACGGTTCGGTTCGGTTCCCTTTAAGAACCGAACCGAACCGAACCGTGCGGATCCCTATTTATCTCCTATATGTTAGAACGAATCATCACTAGCTATTCTGCTAACAATGAGCAAGTGTCAATAGCAGTACTGGTAGCAGCCGAAAACCATTATTTAAGGTAACGATTACATATCATATGCAGAAATATGATGCTGTAAGATGTTAACACTTTCCTCTGCTTCCAACACGATATTGTTATGGATTAATCTTTAAACCTTCATTCGCCCACGCTTGCAAAATTATTTACTGGAGAGAGATTCAGTCATCGCTCTAATCAATTCAGCTGTTTCTACATAAAACTCATAAGATGCCACTACATAATGTTATATAGATAATGTCGGTTAGCAAACGGCAGGAGGTTACAACAATAAATTAATCACTGTGAAGAATACATCCGAGAGTCATCAATTCGCGCCGTTCAAGCGAGCTATATCAGCGAGATCGTCGCAGAGTTCATTTCAGAGACATGATTTGATGACTAGGGTAGTATGTCCATTTATATTGGACAACCCCATTCAGACATGAGCCTCTATAGGCAATTAGCAGCAGAAGTGTAATTCATTCGTAGCCCACATAATACACTTAAATGACATACGTAAAAACCTTATACACTCTTTTCGGAAATCATTCGCCAACTTCAGGGAAAAATTGGCTGACTTTGAAAAAAGCAATTGGCCAATTTGCTGAAAGGGGATTGGCGAATTAGCCAAGCTTGAAGATTCAAATTAGCCAAGACTGGACCTTTTTTCCCGTTCTTTTTCGTCTATTTTATTGAGAATGAGAGCTTTTGTGTATGATGATGGATTCGGAAATCTTGTGGGTGAAAATGGAGAAGAACCATTTGTTGTGGAAATGGAAGTCGATTTGGAAGAATATCCCTTGGATAGCATCACCAATTATGATCAATATATGGACCTGAAACCTCTAGAAACGCCATTGAAAGTGAAGAAAGTGAAAGAAGAATCCCCAATGGAGCTGCCTACAAAAGGGCGACGCAGCTACAGAAAGTACACCGATGCAGATAAGGAAGACTTCTTCGAACTGATCTACGAAAAAGGACTAAATGTTTCTCAAGCTGCAAAAAAATTAGGTATGCCTGTACGCACTGCTCAAGGCTGGTACAATAGAGATCAAAATGACCCTCAAGATGTGATTCAACGAAAGCAAGCAAAAAAAGGACCTGTTGGAAGGCCACCAAAATTACATGAAGAGCATAGAGAATTTTTGGTTGAACTGATTGACAACAAGCCGGCATTAGTTTTGGACCAAGTCATGGATGATCTAACGAAACAGTTCATAGATCTGGAGGTGTCAAAAACTGCATTGTACGATTTTATGAGGAATAAGTGTAGAATTAGTTTGAAGAAGGCTCACTTCCACTCAGTCGATCGAAATTCTCCTGAAAGCCTGGAAAAAAGACACGACTGGGTGATCAGATGGCAACAGACTAATTTGGATTATTTATGCAACTGCATATTTATTGACGAGGCGGCTTTTCACATCAATATGAAAAGAACGGTAGCTTGGTCGAAGGTAGGTACCCATGCAGAAGTCGTCTTGCCTAAGACTCGAGCAAAGACAACGACAATCCTTGGTGCAATTTGTGCAGTTGGTGTTATTAACGTGAAGGTAAGAAAGCCAAGAGCTTTGGTTCAGAATAAAAAGAGGAAGTCAAGAACCGGTGCAATTACCAGCAAGAATCCGGGTAGAGCTGGTACTGTGACAGGACATTACTTCAACTTTATATGCGATACAATGGATGTTTTGGACAAGCATGAACAATTTAAAGGACACTATATTGTGATGGACAATGCGCCTATCCACAAGAATCGTGATATCGAACAAGAGATCAAGAGGCGCGGCTATGGCTGTGTGTATCTTCCACCCTATTCCCCTGAACTCAACCCCATCGAGCAATTCTGGTCCGTTTGCAAAAGCAAAATGAAACGAGAACAGCTTTTACAAGAGGAGACGCTGTCCTCAAGAATACAGTTGACCCCCGCTTTTTGCACCTCCGCTTTTTGCAGATCCTCAGTTTTTGCAGCTTTTTTTGGAGGAATCCCGCTCATCATTTAAATTGCAGTTTCCTCACTTTTTGCATTTTGCAGCCCAAAACCAGGACCTGCAATTTCCCGCTAGTGGTTTTCATTCTCCCCAGAGAGCGGCGACACTGAGAATCGAACCACTGATACTTCCTAGTTTTCTATATAAAGCTTTATATTTATTACATAAAGGTTTTATCACTGAAAATAATTGGTGATCCTGGATTGTTTGTTCTGGCTTTTCTTGCGGAAATCATCCCGGACTTTTCTGAGCTCATTCCGGATGTTTTGATGTTCCGGGGCATCTAAAATAGCAATTGTTTTTTCTAGTATTCTTGTTTTTTCTTGCAAACTATATACTGGTGTAACAGGTTCAGATGAAACAACAGTCATGCTAGTATCTTCATTGCCGTTGTCAACAACATCATCAGCTACTTTTTCATTAAGAACAGCACTAACAATTTCTTCATCGGAAAGCAGTGGATGAACAGCTGCAATTTCCTCAGGTAGATCTGCATCAAAAGTGAAATTTGCAAGGTTGTTGGCACCATAAATAAGACTGAGATGATCATCAATCTGGCCAAGTGCAACTTCGTCTGCATTGTCTGACCCACTATCAGTGCTGCTAGTCATGACTGCATCTATTACCCTCGTTTTTATGTAGCAGTTTACAATTGTCAGCACTAGAACACTTTGCCATGCCTCATGACACCATTGTATTTCTGTCAAAACATCAATACGAAACGTATTTCCGTTATCAACAGGCAGGCCTTTTTCCAAGCGCTCCTGAATTCTGCTATATGCATGCTCATATTGCAAATTCCTAATACAACAGAGAAAATGGTTACTTTCAAATTTCCACATACATATAAAATAAGCCTATCTAATAATTATAACAACAACGTACTTGAAATGCACCTTGAAGCTGCGGATAATACCAGCATCTAAAGGCTGCATAAGCGATGTTGTATTTGGCGGCAAATATACTAGCTCGACATTCTTTGGCTCGTAATCGCAAAAATGGCCCGAAAAGTTGTCTAAGAGCAATGCAATTTTTCTTTGCTGATACACCATCGATTTATCCAACATAGTAAGGTACTTCTTGAAGATATCGCGCGTCATCCAAGCATTGGCATTTGCACGGTACTTCGAGATGTCAACCTTTCTCTGCTGTGCCTGTTGTTATATAGAAAATATAATAAGCAGTTGATCATCATCTTTTACTTTCTCGTATAGCATACTTTGCTGAAACAGGTTGGGCGCTGTGCCTTGCCAATGAACCAGGGGTGCCACTTATCAGATCCATCAGCATTCGTCGTCAATACAAGTGTCAACCGCGACTTGTCCTGCTTGACCCCTTTAAACGGTCCAGGTACAATTGTAGACACAGGAGCACTGGAGTAGAAGACAGCTGTCTCGTCCATGTTGTAAATGTCCTTTAACGTATATTTCTCTAGCATTCGTTGTATTTCAGGCAACTTGACTTCTGCGAGTGTGACATCAGCAGAGCTAGCTTCACCACTTATTTTTTGGACCTTGAGGTTATATCGTTTTTGGAAGCGGTTTTGCCAGCCATTGGAGAATGTCAAGTCCTCAGTTGAGATTTCAGCTTAGTTGCAAAGTTTTCACCAGCTTTCTTAATAATATCCCAATTGATTGGGATCTTCTCATGGAATCTTTGTTCTATCCATGTATATAAAGCGTATTCTAGTTCCTATTGTATTATTTTGCTTTCTTATTAGTAAAGTGAATAGCAAGCAGTACTCAATAAGCTTAAACATACGGGAAACTTTGCTCGAGCTTTTTGTCTTTTATTTCTCTCGATGCCGTTTTCTTCTTCATGTTTTCTCTTAGCAATCATTCGTGAAATTGTTGTTGTATTCGGAACACTCTCAAGGTTGTATGTTGTTTTTATCCAGTCGAGTAAATCCTTGTATGTAAACTTGCGCAGCGCTTTCTCTTTGGCGACGTAGTACTGATACGCTGCTTCACTTATTTCGTCCGTAAGCTTTTCATATTTTCCTTTCGTCATGATGTGTAGTTTGAGTAGTGTGTATAAGACAATTGCAAAAATTCAAGTCTTTTATATATAGACATTGCAATGTGAAAGTAACCTCAACAAAGTACCGATATTCTTTAATTGTTTCACATAATTGACACTTAGTAAGCTAAGCTATACTCAGCCTGTGTAACACCCTTATACCCATCCTCACTTTTTGCAGTTCCCCGCTTTTTGCAGTTTTTTTCATGAAAAACCGCTACTGCAAAAAGCGGGGGTCAACTGTACGTGATGCATGCAATAACATCCTTCTGAGTGACCTTCAGGGTTTTTGTAGATATTCTATGGCAAGATTCGATGACTGTTTGAACAAGAAATTTATGTAATCAAGTACATGTATCACGAACGCATTTCTACAGCTTCGCCTTGGGGCGACATTGTGGAATCTAATTATTGTAAAGGCAGGGAAGAAATAACGAGACTTAATAAATCTATTTATTTAGAAAAAATTGTGAGGATAAAGAAGAAGAGTAATCTAATAAATGTGACAGGAACATCGGAGATGCGATGACCGTGAGGCTTATGGATGCGACAGACATTTATCCCGACATAAGATGTTCAACGCTTCAGAGCGGTGCGAAATGCTTCAGAGTGGCGCAAAACGCTTCAGAGTGGTGTGAAACGCTTCAGATGGCGCAAAACGCTTCAGAGTGGCGCAAAACGCTTCAGAGCGGTGCGAAACGCTTCAGAGTGGTGTGAAACGCTTCAAAGTGGCGCAAAACGCTTCAGAGTGGCGCAAAACGCTTCAGAGTGGTGTGAAACGCTTCAGAGTGGTGTGAAACGCTTCAGATGGCGCAAAACGCTTCAGAGTGGTGCAAAGGCACTTTACGGAACACCATCTCACTTTGTGTGTGAAACTGTTGTGCGATTGCGTTGCATTGCGACGACATTGAAAATGGTCGCTTCAAAGTGGTTTTGCGACCTTTCGACGCTTGTCCTTTTTTCTGCTGGTGTTGTCCCAAGAAGATGCAAAAAAAAGGGGGGGTCTGGAAAGCTCGCAACTTTTTTCCTTTCACATTCTTTTTGAAACATTTCTGAATGCCATTGCCATGGGGACAAGCAGCACTCGATTCTGCAACTACCCAAACTGTGAACGTTCGATAAGACAGGATAATCAGATCGGACGTTGTCGTGAACATAGATATCCCAAGCAAAGAACATGTTCACATCCTCATTGCAATAATTTAATCAGAGGTGGCAGCTGCTCTGGGCTTTGCTCTGAACACAGGAACACCAACCACGCTCGAGACAGTCGCGTCAATAATTCTGTTGCACACGAAACAGAATCTGCAGAACTCGGACCAGGCTTGATCAGCATCGCACCATATTCGACTGTACCAACTTTATCAAGTCTGCCATCTACATCTACGCCAGGAAGCAGTCTGATTCTGCGTGATCATGACACGGCCACCATCTATGCTCTTGATCAAGTAGAGGACACAACGGAGCACAAGTCTCAAACCGTCAAGCTCATGGACGCGGTGGAATTGGAGCCTGTCGCCGTCATTGACGATGATGGTGTGGAAGAGAATCTGATGGGAAAGTCCCCCGTCATTCGCTCTCTTCAATCGAAGCAAAAGCGCGGTCTGAAGCTGACAATAATACCAAGCCCAAAAAAGATCAAGGTTGAAGATATTTCCCAACGCCTGGTCATGCCAATTGATTTGGATATCATTTTGCGAAACAGTTTTGCCAGACAATCACTGGCCAAAAACGAGCATGAGCAAAGAGAAGGGGGAACTCAAAGCAATAAAGCAATCTCAACATTTTTTTTTGGACAGGTTCATGGAAATGACAAACGACGTGGCCAAACTGCTTAATCAAGATTGGCTCTTCCGGCCACAGATGCGTTTCTTCGCGGCCAAGGCGCTTGCAGGTGCCATTCTTGTCGATCCGACGTCGTGTACTGCGATTATGATCAACAGCATCGAGGTATATGGTCGCTCAAGTCTGGTCGACGCACACCATGAACGCTGCATCAACAAGAAAGGAATTGCTTCACTTTCTACAAATCCACCAGCCAAGGGCCGATACAATCAGATATGGGCAATCTCAATTAAAGAAAACGACGGTACAAAGCTGAACATCGCAACGAAGACTTTCAATGCCTTGGTGACTTCCAGCATCCGCCTTGATGCGAAACACACGCCAGAACTTGGACCAACAACAAGCAAATTTGTCATCAACAAGGAACATGGGTGTCAGGTACAAATCTTTTTGGATATCACCAACTATCATGATGCAACGAAGATTGCTCTCGATGACCATGCCAGCAATATCCAAGACGTCGATATTCTGCAACAATTGCGGCAAGTTCGCTCAAAGTTTAAATAGCATTCGACCTACATTCCGTGTCGTGCAAGCAGCTCTTTGTGCAACTTCCATCGATTGCAGCCACAAACCATATTCACTTACTGCACCTTTGACAATGGCGCCCCCGATTCCGATGGCAGGCTGGCATCACCTATATTCGCACATGTCGCCAGTGAAGTTATCAGAAAGAAGGACGATGCAGTGCTGGAAAAACGAACTGTTCTCGATATTCTCAAACAGTGCAAATCAGACGGACGCGTCGCCAAAGTTATTGCCGATATCCACGCCTTATTCCCCCGCGGATGCGCCTCCATTCATATTCTGAATAATTTCGACCTTTCCAATATCCTCAACACTCTGGCACACAATTTATCCTCGTATCTCTCGTCAGCAAACAATACAATTGCCGATGAAATTGAAAATTTGTTTTAAATCGATTTGCTGAATAAAGCCGCTCGCTGTTTCCAGGTTTACTTTCGTGAAAGAGTGGGAATGCCAACAGTGTCAAAAGTCTGCGCAAAAGACAGGCAGGTCTGAAGTGATGCCACTTTTGAAGCGTTTAGCATCACGTTAAAGAGTCTTTGCACCATTTTCAAGCGTCGTCGCAATGCAACGCAATCGCACAACAGTTTCACACACAAAGTGAGAGAGTGTTCCGTAAAGTGCCTTTGCACCACTCTGAAGCGTTTCGCACCACTCTGAAGCGTTTCGCACCACTCTGAAGCGTTTCGCACCACTCTGAAGCGTTTTGCGCCAGTCTTGGCTAATTTGAATCTTCAAGCTTGGCTAATTCTGACTATTTTTATTTGCCAGTTTCTCTCCGCAGTCCCCACTCGAGTCACATGTCAACGATGTCACGTCATCTATATAAGCAAAGGAAAGTGGGGTTTGTTCTTCTTTTGAAGAGGCGAAGAGAGCTCAGTGCCTGAATTTTGTATTATCATGCTTTTTTGGTGATAGCAATGATATGACTCTGATAGAGTGTAGCAGTAAATAAAAGCGCCTGCATATGATGTCATACCAAGGGGGAAAGATCTGATTCGGTTTGTGTGTGTGTGGGGGGGGAGTGCAGCTGTCAAAATATAAAAAGGCCAACAGTATGCAGAGGAGAAGAGAGAAAAACGACTTGTTGCAAGTTTGAGTGAAAAAACTGTACTAATGGAGCAAAGGCAATGCTGAACTTTGCAATCATTCAGCACTTCTTTTTGGTCATGGCTCCATTTGCATTATTATAATAATTATGGATGACAAATCCTCTCAGGAGCTATTTCGTATTATATCAGCGAAATTTAACTTTGGGTTACAGGCATAAGAACGCCGCAAAAATATGCCACATGCACATACACTTTTTCTCTCGCTCCCACCTCTCGTAATATATCATTTAAAAAAATATGAAGGCTTATGTTGTCAACCAGTGGCTCAAGGGTCCTGAGGATCTCGTCCTTTCGACCAATGTTCCCGAACCCGAGCCCAAGCAGGGCGAATTACAGATTGAAGTCAAGGCGATCGGCCTTAACTTTTTCGATACCCTCATGGTAAATCCCACCACCCACCCACCCACACACACACACATGGTTTATGCTACACTTGTGAAAGCGCTTCTAACAACATGAGTGGGATTTTTTTTAGATTCAAGGCCGTTACCAAATCAAGCCTCCATTCCCCTTTGTTCCCGGTGGCGAGTTCGCAGGTGTAGTCAAAAAGTCAACCGTGTCGCAATACAAGGCTGGCGACAGAGTGTTTGGTTCAGGTTTCTCGTTTGCCGAAGTGATCACCGTCGAAGCTAGCAAGGTGTTGCCTATTCCCAAGAACTTTTCATTTGAACAAGCTGCTGGTTTGTATATTACCTGGCCTACGTCGTATGCTGCCTTGGTCTTGCGCGCTCAGTTGAAGGCCGGTGAATATTGTCTTGTGCACGCAGCAGCAGGCGGTGTTGGTATTGCTGCCGTACAGATCGCCAAGGCAATTGGCGCCAAGGTCATTGCTACTGCTGGATCGACTGACAAGTTGGAGATTGCTAAAAAGTTCGGTGCCGACTATGCCGTCAATTACCGCGATAAGGATTGGACTGAGCAGGTTAAGAAGATTACCAATGGTCATGGTGCTGATGTCGTCTATGATCCCGTTGGTTTGATTGAACAAAGGTATGTATCATGTGTGTCTAGGCTATGATAATCACCGTGCTACCATTGCTTTTTTCTTGTGCATCTGTTATTTACAATTTCGTTTTTTTCCTCAAATAGCACCAAATGCACGGCATGGAACGGACGCATTTTGGTCGTCGGTTTCGCTAAGGGTACCTTTGAGAAGTTGCCCACTAACCGTGTGCTGTTGAAGAACATTTCTATTGTGTAAGTGTATTTCAATCATTAAATTGGACCAGTGTACTATTCGCGAGAGAGAGAGAGAGAAGAGAGAGAGAGAGAGAGAGAGAGAGAGAGAGAGAGAGAGAGAGAGAGATGTCCGTTTTCAAAACAAAGAAGCGAATAGGAATACTGACAAAAATATATAGCGGTATCCACTGGGGTGCTTACACCAAGAACGAGCCTGAAAGCATTCCCAAGGTGTGGGAGGGTCTCTTTGGATTGTTCGAGTCCGGCCGTGTACAGCCCGCCTTGTATCACAAGGTGTACAACTTGGCCAATCTTCCTCAAGGCATGGACGCCATCAACAACCGTGAGACTTATGCCAAAGTTGTTGCTACTGTTGGCGGCCATGATAGCAAGATATAAATAATTGGGTTATATCCGCAACTTCCTCTTCTCCTTTGACTTTTCCTTCCCTCTTCTTCTCCCTTCGACACACGCATACACATCACTTTGTTTCAGAAAAAGATGTATTAATAATTTTGCTATGCAAAAGCCGGGCTATGCAGCAATGCCGCGTTATTTTTCTGTGTTTCTTCAAATTAAAATCCGCTATATAACGTATTGTAGACACCTATCATTTGCTAGGTTGTGTTGTATTGGCACATCTATATGGGGGGGTACATAATGGATGAAAAGCTTGTTGAGCTTCTACTTAATAGAGAGACAAAATCTGTATTTTAAGTATCTCTAACCACAACTAATGACAGTGTAATCAACGTGAGAATGTTCATAAGATACAAGAAAAAGCGAAAAGCAAGGAAGCGCGTGATGGGGCGGGCCTTTATTTCGCATCTTATAGCAAAGCAGTTTCTTCTTTTTTGTGGCAACGGTGTGTGTAACTACAGTATGATATACAGCAATGGCTCTAATATCATATCATGATTCTTTTTTTCTTAACAACATCATTACTGTGTTGATGAGCATTTCCAAGATGCTTGATTGGACAAACTTTACCAGAAACGGATGGATTTCTATGAGTGTGATGCTTGGCTGAAGCACGATGTAACAATTGCGCAAATTGGTGGTTCGCAAGCCTGCAAGATATGTATCACTGACATAGAGCATGATAGGTGGGAAACAGCGGTTTTTCTCGCATACTTATTACTCACCATGTACGCTGTTGCCAATTCTTCTATTTCACCAGCAGCGGGAAATGTTATGGCTAGCTATCGTTCGGAATCGAATTGCCATGCTTGACAAACGAGAGATATTCAACATGGTTCATGTCACAGCTGTTAAAGTTCAACGTGGGATAGATTAAAAGCAGCTGCTATTAGCTTTAAAAAAAAACCTCCCGGTGGTACACGCAAGTCGAACTTTCCAAAGGTCAGGCTGCTCAACTCAAGTAGCTGTTGGCAACTCGCTGTGCAATGACCGAGAGACCGTTTTGTGTTGTAATCGGTTTGAAGTCATTGATCAGACATTTATATTGGCCAAGGTCTTGTTTTACCTGACCAGGTTCAGTATAGTGTCGTCTGCAACGTTAAAGCTGTGGAGCGCTGTCAAATTGCTGCTGTTTGTTGCATACAGTTGATGGAGGACGTGTTTGCGCAGCAAGGTGTAAAGGGAGTTCGTTCATGATTGCTTGGAGCGATATTGTCATCGATGCAGCGTAGGGTGACGCGCTTATCTTTATCTTCAAGTTATTAGTAGGTTGGTTGATATGGTTGACATCTGTCAGGCCCACGCTTATAATTACACATTAAATTATGTAGATCTAGACACATGCGTACTATAGCTAGAAGTACGCACTCGTGCGTAATTAGATTCACGTACTCCAGAGAACGGTCGAGATCATTCACAGTGCATGATACGTAAACTCGTATACTCATCAGTTCCTTTTTAGATATCTTAAAAGATATCATAAAAAAGACACACGTATGCTTGTGATTTATACCAAGTTCTTTTTTTTCGTTTGGTATAATACCCCTTTAAAAGATATGAATTAAAAGGAGATTAAAAGTCTATGCTTATAATGCAATTCAATAATGACTATGCATTCGCATCAGGAACAAGTCCTCCAATTTGTAAAAGTGATCGATTGTGAGCGTCATGGTGTGAGTACGGTATTGATGGATTTGTGCAATTATGTGTATTTAAAGACCCTTAAACTCAATTCGAATGTCTCCCATGGACCATGACTCTGAGAAAAAGGTTTGATTTCTTAAAACGAGAAAACACTAGAGTGGATCTGGTAGGACGATAGCTGTGCTGCGCAAAGTGGAAGGGAGGGGAAGGGTGGATAATGGAAAGAAAGAGAAAAAGTGTAAAGGTGCGAGATTGCAGAAGGAACCTTCCTTTTATTCTTCATGCTGCCACAACATGTGATTACGTCGAGTACTAGAATATGTAGACAAGCGTTTAATATTTCCCTCTTTCTTGGCTCTCTGCCGTTGGCTTTAGTCGGCACAATCTTGTTGTAGATGACGAGGCTGCACAGCACAAGAAAAATGCATGATCGTCGAGTACTGCCGATTTAAAATGTCGACGGAAATGATACACTGTTGGTACCGGAAAAAGGAAATGTTTGATCAAACTCCATGTACTTGTTTGTGTGTCATTTGATGAAGTAAACTGTCTAGCAGCGAGTGTAGTGAATGAGAAAATTGTTCAATATATCTGATTACGTAAAATGACATTCAGGGAAGGATTGTTGCATCACATCGAGATACATGATTGACTTAATATAATGAATGACACTAACTTGAAACACACACATACACCAATGATTTAGAAAGACTAGATAATAACAGATCAATAGCTCAAACAACGGAAGCCTTCCTGCGTACTTATTCTTTCATGCATAACATGGATAGAAAGAAATTAGGTGACCGTCTGTATGGCGACCAGTGGAGTTTATCTCCTTCATGTTCTTGACGTTAAAAAATCGCTAGATAGAACAAGCCATGCATAAAAGCAGAATCAGAAAAACTAAAAAGCCAATCTCAACCAAGGTTGCTTGCAAACGATTTATACTTCTTCTTAGACATGTCAAAAGCATTGCGCCATATGAAAACCAACAATGATACACATTCGGAATTGAAACAGTGAGCACGATAAAATATGTGAAAAAGCAATGGCACCAGCAGTTAGAGTCTGTTGGTGTTTGAGCTTTATGGTCCTACGTTCAAATGAAACAAAGTATGCTTCATAGCAGTTCTTGAGCCACGTAGAGATCTCAAGGGACTTTCGCTTTTTAAGTTTAAACTGATGTGGGAAGGTCAAAAAAGGATTGGTAGCTCTTATTTGAAAATGTCATGTTATTCGTGCTACATACAGTGTTAGTATTTTTGACAGCAGTACAGTAGCAACAATGAAGGTAGAGACACTATCGCCACGAAGGATGTCGATCAGTATGTAACACATATCGCACTTGCACTAAATTTATAATTTGACAAGTGGCACGAGCTTTGATAACAGCATAACATAGACATTCTTTTATATATATATACTGTAGTTCGAGTGCCCGATAGATGATGTTGCTTGCTGCTGAATTTCCATAACCGATCAGAAAAGATATTGCCAGCAGTGTGTAGTTCTTCTTAGACTTGGTTGCTATTTCAATCATGGTTTGTTTAAGCTCGTGTACACAAGAATGTCTGTGCATATATGGCCACGTTGTTTGCGTAACCATGATGACGAGCTCCACGTGTGTGTGTTGCGTCGTTCTTAACAAAATGGTCTTTTCCAAAACGCGCGCTGTTCTTGAAAAAAAAAAGAGCGCGACAAATAATATACACAACACGCGTTTAGCCCCACCCCCTCGCGTAGTGCACCCTATGCTGTGACTGAAACCAATCCTATGAGGGGAGGGGCGCGTGTTTGTAAAAGTGTAAGCAACAAGTTTTTAAGGGGAGGTTGAGAAAGAACTCGCGCATATTTCTTCTTTTCTTCTTCACTTTCTTTTCCTCCGTGTTTTCTTTATACCTTCATTAATTCTCTTTTTCGTAAGTTTTAATCTCTCTAGCTGTACAGCCATTTAACTAAGCTTCTAATAGCTGAACCTCTTCGTTTTCATTAGGCATTCCATAACCCACACACGCCTTAGCAGTAATATATAGATATAATAGCATTTTAGCATAATGAGAGAAATCATTCACGTACAAGCAGGTAATGTGGAGATCTCATTAACAGTTACTTGAGAGGGTTTGGTTGGCTCACTCTTTTTTCTTTCTCTCCTTTTTTCTTTGTTACGGTTGTTGTTGTTGTTGTTGTTGTTGTTGTCGTGCGGGAATGAACAGGCCAATGTGGTAACCAGGTTAGTTTATATTTCTCCGGTGGCCCCAGGGAAATATTCGAGGGGCTCAAGTGGGGTTGTTCTAGGAAGGAAGAAGGGGGGGTCTTGTTGCTCTGAGAGCGTCTCTGCAGCAATAAGCAACAGCAAAAGAAGAAAAGGGGCTGGTCTACTTTTGACTGTGTACATGCAAGTCAACCCCAGTGCCCACCTTTTATTTTTCACGGAGAAATAAAAAGGAGAGAGAGAGAGAGAGAGAGAGTATGTTTTGCTTATGCATCATCGTCAACGTTCTTCGCCACCATCGTTTTTGACGAAAAAATAGATTGGCCAGAAATTCTGGGAAACCATCAGTGCTGAACACGGCATTGATCCCAACGGTAACTACGTCGGTGACAACGACTTGCAATTGGAGCGTATCAACGTCTTTTACAACGAAGGTTTCCAAGGAAAATATGTCCCTAGGTAAACACCCTGTCTCTCTTTAATAGTGTGGATGGCTTCATAACGATACGAAAAGAAAAGGTAACACTGACGCCATACAACGAATGTTATAAAGATCGGTGATTGTCGATTTGGAGCCTGCCACCATGGATGCCATCCGTAGCAGCACATACGGCAAGTTGTTCCGTCCTGACAACTTTATCAATGCCCAATCGGGTGCTGGCAACTCGTGGGCCAAGGGTTACTACACCGAAGGTGCCGAACTCGTCGAGTCGGTCATGGACGTTGTGCGCAAGGAAGCCGAAAACACTGACTGCTTGCAAGGTTTCCAATTGGCACACTCGTTGGGTGGTGGTACTGGTTCCGGCATGGGTTCGCTTCTGTTGTCCAAGATCCGTGAAGAATATCCCGACCGCATCTTGAGCACCTATTCCGTCGTGCCTTCGCCCAAGGTCTCCGACACTGTTGTCGAGCCCTACAACGCTGTCCTCTCCGTCCACCAATTGGTCGAAAACTGCGATGCCACCTTCTGTATCGACAACGAAGCCTTGTACGATATCTGCTTCCGCACATTGAAGCTGACCAACCCTGGCTACGGCGACCTGAACCAGCTCGTCTCGGCTGTCATGTCTGGTGTCTCCACTTCTTTGCGTTTCCCCGGTCAGTTGAATTCTGACTTGCGCAAGTTATGTGTCAACATGGTCCCCTTCCCTCGTCTTCATTTCTTCATGGTCGGTGTTGCACCCCTGACGGCGTTCAACTCGCAGCAATACCGCAACTTGTCGGTTCCCGAACTGACTGCCCAGATGTTCGATGCCCGTAACATGATGGCTGCTTCCGATCCTCGTCATGGTCGTTACTTGACTGTCGCTACCATGTTCCGTGGTCGCTTGTCCACCAAGGAAGTCGAGAACCAGATGTTGGCTGTCCAACAAAAGAACTCATCGTACTTTGTCGAATGGATCCCCAACTCTGTCAAGTCCTCGCTTTGTGACATTCCTCCTGTTGGCTTGAAAATGTCCGGTACTTTCATCGGTAACAGCACGGCTATCCAAGACTTGTTCAAGCGTGTCAACGAGCAATTCACTGCCATGTTCCGTCGCAAGGCTTTCTTGCATTGGTACACGGGTGAGGGTATGGATGAAATGGAGTTCACTGAGGCCGAGTCCAACATGAACGATTTGGTATCCGAGTACCAGCAGTATCAGGAAGCAACCATTGATGATGAGATGATGGGTAAGCTTTCTCTCTTTGCGGTTTAGTTGGAATGGATGAAGCGGTGGATCTTTTACTAACTTTGACTTTTCCATTCATCTAACAGAAGATGAAGAGTACCTCGAGGAGGAGTACAACGACGGTGGCCTTGAAGATGAACAGTAAAGAAGCTTGCTATTAATAATGGCTCTATCTCCCTCGCAGTCAACCCATAAATTATGAAGGAGTAAACTCATATACAACACACGCACACACACACACACACACACACACAGACATACCGTACCTTTTTTCTCTAATCACACCTTTTTCCCTCTCACTACACACACACATATATTTGCACACATCAAAAAGACTTACATTTCCGTTTTAACAATAAAAAAGACTCGTCAGCTTATCAACTAGTTTACATAATCGACGTATACCTCAACGTTCAGGCACACACACCACACACATAATGAGTGGAACCCTCAATGCCTCCATTATAATTCCGACTCTTCAAAGCGCGCGCGCGTCGTCTCTTAAACTTAACCAGCTATGGAGAGCAGTAATAGCAATAACGACTTGATCAATGCATCGAATAAGCCAGTAGTCGACACGAATAGCAGCAACAGCGGCGACAACGATCCAATTCCTGCTGATTCAGCATTACAAAGAACATTACCTGACAATGTCAGCATTGGTTCACCATCTACTGCATCGCCTTCGGTACGGTCCTTGACCTTATCCCCAGAAGATGAGCGACGTGCTACACCAACAACGAGAAACTCTATACAAATGTCGCGTGGTGGAAGTACTCGGCAGCGAGCAAGCAGCGACAATACGGCAGCACTCATTGGTCACCATTTGACGAGTAATACCGCCTTTTATGATATCCCAGTGGTAGGTTATCTCTCTCTCTCTCTCAAAGATACAGCAAGGAGATTGTTACTAATGCTATTGCTGCTGTGTAAAAGAACGACGCATTTTCTGAACTCGTTGAACGCTATATTCCACCGGATCAACGTCCTCAACGTAACACTGCCACCACTGCAGAAAACCCTGAAGGCATAGTCAATCTTGTGGTGAGTATATTTCTGTCCTGTGCCAAACTGCTAAAATATCAACTTGACACTGTATGCCTTTTTCTTTGGGGGAAAAATAGATGAACAATATGTGGAGAGCAGTTGCACGTTATGCACGACAACAACTCGTCCAATCCAATCCAACCGACTTGGAACAAATCTTAGAACTATGGTATCTGCGTCTATTAGCATTGACCAAACTTGGCTTGTATCAATTGGCGTCGGCCGAACTTGATAAACTGGGCGATCTGAGTCGAGCTGAATTGACTTTTGAGTTCCATAACGCCATACCCAAGCAACAACAAGACAGCAGCAGTAGTGGTAGCATGGTTCCCTTTGAACTGCGTATCTTGGCAGCTCGATTACCCGCCTGGCTTAAATACCCCCTCGTGGCATTGGAACGATTGACAATGCTTGCTGTGCATTGTAAAAAGGTAGTTGTCAACTCTATATCTATGGTTACAGCGGGGGGGGGAAGGAAAAGGCTCTAACTACACAAGTTTCTTGGATCTCTAGATGCACGCTAAAGAAATGGGACCTTGGCGACAACGTGAAGCCCAAGTCTATTTGGTGATGGCCACACAAATGATGGAAATGAATGATTACACAGGTGCAGCGTCCACCATGGAGATGGTATCCAAACAGTTTGGTACCAAAAAGGATGGGAAACAAGATCTGGATATCCTGTCCGCATTGGGTCGATTGTATCTGCAGGTATTTAGTATAACTGCTCTCTATTTCTCTTCGTTTTGTGTGTGTGTAACAACACTATTTGATACAGTGACTCACAAAAACTTATGTTTTACTGTAGTTGGGCGATATAGAATCGGCCGAAAAAATATACGGCCAAGTCGATAAGGAAGGATCACAAAATGAAGCTATTGTTGAAACGGTTCAAATGAATAGGTAACGTAAGACTTTAGAGGATGTGTGAGACTCCCCCGGCTTGCGTTGTAGTAAAGAAATTAACGTTTCTCGGGGTTATACAGGGCATTCTTACTCATGGCTAAAGGAGAATGGAATCAAGCTGCTGCAGTATTACGCGGCATACTAGAGGCGAATAAAGAGAATCTTCTGGTACGTTGCTGCTCCTTTATTATAGACACCGGGCACGCGAGAAAAATAAAGTATAGTCAATACTTATATTCGATACTAGGTGGTGAACAATTTGGCTGTTTGTTATGTCTATCTGGGTCAGATTAGCACTGCTATTGAGCTTTTATCGACCATGACGACTCAAAACCCAACATCTGCAGGCACTTGCGAAACAGCAGTCATGAATCTTTGCACTTTGTATGAACTACGCTATGATCCGGCTACTGGCCATAAAGTCAATGTCATGAAACAGGTGGCGCGATGGGTCGGGGATTCTTTCCAGGCCGATTGCATAAAGTTGCAATAATAACATAGCATACACACACCGTGCTATTGCTCAAACAGAAAGCAAAATATCATGATCTACACTTTATGCAATATGTATGTATACATATGCTGCGTCACTAAATCTTAAAGAACAACTGAAATCATTGATGAATGCACTGTAGCTGTTATGTCCTTTATTATTTAAACACTTTATTTGATAAGCTTCGATTAGGTATGTACAAATGCCATTTATCATCTTTTTGAGTATGATACAGTACGTACACATTGATCATGCCTCAGAAACAGCACCACTCTTGCTATTGAACGTACTTCCTCGATCAACTCCACACGCTTCCTGGACACGCCTTTCAACATGAAACCAGAAGCTTTCAAATGCCGTTCTTTTATCGCCCTGGAGCCATACACTGGCGATCCTGCAACCACCATCCAACTGCTTGTCTCCCTCTCTTTCTTCTTCTTCTTCTTCTTCGAGCAGTGCAAACTGGAACTCAAATATCGGAAGCTCATTTTCCTCAATCTTTTGCTTTTTGTTCAAAAGACGACGTGCTGCACGGCTCCATGTAATGGCTCGAGGTTTGCCTGTAATGACATTTGGATCATTTCCGTCTTGTTCAAATGAAATGTTGAGGTCTTGCAGGATGGCAATCACTTGCTCGCGAACATAGGATACGGGTTTGGGCATATAGGAGACGAAATGTAATTTTGCTCGATATTCAACGAGATTGTGCACCTTATGCTACATGTGTGGGTAAATATGCGTTGTATCCTTGTAAGCACTTTTGTCTGTTGAACGACCTTTCTGTTTTTTTATTGTCTTACCAGTCGTTTGGGTCCAAATGACCATGCTATCGCCCATCTTTTGGTCCGTCCTTGGATAAACTCTGAGACAACATAGTTGTTTATCTAGGTGACAGAAGGAAGAGTAAAGTTGGTACAGCTGTGCATGTACGTATCAAAGGGCCCTAAAGATAGATAGGAATTTTGAAAAGGGATAGAGCTTACTCACACCAAATGATTCAAGTTGGTCCACTAACGGACGAACCGACTTTTTTAAACCTATCAGGCTCGTATACCACATGATCCGGTCTTTGTAAATTAGACTTTCGTTCATCATTCGCTGAATAAAACCATATTCACCACCATCTGTGATCATTTCATTTTTGGTCCCTGTGCAGATCTGTTGATACAAATATGAATACTAATGATTATAGGAAAATATACTTATTTGAAAAAGAAGAGGAAAAATCCTACCGCAAATGGTTCGGCTTGTTTGGTTTGTAAACTCTGTTCGACCTCTTCTTCAGATGCATAAAACGGTGGATTACACATACAAAACGTGTACCTATTTTTTTTGCGTGTCATTATCAGCCGCTATATAGGGAGAAGATGATGATATAGTTTGATGTGGTGCACTGACTTTTTCCCTTCATCCAAAAGAAAGATACGCTCTGGAATACTGTTGTATTGGATGGTAATCCTGTCGTTCATTTTGTTCTTACGAATATTGTCACGTGCAATCCGTACAGAGGTTTCGTCAATGTCTTGTTTTGACATACAATCGTTAGCTCATCAATGTTTGGATCGACAGATGTGCTTTTTATAGCGCATACGGATATATTACCTGTGCCATCGAATTTCCAATCTTTATGACGCGCACAACACAGTAATGGGTATATGCATGATGCACCAACTCCACTGTGAGAGGAAATCAATGTCAATACAATGTATCACTGTAATAACAAGTTGAGAACTCACATGTCAATACCGTGGGCCATATCAAACTGATCAGTGGGTAAGGTTTCCTTCAGAATATCCTCAATCCAGAGAATATAATCGAGACGGTTAGGAACTGGCGGACATAGCCGATCTGCAGGTAGTTTGACATCAAGGCCAAAGTCGCGTTTCAATAAACACCATGTTAGTGTTCTATCGTAATATTAGATACGCCATAAATGACGGTTATCATTAGAAAATGTGCATGTCTTCTCCCGTCTTTTCCTTTTTCACACCCGCCATACCGAACAGCTTCTGAGTCCTTAAAATCAATATATGGGTTTTCGTTTTTATCCGTATGGACACTAGGTTTATCGTGTATTTAAGTAGTGTGCATATGAATATTGTGCAGGAGAGAAAAGGAAGACAGCAAGATATTTACAAAGGACGAAAGACGGGAAACTGCTCTGCCAGTTCACCAAAATGAGGTCGTTCTTGTACATATGGATTCGCTGAATTGTCATCTTCTCTTTTACGTTTATGCGACATTGGAGGAAACGTTCTTTTTTTTTTTGGGTGTGTATGCGGCAGAAAAGAAAGAGAGACGAAGCGTGAAAACACCGCCTTTTTATTTTTTCGTTTTTAAGCTTTCCCTTGCTGACCCTTCAAACAACAATGACAAGTAAAGGATTGTTTGAGAATGAATACCATGTCGGTGCCAATCAGATCCGTAAGGATCACAAAAACATGTAATTATGGTGTTCTATGTTTCGATTTATACAGGTTTGACTCATTTTTGGAGAAAATAATATTTGATAGTCTGAATCGGCTACGATCGATCCAGGAAGACGCAGACTTTGTCAAGGAGATTGCATGTTTGTTTCCAAAGTTACCGCTTGTTGGTAAATAAGGAAAAGCTACTAGGAGAAAAATTTTGTACCATGTATGCAAGAACTTGCTTTCTAATTAAACAGATACGCATATTTAGCTAATGAACGATGTGGCTCGTGGTACATTGATCCGACCGAGGTAATATATGAGGAAGAAAATTTTCCAGTAGCATGTTTGAATCCTAATGCATGTATACTATAGCGAAAGGTCTATTCAGTCTATTACAAGTCAACCGATGGACATATGGGCCAATGGGATTTCAATTTAAGGCGTAGCAATCTACACCTTTTAGACATCATCCACAGATACAAAGGTTGTATTGTTGTTGACTCGACACGACGTGGCAAACGGATCCCCGACTCGCTTTCCAAAACCATACCCATATGGTGTTGTGCCATCAATCGAGCCGTCGCAAAATATCGTAGCCGTCGTCATCATCACCATCACGAGCAGTATGGCTTTTTTGAAAACAAAAAACAGGAACAAGAAGCATGCGAGTTATATTCTTTACCATCCTGCGTGTCACGATCTGAACACGCTCAAATTGAAGCTCGAATGGATGGATTTGCTCAAAAGCTTTTGGTAAGTTTTATTTCTATAGATTTGAAATACTACGACAGACGAGGTGTTTGTTAATCCTTGATATCTATCTACAAAAAAAGGATTCAGGTGGTATCGATATGGAATCAATTTCCAAACTTGTAGAAAAACCATTACGCCCTCTTTGGTTTACGCCACAATCATCCTTTTTCATCAATGATCCACCGGATTACTCGGACGCGCCTTTTTGGCCCGTGATCTGTCTCAGTGCTTCCCAGGCTGTCGAGTCCGGATGTCAAGCTCGGCCTGGTGGATATCTGTATGTGCAAGGATCCGGTGATGATCAAGAAGCTTGGTGCCATGTACGTTTTTCCCCGCTATTGTATATGTGTGTTGTAACTCAGGAAATTCTTCCATATTTAAAAAGGGCCTGACGCCACGATTATTCTGGCAACACGCGAAAGAGTTACTGAATAGCAACAGCAGCGTTGAATGCGAACAACGCGTTCAACACATTGTCGCTTCTGCCGGTCCAGCAAATGATGATGGCGACGATGACACGTCTAATGACAAGAAATACGATATGATCCAAGGCACCACCCTGGCGATAGGGTCCAGACTCAGTGGCAAACCACCCGCATGCTGGCAACATTTCGATTACATAATCAACTGTACTCCTACGCATTATGAAGAGATCGACAAGGAACACTGTTATCTACAGTTACCTATACCAGAAGGGAAAAAGGGGCAGCAGCAGTTGTTTGAATCGATACCTAAAGCATTGGCGTTTGTCAAGGAACCATTACAGCAAGAAAAGCGGATATTGGTACATTGTGCAAAGGGCCAGGATCGATCTGTGGGCATTGCTTTGGCTATCCTTGTCAAGTATTTTGATCAGGACATGAAGTTTGTATCGGATGGTGTCACTCGAGGTATGTAGGTTATTAGCAAGGTTGATTCTTTCAACATGAAATGCGGGCAAATAGCTCTTGACTAAAAATTCTGTTTTGTAGTTGACAAGAAAGGTATTCATGATCATCTAGTTAAAATCATCAGTAGTCGGCCTAAGGTATGCAACATTGGTTGCTTTTCTCTCAAAACAACTCGGCAATGGAGCTCTAACTGTGTTTTTGTGTTGTAGGCTGCACCTTCCAGGGCAACGCTGAAAAAGATCAATACCTACTTTATGAGCTAGAAACGAGCTTTTTTTGCTGGCCAAAAGAAGAAAACAGTAGAGCCTTTTTTTTGTTGTGTAACAAATAAAAAATGTAATGCATTTGATACCAAAACTTATATTACAACTATCAAGCAATTATTACAAACTTCAAAAAAGACCTTGATCTACGAGTAGGGAGGAGAGATATGGTACTGCAGTGGCAAAAAAAAACAATGTCTTATGATACAAAGAAGAAAAAGGAGAGTGTATGTGTAGTAGAAAAAGAAGAAGGTATATGCGTTTATATAGAGTAGAGTAGTGTAAGTGGAATTTATAAAGGAAAGGAGAAACTAGAAATCAGCAGCACCCATGCCCGCAATGCAGCTGCCATCGCACAAATCATTGTTTGTGCTCGAAGACGGAGAAGATGATGAAAAATTGAACGAATGTTGGAATAAATGGTCTTGATAAAACGGTGAATGTTGTGGTGGATCGCCGTGATGCTGTGTGCTAGTTGAACTTGTAGCCTGTTGAAAGTTCATCATCAATTGCGAAGTCGAAGCCATAAAACTCGATGGTAATGGATGGTTGTGAACCGCTGCTGCTGCTGCTGCTGCTTCTGCTGCTGCTGCTGCGGCAGGTGATGAAGGTAGTGATGCTGCAGGAGGTGTGGGCGAATAGGCCACCCGGCCTCGTTTCTCTTCTCGATGATGCTCTCGGTTCTTCTTTTTCGACGATGATTCTTTGTCCTTGCGTGGTCGCTTTTTCTTCTTGAGCTTATCTTTCTTCTTTTTACCGGCCTTGTTGCGTCCACGCTGACCTTCGTATCGCTGTCGTTTCTTGATGGTGTCGCTTTTCATCGAAAGGGGACGTTTCTCATGATGCAGTTTTAGACTATACAGATAATATACTTTAGCAACATAGACGACGCACAAAAGTGTGATGACCTCTACCAGCTTATTGTACTTACTATAGACCACATGCATTACAGAGTGGAGCACCTTCTCCATCACGACGCCATAACGGTGTAGTTGTTGTTGAACAATTTGAACATACTAAACGAACGGCAGTCTCTTCACGAATTTCTTTGCGTGCACTGTTTGGTCGAAGGGTTTTCGGTCGTGGAGCATTATGCAGCTTTTGACTAAAATTAATAAAAAAGATAAAGTTAAACATTTCTCTCCTTTTTTTTTTTGCTTGCTGCTTTCTATTTAGATAGGGAGACAAGAAGTGTCTGATACGTTACTATAAACCACATGCATTGCACAACAGCTCGTCTTCGGGAGATCGGCGCCACAGGGGCGTTGAAGTGGCACCACAGTTTGTACAGATGGGTGTATCGTCAATCTCTTCTTCTTCTTCATCGTCCGAATCGTCAGAGTCATCGTCCGTCTCATCCTCCGATGATTCATCTGAATCGTCCGAGTCGTTATCGTCGTTATCGTTCTTTTGTTGCGGTTGGTTGTTGTTCTCTTGTTGTGCTTGATCCATCAGCTCATCTTGGAATTTAGCCGGTTGGTCACCATCATACATGCCAGCCTGTTCGAGCAAGTTCAGAATCTGTGGAACAGGCATCACGTCGCCTGCACCAGAAGAGGGTCCTGCCACAGAGGGTGAGAATCTACATAGTAAATTAAATGACAGTAAGTATCGATTATATTTCACCCTCCCCCCCCTAGACTCTTGAATAGTGTTGCTATTCCTCTTTTTTTCCAAAAAAAAAAAATAGAGACTTACAAATGTGTATGATAAAGCTGGCTAGGATTATTTGTCGCAGTTGAAGATGTCATGCCTTCAATTTCTAAAGATATCTGTGGCCTCGATCGTACACGCGCAGCCGGATGTCCATGGTGGTTATGATGATGATGATGATTGTGTGTATGATGTGCATGCGTATCTTGCTGTTGTTGTTGTTCTAAGAGTCGATTCAAAGTTGTGGAACTCGATGGAGGTGAAGTTGTATGCAGCAGAGTATTAGTGGATTGTTGTTGTTCTACATAAACCGCAGCAGCGGCGGTAGCGTTATGAATAGCATCGTGCGGACGGTGATGCATGGACATGGGCGGCATGTGAGACATGATTGGACTTGGCGGCATAGACATGGGTTGCATAGAGAAAGCGGCCATTCGTGAAGCCAATGCACTATCAAGATGATGATCTGGCTGAAACGAAGTTGGAGTATCTTGCATAGTATGTTGTAAATCATATTCAGTAGCTGCAAGTGGCCAAGGTGTTTGATGCTCTGCTTCATGTTGCTGTTGTTGTTGGACGTTGTTGTTATTGTTATCGTGCTCGACATGTTTCGTTGGTGGCATACTGAATATAAAATCGTTTGGATTGTGTAGCATAAACTGGTTTGTATCGTCATAGTCCATCATATCAGGCAAATCTTTGGTCGGTGGTGGAGGAGGGTTATGGTGTTGGTCAAACCAAAACTGGTGATGGTGTTGCTCATGAAGTGGAGTAGTCGTCACCGACAATGAAACAGTCGAGTTAGGTTGTTGCTGGTTGAATTGTTGTTGTAATTGGAGTTGTTGCTGTTGCTGTAATTGTTCGGTTTTAGCCTTTTCGGCTGCCTTTTGCTGATTTAAAAGTTGATGACGGAACCAAAGTCGCCAGGACATGTTTTCGAGACGTGATCCATTTTCCAATGCGTCTCTCACCTTGTTGCTGACACGCCATGCGTACGAGACATCCTCCTCGCAATGCATGTTCTCCAAAGGAGAAAAGAATGTGTCTTCGCCACCTTTGACCCTCAGGACAAATGGTGCCATTGCTGCTGCTGCGTATGGACTGCTATTGGTCTAATGGAGAAGGAGGCCGTTTGTTTGACAGAGAGGGGTGGGGTTGAGAGTAAATAGTGAGTGGTGAAAGAAGCAGCCTAGGCCAGCAGCAATTAAAAAAAAGCGAGTAGGAGTGAAGAAGACCAATAATAACAAAATAAAAAGAGGTATAATGGATCCCTTTCTTCGGATATATTAAAAACCAGCCACGAATTATGGAATTCTTGCGGGACCATCATATCGTAAGTCTTTGATGGAAAAGGGGAAGAGATAAAAAACAATAAACTTTTATTTTTGATTGATGCATTCCTGTATATATAACTTTTTCTCTATACTACAATTGTGATATTGATACAATGGCTTGTCTAATTGACCTCAGAACTCAAATGTTTCATGGTGTACGTCCCAGTGATGTTTGATAGCTTGATTCATAATGAGTCTCATGAAATCATCCGAACCGCATGTATGCACCCACACCGAGTTTGTATCCGTTGCTGTCGCTTCAATATGATCCATACAGCCAGCAATATCGGGCCGTTGATTAAATGTCACATTGCAATGCTCCAGATCTTCAATCCAGTGGCGTTTGTTGTTCGAGCCATCGGTAGGCACTTCGCGTGTGACATAAATGTCGAGGTTTAGTTGAAATGGATTCGCTGCACGCTGGCATTGTTCGGTCCAGAAAATTATCAGATCCGTAAATGGCGTCAGTTCATCTGATAAAAAAAATTTTTTAAGGGGAATGAGAAACTTAAAGATGCAGCAAACAGCCAATCAAAAAGCGTGTTTCATTTGCAGTAGCAGTGGTTAATTTTTACCTAGTGTACGAATGGCCCACACAAGGTGGACTTGTTCGGTCACCACAGTGTCTACGCCAGCAGCACGTCGTTCGGCACAATCTTTGATTAATGTCAGAGCAGGCGTAATACCTATACCAGCAGCAAAACAAGCCATGGTCTTATAGTCTTGGTATTCCAAACGAGGACCATAGGGACCATCGACCTTCAAATCCAGATCATGGTGGCCAGTGGCAGAATGTAATAGGTCTGTGGTGTAGGATCCGAGGGCCTTGATATGGATCGATGCAGCAGGCTGATCATGCTCGGAACGACGACGTCGTGTTGCGTTAGTGAAGCTGTTGCTGTCATGACTGCTGCTACCGGTACTGCTACTGCTTCCAGCTGCTTCTTCATGGGTCGTCTGGGTTTTTTCGCTGGCTTTCTTGATGATAATGTCCTTGTTACCTCCTTTGGTAGGAACTTTTTCGTTCAGTCCTTTGCCATCGGCGGTGAATGAGCTGGATACGGCAGGTTGCCAAACTTCAGAAATTGTCATGGGATGCCAATTGGCATAGTTCCAAAACGCCCTTTTGGTCTTGTTCACCAAGGTAACAAACATGTATTGGCCAGGATGATATTGAGATAAGCGACTGTATTCGAAAAGGACACGGGTAATACCGTGCTTGGATCCGGAATTATACGCCTCGACATTCACGATTTTGGTCTTGACACTCCAGGACTGGAATGAACGCCAGATACGGTCAAAGGCCCAGAGAAGGACAGCAGGGATGAAATAGTAAAAGCAACCGGTCTCGTGCCAGCAGGAGGCAATGATGGCCACGATGATTCCGAAAATGTGCGTGTAGTAAAAGATCTCAAAGTGATTGCGGCGTATCCATTCAAAGGAAAACACAAATAGGAACAAAAAGCCGATCATGGCAATGGTGCCAGTGCCTTGCTCGATGTTTCTGAAAAGCGCATCCTTGACGATATAGTTGTGACGGTAACCATGGATACTAAATATAAAGTTTAAAAAATGTTCCTTTTTTAGTGAAATTTGTTGAAAAAGAAACGGTAAACAAAGCGCATTGACGACAAGCTAGTATCTTGTGACAACAGAAAGAGTAAAACTTACATGCGCCAAACAAAATGAGGCATGTACTCTGCAAAACCAATTCTGGCCAACCATCGATGGAAAGGAACCAAGCCTTCAAAAGTCATGCCAGACATACGGGTGACGACATTATTTCTTGAACCAAGGATAAAGACAAAGCTCCAGTTGACCATGCCAACATACGCTGCACGACGGTCCATCAAGCCGATACTCATGACGTCGGCCCAGGTCTTGCCATCAACCAGCTTGAAGGGTGCAAAGAGAATCCATAGGACATTGATGATCGAAAACAAGGATACACCGATTATGTGCTTGACAGGCATCCAGGTCGTGACAAAGGGGATTTGAGTCACATAGTCGCCGAGAGGTTTCAGCGGATTCAGCAGTGCAAAGAGCGAGAACGGTTTGGAAACGGGTTTGCCTTGACTCAATTGGAGACGCGCGCGGTAGACGAGGAATCGGTCGATCTGGTAGGCGATGCAGTAAAGGGCGAATAAGCCCCACCAGAAGAATGCATACGTGTAGCCGACTTTGTGGAAATCCTTGCTGGTATTTAGTACAACTGCCATTGGTGTGCTTATTGATGGCCTCTGTGATTTTATAAATAAGAAAGCAAGTGGACTAACGTAAAGGGGAGGGTTTTACAGGGGATATGCAAAAAGAGAGAGAGAGAACAAGAGTGAAAAAAGAAGAGGCACGCGGTAAATCACATGCACGGTGCTGACTGGCCTGTAAATAAATAGCTTTAATCATAACGTGAGATCGACCAGACTGCGTTGTTTTACCTAGCAGTCTCTCCCTGCGCGTGTGTTGCTCCCATCCGTCATCCGTCGTCCGTCACAGTTGCTCTCTTATCTTTGGGGGGAGGGGATCAGGTTGGGCTGTTGCAATAGAGTGGGTCAGTTTACCCGTTGACAGGAACAGTACCACCCCCAAGCAAAAAAAGAAGATCACAGTCTGAACTGTGCTACACAAGACACACCTATTATCAGATTCTTTTTTATCAGATCGCTGTGGTTGTTTGTGTACCCAACAAAAAGATCGCTAACTTTAAAATTAAAACATCTGTTTTTGTTCTTATTAACCCTGCATGGTAAAAAAGGTAAAAGAACGGGCCCTGCATAAGTATCATTTTCTGTCATCCATCCTAATCTAGAAAGCTTTAAAAGAAAACTCTTTAAGAGAAAACTTAAGCTTGTTTTGCTGGTTAAATGTAGTCATTGAAGTAAAAGGGGCCAATGATTTCATTTCCTGTTTGACCAGGGTGTGATGGGTTGAAGATCCCCTAGTAACATACATAACATACCCACTTTGCGAAGGGGAAATCTATTCACCGAAAAGACACCATATTTGGGCTTATTTACCAAGTCTGTGATCTTCTTTCTTTGGGGAATAAAACGCTGTATTACAAAACTAGGGTGGTAGTGGCGGCAGCGGAATTCTTTGTTACTCAACACATATATTTTCTCTTAGTGTAATGTACAAAAATGGTCCGCTGGGGTTTATAGATCCGCGTACAACGTTACGCCAAAGGTTGCCTTTAACCGGTTGTTCGCGAACTCAATAGAAGAACAGAGGTACGTCTTTTCGTTTGACCCTCGACGTTTCTTTCTCTATATTTCAATGCATTAGAGAGGTGCACTAACTAAAGTCCCCTATTGTTATTGATAAAAAAGGAACTTTAATGCATGTATGTACCATGATCGGGTTGGCAGCTGTTGTGAGTATGAAGTGAGGTGGGGGAGAAAGGGGTTCCAAGAAAACCCCATTGCCTGGCAAGTTGTCATGACTACCAAAAAAAAGTCAAGAACACCCATGTCCAATTCATTACTTCTTCGTCATTTGCCGTCAGGCAATTAAGCGTTAGACCCGGGAACCACGCCCCGCTCTTGCCTTCTTCTTATATCCTTTACGTTTGTGCTCATCGTGCCGATACATTCTACCCCATCTCCAAACTCTGCTAAGGGTTTGTAAATATGTGATACTGATCTTGCGGAACCTATATTCTTCCGTGCATGTTTGAAAGAGAGGACCAGGCCTGGATTATTGTTTAGTGCGTGTAGACTAATCCTTTTAAGAATATATCGAACGGCTTTTTGTGAGCTATAGTAGCTTTAAAAGTTGGCGGACCAACACTGGGATGATGGATAATCATAAAGCTACAACTCGATTAAATCATGATTGTTAGCATAATGTATATATATATACATTCTCACACCAAAAGTACATTTCTTGGATATAATGATGAATGATGATAATTATGAGCTTGGTCGTTATATATATATATATATATATATAGTGGTGGACTCGTCATCCTAGGTTCTTGCGTGATTATGGTCGTAATCCGGTGGAGTGATAATATCTTTTTTTTTATCAGATCAAAGGCAGCATATTGCCCCACGAATTAAGGCATATTATTAGTTAGCCTTGGTACAACCTTCTGTCGTTTACCATATTCAATAGGTGCATGCTGTACGTCACTTTTACCAGCTAAAAAGGATAGAAACTCTATGTCGCATTTGTTTATGATCCATGTTATGTATTCTAAATAAGTTATCATGCTTTAGTAAGTATTTACAGTAATGTTGAAAGTGTAAAAATCATTATCGTTGGGTAACAGCTGTTCTAACTTTGTTCTTTTTACGCCGCTTATTGTTCGAGTTATTGTTGTTGTTACTACTTTTGTTGGTTTTAGCGGTAGTAGATGCTAGCTTGATTTCAGTATTGACAGTTGGTGGCTCTTGACTACTTGTTGTTTCCTTTTCTACTTTTATCGCCGACTTTTTCTTTTCCGCGGGAAGATCTACTTGTTTCGTCGTCGTAATAGCACTCGTACTGCCAGTAAGTTCTTCTTGAGTTGCTGCTTTCCGCTTCTTATTAGGCGCAGAAGCATTAGCTGATGAGGAGGGTGATGCGCTTGTTCGTACAAAACAAGCGACAAAGAAACCGTTGGTTAAATCATGAGCCGGATCCGTGCGAACTACAGCGTCAGCATCTATCACACCATTGGGATAAAATGGATATGAGCGCAATTATTCCAAAAAGTGAGTGAAAAAAAATACGCTAAAAGGTTTAATGCCTATTCACCTTGAACGCTGCCATTGAACTCTGACACTAGTCCACGTCGATTCCATGTAGGCAACACCGATTCTCGCGGCGCCAAAGCAAAGTCGGGATTATCTGCCAAGATGCTTTGTACCACTTGTTCATTCTCTTGTGCATGTATGGAGCATGTTGAATACACCACGCGCTTTGCATTAGGAACTGGATAACAAAAGATACATTATGGACGTAGTTAGCAATGGTATTGAGTAACATACAGATATCATGATGGAAAAATCGGCAAACAATTTGTAACAGAGGCAGTGGCACATAGCAATACTTACATTTGAGCGCATGGCGAATCACTGACATCTGGAAATCCGCCAAGTTTTTCAACCGTTCGTCGACGGTGTCTGTCGCCTGATTTTCTGAAAGGAAGAAAGGTTAGAAAGACCAAACCCGATTTAGTAAATATATTCATAGACAGTTGTTTTTTTTATAGGCGACACAAAAGGAGGATAAAAGGAACCCGACATCCAACAACAGCATCGTCTATGGACATTTGCTGTTGACGTTGTACCAGGTTTTTTTTTTCATTTACATACCTTCATCGTCACCATCAACAAGGTGATCTAATCGACTGACGATCCCAGAACCAGAACACGACGGATCCAGAAGGAAATATTCAACCTTGATCGTAAACACAAAGAGTTCTCAATTACATGTTTTTCCACTATACTACACTAAGCCCCGCATTTTTTTTTTTTCGTTTACTGCAACCACCCAAGAAAAGAGTTCGAATGCGTAGCTGTTTTTACCTTGGCATATTGAGGATCCATAGGATCAACTTCAAGGAATGAACCATGTACAGGTGAGATATCTAATCAAGGTATATCAGTTATCAGTATACACATAATGCAAATCCTAAGCTTGTGGATGTGATCTTTGTGAAAAACAATGAATGCCTCCTCTCTTACTTTTACATCCGGCCTTTCCCGTCATACGCTTAAGCAGCTCCAGACGTCTTGCATCAAGATCAAAAGCCCATATCCGTCCCGTGTTTTGCATAAGCGCCGATAGATGCGAAGTTTTGTTTCCTGGTGCAGCGCAAGCATCAATAGCATGTGCATCTTTGGGTGGGCGGCACACATGGGCAGGAAAACAGGATGCTTTATCCTGATAAAGCAAAAGAAAAGAAAAACACATACCCCAAACCCCATCTATCTTTCAGTATATACACCAATAACGTAATCCATCCCGCTCTCCATCCGTTTTCCTTTCATCCTTTTTATACATTTTTTAATTTCAAGTACCTGCAAAATGATATCTCCAGCAACATAGAGAGGATGGTTATGCAGATCCGTCTTTGGCGTGAATACAAGCAAGTCATCCAAATGTGGGTCGCGACAGAATGACTTTTCGCTAAGTATATAAAGGCATATCGTCAACAACAGTAATCTTTGTTTTATGTAAATCTCTCTTTCCTCTAAACCCTCGCTCCTCCCTCCACCCTTCTCGCTTACGTGAGTTGTCGTAAATCTTCTGGCGCATTATCCACAAAGGTATAGCCTTCCTTTTTGAACGCTTGAATAATCTTGTTCATTGTCGATTTATGAGTATTAACGCGTGCATAGCGCGGAATGAGTACAGCGTCTCTGGCCTTTTGGCTCACTAGCTCCTCGTTGCTTTTTATGCCCCGCTTCATTTTGATTTTTGCCAACTCGGCTTTCAGTCGTGCCTGGTGGCGGTGGACACATTTTTTGATGGGTACGGTGGCCGGTAATGGAATACCTCGTTTGGTAAATAGCATATCGTGAATAAGCACTTGAGCCAACGACCGTGAGGATAACATCTGCCCTATAATTTTAGTAACCACGTAGCCTTATCCCCTTTTCGTCCTATTATCTCATTTCCACCTACCTTCTTTTCGATCGTACAAATATCCGTAATATCAATCAGCTCATTGATAACTTTTTTATCTATTCATACACAAGTAAGGAGAACATTTAGTTTTGAATTAACAATTATTCGAGGAACAAAGGAGGTCGTGATGCATAAAGTCGGTTCGTTTCTTACATTTAAGCGTTTCACAAATGAGAGCGTACATTTTCTTCTTGTCTTTTACTTTGGGATCGCCAATGACAAGACCCTTAATAGTACCCTGCCGTCGTTCAAGCTTGTCGAGAATTGTGCCCGCATGTTGGTAGAAATTCATGATCGATCTCGATAAAGCGTTGGGGAGGGGGTGGGGTATCCAACAAGCTATCGCAACATACTCTCCCGAGGGGGGGGGTTCTCAAAATGCATATAAGCCACTGAAATGATTTATGCAGCTTGTCATGTTCCTGATTTTAGCATGAAAATAAAGTCGATTTTTTGATAGGATTGAAAAACCCGAGGTGTAATATGAGTTTTTTCACTTTTTTTCTTTGTGATGGTTCTCGCCATCATGCCCAAAGCAAAAACTATGGAAGAAAGGCAGATCGCTTGCGCATGTTGTAAGTTGATTTCTGAGTGATGTGCACTGCACTGTCACTGCGCTCCGTGCAAGGTACAAGCATGCATACTCTGTTTCTTTAATAAAAGTGAATGTCGGATTGTTCATTTGCTTCAAATGCAAATGCACTTTCATCACTCTACAGTATGCTCCAATGTCCTTTGTTGTAAAGGAGAAATTGTTCCATATGCTATGTAACACTGATTTTATGCAGTACAACTATGTCAGAGTAGTATTGCTGCGTTACTATATATACGTTTACATCAGACTATTCATCTCTTGGTTCCGATCTCTTTTATATCACTTGATAGAAAGACTCTTGCAGCCCAAACCAATGCATAAATATTACGTCTTTTATGTGTTAAACAATGGAAACAACATATGTTTGGAGCTGTTGTTGTTCGTTATCTTTTACAGCTATTTCTATTCCAGAATCAATGCTGAAAATCACTCACCCTTGCTATCTCTTAGTTCATGTTTGCTAGTGTTCCAATTTCGGTTCCTTTTCGCTCAGGGTTTGTTTGCACAAGGCTGGACGACGATCACAATCGGAAAGACAGATACTCAATTCGGCGCTCATTATCAGCCGTCGACCACGGTTGCATATACAGTGCCTTTAAATGCGATCCAGAGACCAAGTACTTCTCTTGACATATTGCTAAAGCTGATATGAGCTTGGTTAACCTTCCCGTACACTGACCGGATCAGTGGCTCAAAATATGATGAAATAGAATTATCAAATACATAGCCTTGAAACTTTCATTATACAGCAAGCCCTACTTTGTTCAAAACAAACGCATGTAATATAAGAGCAAAGACATTGCTGCACCAGTCATGAGTGAAATTACTGCTGGGAGAAGTCTTGTTCCCAGCACACTTTTCTGTTTTCTCCACCTCTTTCTAAAGTTGATATTTTGCGGCAACTAAAAGACAAGGCATACTAAAATTTAAGCGGGTCGTAATGTATGCCAAAAGGGACCATGTGTTTTGCTAAGTTGGACGTAATGTACAGTCAACGGTGCTACTAACATATAGTAAAGTGCAACTGCAATACTGTAAAGCAGGATATGGTATGGATATCTCTCTCAAGCTCCATTATAACATCACTAACTCGACAACGACAAAAGTTTGCAAAGAGAAGGTCAGAAACACAATGTTAATTTTGCTGTGGAAATAGGCAACAGTGGTGGAAAATTCGCTACGTCTCTCTTTACAATTTTTTTATTACATAACGAAGGCAATGAACGCGTATGCACAAACCCATACTAATGACAAGCATAAGGGACGTAAATCACCAGGAAGCAAAGGTAGTCTAGGAATAAGGATTTCAGGAAGAGCGCAACACAGACCTTTCTTTTTTGGATAGTGACAAAGTGATGCGTGTGTCAAACCTCGAACATTCCAACAGCTTTCCCTTGAATTGAAAACTCCCGTAGAGTGAAAGCGCATTATTGTTAAGCAACAATTTGGCCAATTGCTTGGTACTCAAAGTGCACAAAGGGATGGCGGGTGAACAAGGTAATCAATGGAACAAAAGGGTCAAAAGATGTACAGTAGGAAGTCATCGTTTATAGTGTTCTTCTTCTGATCGTCCCCATGGATCTTGAACGCTGCTCAAAAAGTACTTAAAACCGCACAAAAACAAACGAACCGATATACTTTGTCAGTAGCAATGAAAAACAATGAAGGGTGAGTCAACTTCACTAGCGGCAGCGTATACTCATCACGAGCGGGTCAACTTATCTGCAGCAGTACATACATACTTGGTTACACGGCGTAGTTCAGAGAACTGTTGGCGGATGGCGAAAATTATAAAGCAACAGTGGACAAGCACGCCTCAAAATAAAAGATAATGGGTCTTCATTATACACTGCAGCGTTGGGGTCAAGTATGTGTGTGTTGTATCTATTCCCGCACACCGCACATGCAGTCAAAAGATACTAATAAAATGGAATAGTCTGTGGACTACGCTAAACTGTTTACCTTGTTGGGTGAAGAATGGAAACTGGCTGCTGGAAGAATTGTGTCCTTGCTATTTACTAAACAACTGATACCGGATAGCCTTTTAGGTTGTCTACCTTGTCAGTCATTTCTATTTCCGTCATCTTGTTGCTCACAGAAAAGCATTTCTTCCGTGAATCTACATGCTCATTCACATTCGTGTCTTTGTTTTCGCTTGACACGGTGCCGTGCACGGCCCCCCTCACAACCAAGCGGCGACAGCATCGGAGGTACAGCAGCCCATGGTGAGAGACACGTACCACTACCGCCGAAGCACGCTTGTCTACTTGACCATCAGGTACCACTCCTCCTTTCATTTCCTTTGGTGCTGTATCTTTTGTTATGCCATAGTAGGCAGCCCACAAGTTGATACGCAACCCGTTATCTGGGCCAATGAGAATTCACGGGGATTTGAAGTCCCGAACGAGAAAAATGTCTATATAAAGCGAGCAATTTCGCCTTTCTTTTTTCTCTTCTCTTCAGTTCGTTTTGGTACAGCTTTGATCTGTAGTACAGATGCACTGCTCTGTGCCATGATCGGGTCATTGCTTGTGCTGGCTATTGTCATAATTCTTCTGATGATCGGCAGATTCAGTGGTCCGCTCTGAAGAAAATTTGCAATATATACCAGTGGGAATGTGGTCATATACTCCGGCAGCCGATCGTGAACCTTCGGGTGCATGTGATGCCAACGGTATATGTTGGGATAATTGAAACGAACTTTTTTTTATTATTTATTACACACAAATAAGAAAATGATAAACAAAATAAAAATATATTTTTCTTTTTCGCACTTTCCGCATAAACGTTTTACCGCTTTTGCCTCGCCTTTTTTTTATGTGCACGACAAGTTCCTTTTTCTTTTTTCGCGAACAAAAAGCTAATTACTCCCCTCTCCATCCATTCACAGCTCCGTGCTAAACCAAAGCGGGGAACAATGACAGTGGCTCAGTAACACGATCACAACGCGCTTTATCACGCTTTGACACTTTTTTTTCACCTTCTGTGATCGCCCAAATTGCCAAAGTAATTGTCAAGAAAAAACAAATTGTTACCGAGGATATGGTCCGACCCTCCTTTAGAAAGAGGTTATCTTATAAGAGACAACGCCAGAGCATACGCCAGCAGACATGTACAATTGCCAGATCTGTAAATTGGAATGATTTTTTTTCAGCTGTCCGTCTCTCTCACTCTTCCTGCACGTAGCTTATCACAACACGATTTTCTTATCATTTTGGTTTTCACCTGGATCGAAAAACCTGCACTGACCATTTGTGATGCGACTGCTTTCAAAGCGTGATCTCTTGGACCTAACGTCAGTTCAAAGAGGAGACAAGAATGCGATAAAGCTCGCGCAAATAGTTCTTATGAATGTTAAACGCGTCGTAAACTCTTTGGTCTGCTCAAACTCGTTTCTTTTGAGTAGATCGCTGATGACGCCTGTAATATTAAAGTAGTTTGATGTTAGTGAGTAATTTTTATGCCAATGTGGTACGAAAATATTTGAGGGAAACAATGAATCGGCAGTGCTAAGGTAAATAATAATGAGAAACACTTTATGGATCCCTCTTGCATACTTTGGCTCATGCATAGATGAAACTAATGAAGTTTGAAGGAGGCAAATGAACGCCTTCAACTCAACAAGCCATCTATGAAAGGAGTCACCTTGCTCGCCATTTCTTATTTCTTCTTCTTCTAAATGAACTTGCACCTGATGAATATGTGATTTCAATACTGGATTGGTATTATCATTGCTGTCTGGATTCACTACCATCTAAAAATTCATCATCTAGTAGCTCGACACATCAGTGACCATCATCAGGACAAATATGACAAGTCTTTAGAAACCACATTGGTAATATATATGTGATAATCAAGCCGTGCCCAGCGTCTTTGGTTATCGTGATCTCGACTTGCCTCGTTCTACAAAGTCATACAGACCAGCTCTCTTTCTTTAGTTTGTTCAAGCAACTGATCGGGTTTCCGTAATCCTCATAGTTCCAAGTTAAGATAGTATATGTGATTCTGCTCAAAAAAGCGCGAGCGGGTAAAGAAGTCTGTATAGCGTAAACAAAAAACAAGCGCGTGTATATTTATTGGGGGGGAGGAAACTATCACAAGGCAATGGAGGGTTATATTTATTTTAGAGCTTAGCAACCAATTGATCACTCTTTTCCTTTTGTTGCTTCATCTTTTCGACGATCTCAGCAGCACGGCGCAATTCGGTCTTGCCAAGCTGGTTGCGATGGACCTGTAATTATAGCACAACAAGAATAGTCAATTGTTAGTTAAGCTATAATCATCCACTCCATAGTTGTTCTCTCCCCTGGTTCCTCTTGTATCTTAATTACCTCATCAGGACCATCAGCGTAGCGCAAAGTACGTGCGCGAACAAAGAAGCCAGCCAAAGGCGTATCTTGCGAGATACCCGCAGCACCATACGCTTGCATGGCACGGTCAACAACGTTCAAAAGCATAGTAGGTACTGCGATCTAAACCGATATAAAAGTAGTTTTGGCGTGTTTAACATCAAACCATGCTATCAAAATGTACGTTTTATCCCACATCTTGGTAACAAACCTTGGCCATGGAAATTTCCTTCTTGGCACCCTTTGCCTTGACCTCATCAATCTTGCGAGCAGCGCTCAGTACCAAGAAACGGGCCTGGTCAATTTCGATACGCGAAGTGGCAATGTCAGCGACAATGGTGCCGTGTTCGGCCAAGCCCTTGCCAAAGGTACGACGAGAAGGATCGGTCACACGAGCAATCATCAGTTCCAAAGCACGTTCGGCTTTGCCAATGCAGCGCATGCTAAGAGCAAATAAGAAATGAACATGAGTTTCACTCCCCCGTTTTCCTTTACAATAAGTGAATTAACCCGGTATGGTTACGTTACCAGTGGTGGATACGGCCAGGACCGAGACGACCTTGGATGACTTCAAAACCACGTCCTTCACCAAGAACAATGTTCTCAACAGGAACGCGAACATCAGTGAAAGTGATTTCACCTGGGGATAAAATAGAGAATGCGTTACTGTCGTGGCTCATTTTAATTTGATCCGCCAATGCATGGATATTACTACTACTTACAGTGACCCTCAGGAGCATCATCGAAACCAAATACTTGCATTGGGCGGACAACGTTGATGCCAGGGGTATCTGCAGGGACAATGACCAAGCTCTGCTGCTTGTGGCGGTTTGAGTTTTCGGCATCAGACTTGCCCATCACCAAGTAGACAGCGCAACGGGGATCACCAGCGCCACTGTGTGTGTGTAAGTGTGTAAGTGATTACCACTAGCCCAAGATGTGCGCATAGCTATATTGTTTACTAACCTGATCCACCACTTGCGACCATTAATGACGTATTCGTTACCCTCGCGACGAATGTTGGTTTCAATATTGGTTGCGTCCGAAGAAGCAACAGCAGGTTCGGTCATGGCGAAAGCAGAACGGATCTTGCCATCCAAAAGTGGCTTCAACCATCGTTCCTGTTGCGCGGGTGTGCCGTACTTGGCAAAGACTTCCATGTTGCCAGTGTCAGGAGCGGAGCAGTTCCATGATTCGGGGGCGAGGCTGCTGCGACCCGATAATTCGGCTGATGGGATTATACCGTGTAAAGTTAGAGACTCTCTTTAGTGTGCAATTATGGACCAATGGAAGAGAAAGGTAGAGCTTATTTACCAAGAAGACCATATTCAACGTTGGTAAGGCCAGCGCCAAAGTTGCCGTATTCACGGCCCAAGAACAAGTTCCACAAGCCGATAGAACGTGCCTTGACCTTTAATTCCTCCAAGACTGGCGGGATAACCTTGAATTTTTAATATTAATATTATTTTTTTGCGCGTCCCGCCTTCTTTTGTATATCAACATTTCCTCCATTTTACCTTCCAGCGGTTTTCGCCTTGACCCATTTGTGCTGCAAATACTTTCTCGGCAGGAATGCATTCATTCTGTATAGGATATCGGGCAGCCCGCGTTTAGTCTGTGTGCAATTCGCATAGATACACGTACGGGTTTTGACTGAGTATGGATTATTAAACCTACCTCAACAAAGTCCTTTGCCTTGGCGTAGAGCTCTCTGAACTTGGGCGAGAGAGTGTTAAAGTCGACAAGTGAGTTAGTGGCCATGTGTGTAGTTCGGTTGGGGGGGGGTATAGAGTGATTCAAGAGAAAAGAAAAAAGAAGAGTGCGTTCGCTTTTAGCCCCGTTTCTACCCCACTTTTTTGAGAGGATTACCAGTTACGGATGACAAAAAACCAGTCCCGCGGGAAGAAAACCATTGGCCAAAGTGCATTGACAACATTCTTTCTGTTACCCACGGCTGTTAAAATGCTTACATACTAGCAAATATTCTCGCAGGGATACTTGCTTACTCTATCGCTTACTCTTCTTCTAACTTTACTCTATTGTATGCATCTTCGGGTTTTCCTTTTCCCTCCTCCTCCATTATCCGTCTGCATCATCAAGTGCTTACAGTATCTCGCAGTCGAATCGATTCAATGATAGTGGGTGTGTTTATTATTACATGTGCTGTGCATATATTACATGAGGATGATTATGACGACGATGATGATTTCTTGCTGTCTTTCTTCGTTTGCTGCTGCTGCTGCTTTCCGCTACCTCCTTTCTTCTTATCTGTAGGCCCTCTTGCCTCTGCTGCCGCAATATCCTCTGACTTGCATCCAAGCGCCTCGCATAAAGCCTTGTTGATCTGAACAGGATCTGCCATACCCTTTGTTTTCCGCATTATTTGTCCAATGAACCATTTAAACACCTTCATTTCACCGTTTTGGAATTTGGCGACCTATTGTTCACGATGATACACCGATCAGTATTGATGCCAGGAAATGCATTTTGTCCAGTCATTTTTGGTACCTGGTCGGGATGCTTTGTCATTAGGTCACCACATAGGTTCTTTAACAGGTCGCTGTCGTCAATGCGTGCCCACCCCTTTCTGTCCACGATCTCCTGTGGCATCATATCCGTTTCTTGTTCTAGCATCGTTCGTAATACATCTTTACCGATTTTACCTATGGAATAGGGTTAAAAAGACAGGCATTGGTTTTCCCGTGGTTACAAGCAAGTGAGTTACCTACCTGTGATCTTGTTACTCTGAACCAGATCTACTAACGAGCCCATCTGCTCTATGGATATGGGGCTCTTGGTGAATGGGATTTCTCTTTTTGCAAGTTCACCAAACAAATCATTGACCGTCCTATACAAAAACTCAATATGTAAACCGTTGTCACCCTTTTTCTCTCCAACCACTACAGAAGCAAACAAGTTCTCTCTTTTTCAGTTGTTACCAGTTCAGAACAGCTTGTGGATTCCGACCCTGACACACTTTTTCAAAAAACGCCAAACTACCAGGCTCGTTGAGCAAAGCATGTGCATCGTCCAGCGACATGTTGTATCGTTCCATGATTCTTGCTCTCGTTTCGTCTGGCAGTTCAGGCAACTCGTGCGATAGAGACTCAATATAGGTGTTGGTCAAGACGAGCGGTGGCAGGTCTGGTTCAGGCATGTATCGATAATCGGGTGCTGTCTCTTTGCTTCGCAACTTCAACGTCTTTTTCGCTCCCACATCAAATCCTCGCGTTTCTGCTTTCACCACACCTCCGTTTTCAATCAGTTGGATTTGACGTTCGATTTCGGCGTCAATGGCCATCGATAGGAAGCGTACGCTGTTGAGGTTTTTGATTTCGCATCGTGTGCCGAACGGTTCTCCTTGTCTGTGCACTGATACATTTACGTCACATCGCATGGAGCCCTAATTCGTAGAGATAATTTTTTTTTTCGCTGTCAATGGCCACCAAAGTTCATTAGGATTCATGGATATATTAAATTATACCTCGTTCATGCTAGCCTGTGATGATCCAACACATTGTAAAATACTTTGCAACTTCTTTACCAACAAACCAGCCTCGAATGATGATCTAGTCGTATCAACTTAGAAAGTTTTTTTTTGTCTCCCTCCATTTATGTTGCATAAAACAATTACCTCAGATCCGGCTGTGTAACAATCTCCATCAGACCAGTTCCTGCACGATTCATGTCAAGCAATGTCGATGCAACAATCATATCATGCATACTTTTACCAGTGTCCTATCATAAAAGGTGTCAAATATTCACCCAATCCATATTTTCTTTTCGTCTTGGTTGTATGTCTCCTTACCTGTTCTAACTGGATTTGATGTAACCCCACAATAAAAGGTTCTGGAACACCATCCAACTGGGTTAAAGCAATCATGCCACCTCGAGCAATAGGTTCTAAAGGATCATGGTTACATCGTGTAAGTAGTATTGATCCTCTCTTTTATTACAATTAACGAGTGGGTACCTCTCTGTTGTGTAATTTGATAACCCTGTGGCAGATCGGGATAAAAATAATGCTTTCGATCAAACCGAGAACGAGGCTGTACATCCGCCTTTAATGCAAGTGCTGTCTTCACTGCCAGTTCCACACATCGCTCGTTGAGTCGCTATAGTAGCAGACACATTAGGCTTGATGGCCTACTTTTGATACGGCACATGTACATAAGCACTTACGGGTTGAACACCAGGAAAGGCCAAGTCGACCATGGAAACTTTGCTGTTAGGTGGCTCTTCATATGACGTTTCCATGTCTAGAAAAAATAAACCCAAACAATATTAACAAAGACACCAACTGCTGTAGCTACGCGATTCTCTTTTTCGGTTTGCAAGTTTACTCGGGTTGCGCTCCCCGATGCTTACCTGAGAATAATTTAGTTTTGGAATCGATCTGAGCATGGACTTCAACGCCAATGATTGCTTCCCAACCATTCTTGTTAAAGACCGATCGTTGCTGCTGAGGCTGGGTGACCAGGGTACGTATTAAATGAATTCTAGTAGTGATTAATGGTCGAGCATAGTGTCGTGGTTGTTGTCGACACCACCATGACAGCAGCATAATTGTGTATGTACTTTTTTTTATGGGTTGATATGGTATAAGAAAAAAAAACCCAGCACAGCACGCGCTGGCCTGTCAACAAAATTATAAAGAGGTGTGTGTGATACAAGAAAAAAAAAGAACCACAGTTTAGAGGTTATCAATAATATTAAATCTAGGTATCGTTACAGATGATAGTTTATTCAGACCGTCTTCGTTTGCCCTTGGCATCATATCGTCTTCTCTTTGCAATGCTTTTCCATGTAGCCAAGATAATCCAAAAGGTACATGCCAACACAGCTACCATGGTCCCCATCTGAACCATATCTGCATCCTGCGCTCTTCCCACGGGCATTTTCAGCTCCAAATACAATGGCATTTCACTATTACCATCACCACCAGCAAGAGAGGATGATGCATCTTGCGGTTGGATATGAATGTCTTGGAAAGTATACAAGTCAGGATCCATCCTGTGTGCAGGAATCAATGTACCTCGTATCGGCGGCATGGCACGACGACGACGGTTGTTGCTTTTCGTCACACTATCGTTCACAACGCCCGTATCAAGGTCGGCATTGTTGTTTTTCTTTTTGGCGGCACAGGTCCAGCCAACACGCGGTTTTGGTATAGCGATCGATCTGTATATTTGACTTGTTGACGATGGACGTTGGTATCGTAAATGGATAGGAAGGTCGATTCGTAGCTCGTCATTGTCATTCGTGTCATTATTGGTGTGACGTATAATGACAGTGCTGCCGCGTGGTTCCTGGACATGTTCAAGCGGTGCTTCGAGATCGGTTTCGCCAAAGACATGGACGTTTGATGGTAGTTGGTTTGGATCGACAAACACGCTTGCTGGAAGTTGGTATATGAGATCCAGCCAGCACTCTTTAGGCTGTTGTTGGTCATGTACAGAATGGAGAGTGGTGATAATGTGGGGATGAAGACTTTCGGCTTTGTCTAGGCTCCACTGGACCTGGAGTGGTGGTGGTGGTGAGTCGTTGTCGTCCATTATATTTATGGGTAGAAAAAACCGAGGGTGTGATACGTCGTGCGTTAAAAGGTAAGATAATTTATGCTTGAAATATTAAAAACGTGATATATATAATTTTTCTACTTTAACAAAAGGTCTTTTTTGTCGTCTTTATGAGGTCTATTTGTATATGTTGATAGATATGGTGGGTGGTAATGGTAAAGATGATGATAAAAATATTTACAAATTGGCTTGCCATGCGCACATACGCCCATCTTCGCCACCGGTCAATATGCTCTGAGTGCGGTGATTCCAATGAGTTGCTCTGACAATATCCGTGTGTCCTCCTGGTGCCTTGAGCGTTTGACAATGCTGGATGTGACCCACATTGACGTGAAGCAACTGAACATCACCACTAACAACCACAAGATTAGTTTCCCAACCCTAATATCACCAACATAGAAAGATGAATAGACTTACTCTGCGTTGCCTGTGATTAGATAAAACCGCTGGGTCTCTGGATCATAGGAACAATCAATGCCATATCCGATCGACGGATCCAACTGTCGCACATCTCCATAATCACAAATCAGATCGCCCTCGAGCGTATGCAACAAGAAGGTCTCATTGCCCGTCAAGCTATACACATATTCGCACTCGGGACCAAAAAAGCCTGCTTTCTGGACCGCCGACTCTGCATTCACCACAGATATCAATGCCTCTTGCTCATCAAAATCCGTCACATCATAATAGTTGACCAATCCATCTGCAGAGCTCGTGATGAGGTGTGAAGGTAGGGTGGGATGGCATTTGATTTCGGTCACGTCATCATTGTGGGATTCTTCAAACCGGGCCAAGAATTGTGTCTGACGGGTATCATAAAAGACAATATCAGGGCACCCGTACTGGTCAAAGTCACCAGTGCCGATAACAGCCATTGTGTCGTTGCAGTTGATATCGAATGCCGTGATAGGTTTGTCATCTAATAGCACGTTGGTTCATGCCTCCCTTTCTTTTTAGAGTTGCAGTCCTCTTTACATTATTTGTCTTTAGAGTCAGCTTCGTAGTGCTTACGTCGAATGGTTTGTACAGGTTGTGCAGTACGCAGATCCCACCGTATTAACGTTCCGTCTGCTGAACCTGACAACAAGTATTGGTCCTGGTACACCTTGATTTTGTTAATTGTCTTTTCTTGTGCTTTTAATGTGGCGGCGAGTTGTAATGTTGACAGATCGTAGAGTCGAATCAACTTGTCGGAGGCCGAGGCAATGGCATATTGACTGTTGGTCGTTACTTCTAGCACATAATCGTCTTCAAAGCCGAAATCAATGGCTCGAACAGGTTGAAATGGTGGTAATAGTTCCGGATTCGCGTCGACCTGAATCATGTTTTGGAGCTTTGTTTAATCAACACCTCTCTTTCTTTCTGTGCTTTGTGTGTGTGTATGTGGTAGTAATAGAAAAAAGTTTTGAAAACCCAGATATAAAGGGTGGATGTTGCGGCATTTTCTTTGCTCTTTTTTTTTTCCTTGCAACCAACAAAAAGCGAATGATAAAAGCTTATCAAGTAGCTGCCCTGCTCCTTTATCCGGCTACAGTACTCTTCCTTAGCACGACACTTGCCGGTCGAGTTCCACCGAGCTACTTTAGCGACAGCCATAATGCCTTGAACGTTTACTTTGTCAAGCTCGGTTGGCTTTGGACAACTTTAGCCTTTGGCTCACTTGTCGTCTTTCAGTTCCTGTCGCCTCCGACAGCAGCACCAGCTTCGGTTGAAAAAAAAGCAAAGAATCAGCAACAACAGCGACGCACACCATTGATACTACGATCGTTTGCGCGCTATTTGCTCATGACCCTGTACTGGTTTGGAATGACCCAATGGCTACTTGGTCCGAGTCTTGTCGATCGTATGTTTGTCGCTACAGGTGGCAGTTGCCATTTCGATAATATGGCCACCAGCTCCTCGACACCAACGACAGCGACAAAGCTGGTATCACAGCAAGCCACGTGTCGGGCCACGGGTGGATCATGGCATGGCGGTCACGACGTCTCCGGTCACTGCGTCCTTTTAATACACGCCAGTTTATTTCTGTGGGAGGAAGCGATGCGCCAATCTGATAGACGGAAACGGATATTTGCGCTGGCGTTGCTAGGATTGTGGTACTGGATGCTGGCCATGACAAGCGTTTATTTCCACGGCTACCGCGAGCTCTTATCAGGCGCGTTTTTTGGTGTTCTTGGATGGGCAATTGTGGTAAATATAAGAGAGCTAGTTGTTTCTCCCACTTCTCTTTTTTTTTCGAAACAGGTCACGGAATATCGTACTCACGTTTGTCATCTCTCTTTCTCTCTCTCTCCTCTCGTCGTCTGCGTATCAAAAAACAGTACCTTGGATTGGTGCCGCATTGCCGCGCATTGTCTTATTGATAGAAAGAGAAAAAAAACCTAACCCCGCACTATTATTTTTTTTGTTTTCCTGCATTGGGGCACAACAAAAAAATAAATAACATATAAACTTCCCCTCCCTTCTTCATGTTGCCTTCTCAATCTACACTTCGACTATGGAGGATAATTTCACGTAATGCACCACCACAATGGTCACAACAACAGCAACAACAACGCTTCTACCAATGGCGACACTTGAATAAGCACTTGCAACAACACCACCACCACCCCAACAGAGCAGCCAATTCACTTTCGACGACTACACGCCATGTCACTGCTGCCGTCCAACAACAGCCGCAACAAAACCAACCACAACAACAACAGACACAACAAGAAAATCGAGGCACGAAATATAAACCTGTCACCGTCCCTACTTTGGCCGAATTACCAAAACTATACAAAGACTTATCAAAGTCCAAACTAGCATGCTTGGTCGCGCTGACGACTATGTGCGGGTATGCCATGGCACCTGGCGCCGCCTCTGTTTCCACCTTGTTTTATACCACGGTCGGCACCACGCTATGCATTTCGTCCGCCAATGCCATTAACCAATGGATTGAAGTACCTTACGACGCACAGATGCTCAGAACACGAAACCGAATTCTGGGCAGACGCCAACTGTCACCGTTCCATGCATTTTCGTTTGGTACCTTGACAGGTGCTGCTGGTGTGACCATGCTCAGTACCATGGTCAACCCCTTGACAGCCGCTTTGGGTGCTGCCAACATTTTCCTGTATACATGTGTTTATACGCCCATGAAACGGTCCTCGATTGCAAATACCTGGGTAGGTGCCGTGGTGGGCGCTATCCCGCCCATGATGGGTTGGACGGCCATGACCAATGGCGTTGAACCGGGCGCTTGGGTTTTGGGTGCCATCTTGTATGCATGGCAGTTTCCACATTTCAATGCCTTGGCTTGGAACTTGCGTGCGGATTATTCCAAGGCCGGATATCGCATGATGGCTGTCACGGATCCTAAATTGAACGCTCGTGTTTCTTTGCGTTATGCTTTGGCCATGGCCCCTCTCTGTTTGAGTATTCCGTATATGGGCTTAACAAGTTGGTGGTTTGCTCTGGATTCTTCTGCTGCGAATGCCGGTTTAATCTATGGTGCTTACAAGTTTTGGAGGGATAGGTAAGGAATCAATTGTTTATATGGAAACAGGGGGGCGCGATTTAACTTGTGTTTATATACTGATGGACGGATTACTCTTCTTCTTTTTATATGTACAGTAACGAAAAAACGGCACGACAGCTGTTTTTCGGAAGTATCATTTATTTACCGGTAATCATGTCGCTGATGATGGTGCACAAGGTGTATGATACGGACATGACACAATTACTATCCTGGGATGACAGTGACTTTGTTGACGAAGAAGTCTTTGAGTCACCACAACCTCAGCAAGTACAATCATGAAAAACAGCAACATATTTACAAGAAATATCAAATATATATATAATCATTTACATTGCACACACACATGTAACTTTAATTATGCACCCTTGTACTTGTAACGAGCTTTATCCAAATCAGCAATCTTGCCCTCGACTTGCACCATCATCCGTAATCCCAACAACATCAAACCCAATACAAGCAAGGGAACAGACCAAAAAGCAATTTCTAAGGTCGAGGTCTGCATGTCCAATAATGCAATGCAAGGTGAGACAATGCCTGCAAAGCCGGCCAAGGAAGCAGTGAGGATGTTCACCTGGCCTATGCCTCGTGAGGGTGTTGGTTCCTTAAGCCAGATGATCTCGAGGGCGGAGAGTTTACAGGTTGTTGCAAAAGTGTAGATGGATGTGTACAGGGAAACCATGCTCATCATGGCGGCAAACTCAGGAACGGGAATAAGGGAGGGGATAGGTTGTTGCATTAATGGCATGGGAATTCGTGGTACTGATAAAACTTTGGATGTGGCGAGATCGTAGAAAAAGATGGCGTATCTATTTTTTTAAGAGTTGAGCAACTTAATATGACGCACACACACAATATAGCATATCTTTCGTCTTCTTTCTTACATGGTGGATACGAGAATACCAATGACAATAATACCGCGCTATTATATATTGTGTGAGAGAAACAAGACCTTTTACAAAGTTTTCATATGAGAAAAGGGGTCTACCTGGATTCCCAAGTTGGATTTTTCATTTTGTTCTCGAAGTTCATCAAGTAATCGTTCTTGTTCTAACATGTTCAACAATCGACATGAAGAAATGGGGCGTGCATTTATCTGCATGAGCTATTACTGTAATATAACGGTCTCGGAAAAGAAAAAGAACAACACACAAGATCGAACCTTCTTCATCTAAAAACTCAGATTCGTCTTCTGGATGGGTTGTTGGTTTTTTGGACTGGAAACGACGCTGCAGACCTTCCATATTCTGTCAATAACAGGTGAAACGTGTGTCGCATATATAAAAAAAAAATGCTTCGAGAACCCCGCAAGGTTCAATGCGTTCTGTACCTCGGAAAAAGTTCTGGCAAACGTCACATTGGTTCCGCATTAATTCGAATCATGCGTCCATCCTTGCCACTATAGTAGAGCTGCTGTTGTAAAATTAACACTTATATATACGCATCTATGAAGAAATCGATTGTATCTCCCGCACACAGAGTGGTAACACACTTTCCAGCCCGTCTGCTGAATACGCGGTACTGGTCGACTGTGACGCCATGGGCTGCTGTGAAATGAATATGTATGATCATAGCAATATATCATCTGCGCAGACGTTGCACATTTTGGGTGTACAAGGTAGACATAAAATTGTGGGCTTTATCAGTAACTACTTTCTTTTTTTAAGTCATCGTTTCACAGACAATGCTGCTTTGAGCAGTACAAGAATTTGTGATAATATAAGCCATACAAGATGTACACTACATACTTGACCAGGCAATGGAGAAGTCTATGATCCATATATTCAAACGTGATGTTAGCGAGTCTCTTATAAGCGATCACCGTATCTCTCGGAGCGCTCTACCACCTGAACGATTCTCGCACACTTGTTGCCAAAACCATCATTTAACTCCTACTTGCTGGTTCGTCCGCACATCAGATGTGGAAGTAATGCCTGGATCGTCCCGTATTAAGCGAGGGATCATGTGCGCTGTCATAATTTGGAACCAACCTAGGGACAAAACTATTGACAAAAAAATAAACTGGCAAGACAAAGGACATTGTCGAACGGAAACAAGTACTTATCATCTTTTCAGTCAGGATAGTGCCGGAAATAGCCATGACAGGGCCAAAACGCATCAAATCAAATCTGTCAAGTTCAAAGGCACTAATCAGAAAGTGTGCCTGAATCTCAAAACTTCAATGGTACGGCCAGATGTGTATGATGCAAAAAGACAAGGAGGAAAAAAAACGCGAAATAAGCAATGTGCATTGGATTTTAAGTCATGTCTACTGCAGCGTGGTCCAGAATATCAAACACTTTTTCGTTTTCGAATTAAAAAAAGGTTGGCTCGTCGTGAAGCTTGAAAAACCTCAACCAATGATGATATGGTTTGTATGCAAACAAACTTGTTGAGGTAAAGGAATCGATAAATATAGTAGCATTTAACAAAGAAGATACTGTATACGAACCCGTGGAAATGAAGGAAAGGGCAAAAAAAAGAAGGGATTCTATCATCACGGAGCAAAGAAACAATGAAGGGCAACAAAAAACGTTTCTCAGGGTCTATTTGGCCAGCTTTGTTTTGTCGGCATAAAACTTTGGGGATGGAGATCATAACAAAGAAGGCAAAAGTGCCCATTACTACTCCTGCTTGCAGAACACAGTTGTCGCTATCAGCAACAAAATAGTCGCCAGTCTCACGTGGTATATTAATAGTAGTGGTGGCCATCATGCAGGAGGACAGTAACGGCAATCTTCTCATCAAACGGAAGAGCAAACAGTCCAGTCATCTACCGGTGCAGCATACCCGGAGGACAAACAAGGGGTTATTAAAGCCGTCAGAACCATAGCATATCGTGCGCGACAAGACCAGCAGGCATCTTCATTTGCTCCTCCATTGTCACCCACACACAGAAGAAAATTATTGGTGTGCCCAAACAGATCCCGGGTCTGTTGGAGCAGCAGCAGCAGGGATAGGCGTCGTCGTCCACTATGGAACAACAAGGACTCTCCATTTCCCCTGTCCTCGGTAAACGCCAGCGGTATACGACCAGTGAAGACGAAGGAAATGTAGAGGAACAAGAACGACAAAATCGGGGTAAGAGAGAATCCCTCCGTCCCATATATACACACTTTCCTATATATCAATGGATTGTTTTTTTCTGTTCTGACATAGTATATTGGCTGTTTTCCTCTTCTTCAACATGTATCCATAATTATAGCATGTTATCGATACCGTTTGCAACATGAATGATACCGTTTCTTTGATACCTCCGTCAGTTAAAATGTGCGTCTAAGATATTTGATTTGATTAGCTGATATGTTTTGTTGCTACCACTTATTGTTGGCTACTATTCCGTATCCATATCTTTTAATATCATATGGTTGTCCATTCTTTTGCATGAGCCTCCGCAGATGGCCAGAAAACTCATCTCCCATCAATACGAGGACCGTATGCTGGAGGACGAGTTAGAGGAATCAATCGCTGCAATGTATGATTATCTACGAAAAGGATCAGGAGGACGGGACTCAGATCTATGCATTGTCCAAGCGTAAGTAGCCCCAGCTATTATAGATATGTATATTTATTCTATTGTTTCGTGCAACCTTTCTTACAATCGCTTTTGTAAACTGCTTCCTTTATCCATCTATATATGTATATAACAGACGGATGGCTTTCTTGAGCGATCGGAGCACGCGCATCAGGGATCATCAACTGATCGTCATGACGAAAATGGTCGCTATGCATCGATACCAAGAACTCATTTGGAACTGGGAAGATATCTATGACGATTGCGCCTGCTTGGTCAATACACCCGTGGACGAAAATGATAGCGATCGTCACCAACCTCGTGTCGTCCACTTTGTGATGAGTGCGAAGGAGCTAATCAATGATGGCATGTTGGAACTCCAGAGCAGCAGTGAACATTCAATCAAGTATTTTGTGATTGAAAGAAACAGAACCGTACATGTCGCCATTTTCTTTTTTTCCTGAAGCATAACAGAAGAAAGTCAAGCTTAACATTAGAATCTAGCTTGATTTGTAGTAGTAATAGTAGAAGTAGTATGTAGCGACTCTTTCAGTTCGTTCATTGAAATATGATAAACATTTTGTGATAAATAATAGTGACACTACCTAGTATCAAATATCCAGTGTTTCTCGTTGGTATGTACTAGTAATTTCGTTGATAAAATGCTAGGTTCTTTTCTTAAGTACATATGTAACTAGACTTATTGCTTACATAATACATCAATGGGACGAAGCTTGTTGCACTGGTTATTACGTCTGTATTATTATGATAGCATGCGTTTTAAGAACAAGCTACTGTAGACCAGATATGAAGGGACACGGGTGTGGTTTGTGCGACAATCACGGACCATGCTTAGCAACTAACGACACTATCTCTACTATTTCGGTAATAGAAGTAAAAGCAACTATCATGCTAATTAAGTGGAATAGTGTACAATATGCGTTGACACGCCACTCACTCGAAATAAGTTTGTACTCTCTCCCCTTCTTCTCCTCCCTGAACCGCTCCTCTCCTTTTTTCTTTTTTTTGCTCATTTCTTTTTGCACTCGTTCACTAACTGCTAAATGACCGAAGGTAAATTCTCTTTTCCCAATTGTAGAACAATTAAAACTTAATTTCAGTTTAACGTTTCTTTTTGTATAAGTCGGAGCGATCAAGACCAGCCATACTTGTCATTGGAGAATACCCGACTGGGAGAAACTACGTACTTGCACTGAATACAGTAGCCCACCACTTTATATAGACGGTCTAAAATGGTAATAACTTAATAAACTAGAATATCCTTTTTCGTCATACGTATGGGCTGAATCGCATGTATTTACTAGAACAACTAAAACCAACAGTATTGTTTTTTTCTTTCTAGGTCGATCAAGGTGAGAAGAAAACCATAATAGTATATACACAAATAGAGTTGGAAACATAATTGTTTCAGTTCCGTAGTAGCTGTACAAAGGTCGGCCAAAGAGCCCAAATGTAAGTATGATGCATAACATTCGAGTTCGGACACAATGGAAAGGGAGTGAGGGCTCACAAATGGAGGGTTTTTATCAAAGTAGATGTTATCCTTGTTTGTGAAGCTACATGAAACAGGCCATGGATCGTTACGCGGTGTACGTAAAAAGGTCACATTGACTCTGAAAGTCAACAATACGAACCCGTCCAACTACTATAATGACTTTGGTGTCGGCAAACGTAAGTTTGAAAAGGACCAAGGAAGGGGTGAAACGGATCATGTGAGACAGTCTAGTCAACAATGATGTTGTTATTGTTAGCAATAATATATCAAGTGAGTAAACAACCTCTTTTACTTTCTTGTATGTAGGTCTTCATCCAGTTTGGTTCAGTGAAAGTAAGTTACATACAAACTCACACGTTTGACATTGTGTTAAGCACACTAAAATGTAACTGCGCTCCTCTTTCTTATCCTTTTAGAGCACACAAAGTGGGGTGAAGGTAATATTTAATATCTTTAATGTGCACTAATCTACATTTGTTTGTGCCAACAAGGCTGATCCACACAGCTAAAATAGATGCACTTGCTCCATTGGAAAGTCTTGATCCATTTCTCAACCAAGACCAAGCCTCGCTATCCATCAGTATGACCATCATCAAATCCGAGATCGACATTGTCCCCAGCGTCGTTGGACCTGGTCTGTCCCCCTTTGCCGACTATGCCAACTCGCCCGAGTTTTCCGACATTCGATTTTGTATCAAAGCAACAGGCACACTCTTTTATGGCCACAAAGCGATCCTGTCAGCCATGTCGCCATGGTTTAAAGCAATCTTCACAAGCGGTATGCGCGAATCCTACGAAAGCGTGATTGATATCGAAGGCGTGGATCCGGCCATCTTTTCAAGATTGTTACATTATTGTTATACGTTCAGCATGGATATTCAATCGGTCACAGACGCACAGGCTATTTTGAAGGCGGCAGATCAGTTCCAACTGACAAAGCTGCGGGACGAGGCACTTCGGTATATGCGGCAAGAAATCACGGAATCGAATATCTGGGATATTTGGGCATGGTCAGGTGGGTGTTTTCTTTTAATATTGTGAAGGAGGGTGAAAGAGTAAAAATACTAATATATAGTATGGTGATGAGACAGATATCTATGACTGTGATCGAACAAGATCGGCATGCCTTCGATTCGTTTCAAATCACTTTGTCGATCTGATAAAGAATCCAGCATGGTTAAGGGCGCGACCGAACGTATTGAAAATGGCATTACAGATCGATGAAGGCCTGATACCTAGTGAAGAAGTACTCTATGAAAGCGTGGTGTCTTGGGCGAAACATGGGATGATAAACAAGGCATTGCTGTTGCTTTCAGATGATGATGACGATGACGATGACGATGACGAGGAAGTGGTAGTGGAAGAGACAGGCGTGGGAAATACGACTCCGAGTAACAGCAGTAGCAGTGCTTCTACTACTGTAGCAAAGACCAATGAGCACCATCATCACCGTTCACAGCAGCAGCAGCAACGACAACAACTACAAAAAGGACAGTTAAAAAAGACGGATGAGCTGGGTATACAACATCAAGACCAAGACGAGGGTGACGATGATAACACTACTGGTGATGGATTATTCCTCGTCGATGATGGTGGTGGCATGGAAGATCGACGAGCTAATCTAGCCGAGATTCTGCAATATATTCGATTTCCTTTGATACAACCAACATTTCTTGTCAATGTAGTGGAAACGGATCCGTTTGTGATGGATTTACCTGGTGTTCGAGATTTAGTAAGTATCTATCATTATTCATACTTTATCCCATATTATGGGTAAACATTAACCCTTGAAAAATGTGTAGCTTTTTGAGGCGTACAGGCACCATGCTGTGGGTGATGCAGTAGGGATCCTGGATAATGCATCCTTCAGGTGCAAACCTCGGCATATAAGAAGTGATGAATAAATTCTATTTCCGCTGCTTCTCCTGCTGCCTTTTTCATATTTTTCATATTTCTCTTTTGGGGGAAGCGTGTGTGCGTGTGTGTGTGTATTGTTAGGATGGCCGATTCCAGTAACAAACTAGTTGACACTGACTCGGCAACGCCATTACCTCAATCGTCGGCATCATATGGTTCCATTCCCGTTGCCAAGGACAATGCCGTGCAGAATCCCAACAATGGAGGTGTTCTTGAAGGACAGCAGCAACAACAGCAACGGCGGCGAAGAGAACGGGTACTGAAAAGAAATGGGAGGTGCATATCAGGAGGAGAAACAACTTAGTATAGGGAGTGATTAAACATATATTATATGTATTGTATACATAGGGTGGTATCATCCCATTCCTTGCTGGTGTTATTTGCATCGTCATCGTGATAGGCGCATTTTTCACGTACCTCTTTCTTTACCCAAACAAAGCTCCCAGAAAGCACAGGCAGCCAATGCTCAACAACGGCACGCACGCGTTTAATCCCACCATGATTCTCATATCTCTCGATGGTGTGGTAAACCATGACTTGGATTTGTTTTTGACACCTCATATGACAGAGATCGGTAAATACACATTGATGCATCTCTTTCACTTCATAACAGAGACAAAGAACAACGTTGATAAAGTAGAAGCTCGAGCTAATCATGCATGCGTGTATACACTTTTCAATCATAGCAAACGAGGGCGTACGTGCAAAGTGGATGACGCCATCTTTTCCGGTAATAAATTTTTTTAATTCACAAAACGGACCAGCACTTGGCTGATATGCGTGATGTTTGTTTTGCACATTGAACGTGTGTATAGCCCATCACGTTCCCTAACCATTGGTCCCTGGTCACTGGCCTTTATCCAGAATCGCATGGCATTATCGGAAACATGTTTTACGACCCCGCACTCAACGACTCGTTCAATTACAAGAGCCCTGCTCAAAGTTGGGATGCGAAATGGTGGGGTGGTGAGCCTGTAAGTTTCAACATCACCACCATCCCACTTTTATCACTATATTGTAACAAGATACACTAACGAATATTGGTACGGTGTTCTGATGAATAGATTTGGGTCACAGCTGTCCGCCAAGGCTTGCGATCCGGAGTGATCATGTGGCCAGGTTGTAGCACCATCTTCCAAGACAATCTACAGCCCAGTTTACAGATTCCATTTAACGACGATATGGCCTTTGACGAAAAAGTCGATCGAGCCTTGACATGGCTTGACTTGCCCATCGAAGAACGGCCTCAATCAATCAACATCTATGTCCAACAAATCGACCAAGCCGGTCACCGATACGGACCTTATGCCAATCAAACCTTATATCAATTACACAAAGCCGACCAAAGCATTGGTCGACTCGTGAAGGGGTTGGAAGCACGTAATTTGACCGAGATTGTCAACTTGATGGTCGTCAGCGACCATGGCATGTCTGCAACCGATGCCAAATCACGCACGATTTATTACGACGATGAATTTACCGAGGATGAAATGAGCCGTATTCGAAGCGTCGAAGGTGATCCATTATTACTGATTCGCCCCCACACTAACGATGATGATAGTGTGGATGTGCTCTACAAAGCATTTTTACGATTGAAACAAAAGACCGGTGGCCATTTCCGTGTCTACAGACGTCAAGATATACCCGACCGATTCCATTTCAGAGACAATGTGCGAATTCCGCCGCTGTTGGTGTTGCCAGACAATGAATGGATCATCACGACACGAAACAACCCTTGGATCTCACGTGGTGTGCATGGATATGATAATTTGGATGAGCAGTCGAGAGCTATCTTTGTTGGTCAAGGTCCATTCTTTTGGGAGGACCATGAAAAGGGAACCACGTTAGAACCTTTTTGGAACGTTGAGTTGTACTCCATGTTTACTCGTATATTGGATCTGGAGCCCGCAAGTAATAATGGTACATTGAAGGGATATTTGAAGGCCGAGGAGCTGTAGCAATAATAAACGGTCTCTATGTTATTTTTTTATCTATATATACAAACTATGAGAGGGACAAAATGGTAGTAAATTGGAGCCATAAAACAGAGTTGTATTAAGCGAGTATTACTACTAAAAGGGTATATATATGTTTATAATGTTCTTAGTGTAGATTATTCCAGTTGACATCTTCATCTGCATCATCCCAACCCCAACCATTGCCTTCTTCGGTTTGTGCCATCGATAGAGAAGAGTTCGTTTTCTTCGATGTCGATTCTTTTTCTTTCTCTTGTTGAATATTAACTGGAGCAGGTTGCGCTGTATCCGTTTCTGAAGAAGCTTTGGAAGCCTGTTTGCCATGGACGACGTTATCTAACTGCATCATGGATGGCTGTTGTTCCTCTTGATGTTCTTGCGGAATAGTGAGTGGTTCATTATCGTCGAGTCCCCATCCTTGCTCTTCTTCATCGTTCACGTCATCGAGTTGTAGCATAGACAGCGGTCTTGTCTTTTTCGGAACATCTCTCGACTTTTCGTCGTCGTCTGCTTTTCTTTCATTCTTATGTTCCTTGTTGTCGCTTTCTTGAGGGATTATGAGAGGCTCGTCATCATCGCCCCATCCTCCTTCTTCCTGTTCATCGTTATCGTCTAGCTCCATTGATAAGGAGGTCTTCTTTTTGGTAAGGTCCTTGGGTTGCTCTTGTGGAATAACCATTGGCTCGTCGTCATCATTGAAGCCCCAGCCATCTGCTGCTCCTGCATCGTGATCCATCATGGACAAAGAGCTCGTTGTCCTTGGCTGTTGTTGTTTCTTTTCATCTTCTCTTCTTTCTACGTGTTGTGAAGGGATAATTGGCTCGTCATCCCAACCCCATCCATCACCTCCTTCTTCCCCTTCATTGTTATCCTCCTGCGAAACCATGGCCAGGGAACTTGTCTTGGGGGTCAATGGCTTTTCGTCTTGTGGTTGTTGTTTCTGAGGGGTGAAAGGTGATGCTGACCGATGTTGCTCCACGGATGGCGATGGCGACGATGATGAGGTCGTAGTGGGCGAAAGCATGGATGGCGGCGGTGGACTAGTCGTCTGGATCTCTCGAATCATAGACGCCCGCAAATCCGTATCAGCAAACAGAGCACAGATCAAATGGATCAACTCTTTCTTCTCAAAAGTATACAACTCGCCACGTCGATAATGGTCCATGATATCACGCAAATTCATCTCGAGCATATCCTTCAAGAACCAAAACTTGCGCCAGCTAGGAACACGCTGCATGACTTGAGGTTCTGTTGCCGGTTGTCCTTGACTAGAGTCAAATACGTCGACTAATTGAATCAGACTGTTTAAGCTTTGGGCAATCAAGTGGGAGTCGTCGGCACCAATATCTTGCAAATCTTCAATGTCGCCCATTAAATGTGTGAGGACACTATCCACTACGCGGCTCACCAAGTCAAAATAGACGCGTTCAGAGATTACGGTGCGGAGGGTTACGGCGTAGCTTCGTATTTGGTCGATTACTTGGGCAATAGCTTCGTCACAAGCTTGTTGTTGTTGACGGTTTTCGGCAATCCCAACGAATTTTTTTGTCTTGTCGAGCGCCTTATGGAGGACACGGACCCATTGTGCCATAGCCAGCTCAAACCACGACTCGCCTAAAGTTCGTACATTATCCACAGCGCCTTGTAATTTCTCACTCAAGTCTGTGGTGCCGTCGTTCTGGACAGTAGATACGAGGTCTTTTGTCAACGAGTTGGCCAACCAATAACAATCGTTGCGAAAAACCAGCGCAGATTGTGGACTCGACAAGAACTGTGATCGATGGAATTGAGGCATGATGGCACGATACAAGTCGAGAAGATCATATACGACACCAAGTAATCCGGTGACCGAGACAGGATGTGATCCTTGTTGTCGTAGGTTGTTGGCTTCCTTGACCGTATCAATTAGTAACAATGACAGCAGTTTGGGTGTTTGTGTGATTTGGTATTGTTGTAAAGTGTTGGTTTTCGTGTCCATGTCAACAATGTCTTCGACTTCGTATAGTTGACGTAGCATGACCCGACGACCTTCCAGTAATACTTTGTCGCGTCGTTTGGTCGCGAAATGACTATCCACATTGTCGACGTAGACCGTGATTGAGCTAGGCTCACCGTTATCGTCGCTCAAAAATCCATATTGTTGAATACAGTTGTGCTCCACTTCACGAACAGCATTGGCTACGCTGTCAAAAGTAGCGAGTTGAGCAGCAGAGGAAGGGATAGCGGGCGCAATGGCGTACTGGATCAATTGTTGGAAAATTTCGGGCAGGATCAAGTTACCAAACAGTCGTGTTTTCGTCTTGTCCACGAGTCCATCGAAGCATTGCTCTGAGATGAACTTAAGCATCGTGTCAATGTTGTGAAGCACAGCACAGGCGATATCCGCGTGACTATCCTCTCCATCATTTTGTCCATGTCGTTGCGAGTACAGCGTGTTTCCTTGAATCGAGATATGTGCCGTGCTGCAATAATCGAAAAACGGTGTTACAATATTCTTCATTATGGAGCGCTTGAGATTGGCCATTTCTGCAGATAATATATCGAGCATATCGAAGCATTCGAAAATATCCAACAGCTGTGGATGTTTGCTGGCGGTGCCAGTAGGATAGACGCACATGGTCCGCGTGTTTTCTGGATCCGGTGTCGCAAATACAACTGCTTCTGCCATTTTGTCCTGCAGCGTCGTTACCAGTTTATCTCTGAGCTGTGTGTATTGTTCGCGTAATAATCGTGTAACGGATTCGTTTTCTTTAGAAAGGTGTTCTTCTTCCTTGGACAAGGCATCGTGGATGGTCAAATATTGTCGTGTCACGTCTTGTACTGGCGTTGTTGGTGAACCCAAAAGCTGTTGTTCACAGTCATCCATTTCTTGAACCAGCCTTTGGATCCTTTCCAGCACTTGTATTTCGTTTTGATTTTGCGTCGTACGCCGTATCGTTTCTTGATACTTGTGCAAGACATCCGTGATCTTTTGTTGTTGCTCATGGTTGTTGGCAATAATACTGCTACCACCACCCAAGTTTTGGCATTGGTCCAAAATACCATCCAATCGTTCATGAACTTGATGACATCCCGTGTACAGTGAAACAAAGCTGTCCAAATTGTCACGGACGGTTTCAAACACTTGTTGTTGTAAAATATGCGTATGGTCTTCTAATCCGTTCAAAGTGGACACCAGGGCGCGGTTGTCAATGTGTTGGTTTTGGAGGAGTGCGTCGCGGTCGGCATTGTCGTTGAAAATGGCCGTAATAAAATCTTGTTGGATCCGGCTATTGTTATTTGCTGAAGTTTCCGTTGACATTTTAAGTGTCTCCCTTTTTCGTGATTTAATCGATTGGTGGTGTACAGTTGAGGAGACAGGAAGAACAGAGCACCGCGTCCTCCAGCGGGAAATATCATAGGCAGAGGCATTGTGGTTCGTCGGATATTGGACCCCGTCCCACAGTATACATAATAGCGCGGATCATGCCATCATCAACCGGGCCTTTCCTCCAGCGTATCTCAAATAAAGTTTGCTACTAACTTAATCTTCTTTTAGAAAAGAAATACATTTGCGGCACTTCTTCAGAAACTTGAAGTATGTCAATTGAAGCACTACATCTATTTCAATGCGACCTCTTACGATAATGGTTGTCTCTATATAAAGGATGTTGAAATGAGGATGTCTTTAAACCTCTCCTTCTTTTTTTTAGTGGCCGTAGATGTGAAAATCGAGATGGGCAAGATGTAAAATTGCCATGCTAGGAAAGAGCACAACATGTGTATGCAGTATCCATATTGTTGTGTGTTATGTGGGGTGTTTGTATGTGTGCACCCATCAAGTGCAGCAGCAGACATGCACCAAAGATGGGCGTAGAAACGGACGACGGTGTACGCTTTAATAGACGGACCATTATCATGACCGTGGCATCTAGGGCACAAAACGCATTGTATGATTTTATAGTATACGGGATCATCATAGCAGCGAATGTTGCTAGCAGAAGGAGTTAAAGTGCTAGGAAGCATAACAACCGTTGTTGTTACGTAGCAACGGAAATGACAGAGTAGCAACCATGCCACCATGTTGGTAGGGGAAACAATAATGTTTTTTGGGGACGACACACAAGCACTGCTGTTAGTGTTAGTAACACGCGTGTTGGGTTGCGGCATCGAAAACGGCAAACTGTAAACATCATCCGGATTTTAAGAGTATTAAGGCAGTGCTAACTGTGGTGCATGGTTTTGGGATAAGGAATCACACACCCCTTTCTCCTCTTTTTTTTATATATTATATCCCTCTTTACTGCTCTGTCTAACTTTCACACGATTCACTCCTCATTGTCCCTTATATTCTTTCTTTTTCTTTTCTTCCAACTCTAATACTTATTAAACGGTTCTTTTTTGACCTTCTATTACCACTATCACTACTACTATTTTTTTTGTCTGTTATTATGAAACAATGAAGTCTTGTCTTTCATTCGACTTTCTCACGCCCAATCTCGATCAACAACATACAGCACGACTTTGGATACAAGCCGTCCTGCAAGTCCAGTTACCCGATTCCGACGATTTATATACAAGTCTTAGAGATGGTGTATTTTTGTGCAAGTTAGTGCTCGACTACGCCCCTTCTTTTTTGTTTTTTTTTTGCTCTACTAAAAAGAGAGTGTGTGTGCGAGGTCATCGTTTGGATTAAACGAATGGAGTTGTTGTTGGAAGGAACAGGGTGGAACAATATCATTTTGACACGGATTTCCGCGCGGGTGGGTTTGGTTTGGTTTCGGGGTGATACACACAAACGCCCGGAAAATAGGCGAATAACTCATCGACCAAACAAACTTTTTTTGCTTTTGCATGAATTTCCTTTATCATGTATGTAGGTTAATAAATAATTTAATACCAAACTCGGTACCATATATATTTTTTGAAAATAACATTGATGCCTGGGTAAATAAGAATTGCGGTCCTCATTAGAAGAAGACGAAACAATGAATGTGACGTATTGCATGGTATATTGATGCACATCTATCCAATAGACCAAAAATATACAACAATTCCTCACTGCGGCAGAACAGGTTAGTAGGCAAAAGAATAATACTAACAATAATAACTATATGCTATTGATGGTGGAAGGAATCTAACAGGGGGAGGATCCCTTTGGTCCCTTCTTTTTACTATGTATATTGAGCAGATTGGAGGACTTGACGCATTTCAGCTGTTCGATACGGTTGACCTGCTATACGGATATGACATGATTGCTGTAAGATTTTCCTCTATGTGAGAGAAAGATAGTAAGAGGGACGAGGGAGAGAACTAGACATACTAATAACAGTTCTGAATGCTGAACAGGTAGCAAGGACATTGTCATTTTTGCATGATCGAGTGAGCAATAGTCAGCGATTTAATAAGATCCAGCAACAGCAACAACGACTAAGCATGAGCCATTGGCATAGCCAACAATATCAGTATCACCGACAGAACAATAACGACATGCGAATATTGAAGCGTAGATACACCGTTCCATTCGGCCAAAAACAACAACAGCAGCAGCCAAGATGTTTGGCAGCCGATAGTGACAACAGGAGCCATTTAGGAGTCATCCATGTTGATAAAAGTGATGATAATAATAATGAGGAGCAGGAGCAAGAGGAGGTGCCAGAAGCAGGGTTATCAAGAGAAAAAATTAAGGAGCAAGAACAGCAACGAAAATCATGGTCAAGAACAGCTACCGAAAAACAAGTCGTTGCTACTACATGGGGAGAAGAGGACGAGGAGAAAAATGATGTTGACGACGAACACCAGCAACAGCAACAACCTATTATTATACCCGACACTCCGTCTTGCTCGGATCGACATTCTCCCGCAGTCGACAGCACATCTTCAGGCGACAGTGGGTACGGAACAACAACGACAATAACAAATACGGCGATTACAGCCAAGAAAAGAAATAGCACCAGTGTACGAGGCGCAATTCATCTGACCTCCTTGTTCAACCCTCCACCGAGCCCGCCTTTCCAGGAGGTAGAGGAGGACGGGATTGATGATGAAGAGGATTATGATTTATCTTCTATCAGAATGCCTATGGGACGAACAAGCACAGTAGGTCGACATGAACGATTATCAACGATTGACCTTTACGGCAACAATGACGACGACGACGAGCAAATGGATGGCAATAACAGAAACAGCACAATTCTTACTGCTATTACTACTGGTAGTAGTAGTAAAAAATCCGCAACATCACGGTTGGCTCGACTATCATCCAACTTGTCGTTCAGAAGAAAACTGCCTATTCGGCAAAAGATCCCATTTCATATGAGATATCAGGAGTGGACGGACTCGAAATTAAGGAAAGAGCAAGCACCAAAAAGGAGACCTTCATTGAGTTCTAAGAAAAGCAATAGCTCTCTTACCGATACTACTACTACGACCCCTCCATCTCATCAACAAGCCCCGAATCATCCTACCGCCAGCATTAGCACCGCCAGTAGCAGTACTACTGCTTGTAGCAGCATCACTACTACCTCATCATCCATTATCAGCAATAGATCATCATTGCAACAACAACAATATCCGAGGATGATAGAATCATCTGCGTCGTCACCTCTGTATAACGATCACTTTACCAACAGTATGACCCGAGAACAAGAAATGATCCGAAAACGACGGGTTAGCAAAATGAAGAAATTGTCTGTCGATTCCTGGGGGGATCCTTCGCGATCACGTGAAACGTTGGCTGCTGCAGTACCTCGTCGTAAATCGACAGGAACGTTCGAAGTCACAGAAAATGATACGAACGATAGTGGAGAACGGCTCGAAATGCGACAATCGGATGGATCTATTGTTGCTCGCTATGTAAGTTGTATTCTCCAAAACGTTCTTTTCCAACAGCTTTGCTCAACAACACGACAAAAAAATCATTTAGAAACTTGGTAATACAATCGGTAAAGGCCAGTTCGGCACGGTCCATCGGTAAAGTGCTGTTTTTATTGTTTCTCATCCCCCAATACATTACTATCAGAATCTACTGTGTCATTATCAATCTCAGTAAGGCATTTCGATATTCTAACATTATATGTATAGTGCACTTAATTTGAATACTGGGCAAATGGTGGCCATCAAACGAATCAAGCTGGATCCAAGCAAAATTGATGACATGGATGAAGTGATGGTAAAACGTCTTCTCTTTCTCTTTAAAAATTAAAAAAAAAACGACTTACACAAGAGCATAATATAGCAAGAAGCACAAATTCTACGCACTCTGTCGCACGCCAACATTGTGAAATACGAAGGTTTTATACAAACCTCGGAATGTATGAATATCGTCTTAGAATTTGTCGAGAATGGATCGTTGGCGAGCACCCTGAAAGCATTTGGCAGTTTCCCCGAGAATTTAGTGGCAAGCTACTGTTTACGCATACTGAAAGGATTGGCTTATCTGCATCAAGAACGTGTCGTCCATTGTGATCTCAAGGCTGCAAATATCTTAACTACCAAAAACGGAGATGTCAAATTATCTGATTTTGGCGTCTCGGTGAACCTAAAGTTAAAGGAGTCATTAACTGGATCTGTTGCTGGCACACCTAATTGGAGTACGTCTACTTTTTTAACTTTTAGTATTACTATTAGCTACCTTTTCTCTCCGCTTTTCTTTTTATGATTGGAGTAGCAATCGGCTTGGAGGAGGGAAATATGGTGTTCGGAGAAAAAGACAAAAAGTGATTGACTTTTATACGTGTTACAATTAATAGTGGCTCCGGAAGTGATAGAGTTGCAAGGCGCCTCAACCAAATCCGATATATGGTATGTTAAACGTGTAAGAAGAAACAAAGTTCTGGGATCAGGGAAGGGGGAAGAGTCTACCCTAACAAATCAATATATCCTTTTTTTAAGGTCACTCGGATGCACTGTGATTGAACTCTATACCGGAAAGCCGCCATACGCGGATTTGATCCCAATGACAACGCTGTTTAGAATTGTCGAGGACGACTGTCCACCACTACCTGAAAATGGTCCTGATGTAAGTTTCTATGAATGTCTAGGCGACGTTAATTCTTGAGAGAAAGAGCTAGAAATGAAAAGGGAACTTCTTTCGCCGCCTTATGTTTAGATAACGCTCACGTATAGATGAACTCGTTTTTTTTAAAAACAGGATTTGAAGGATTTCCTACGACTATGCTTCCGCAAAGTGCCAAAGGAAAGACCCACAGCTGTCGAGTTGCTCGACCATCCATGGATTCTGCGCCACAATCACGATCATCAACCTTCCAACAACGAAGAGAGCAACTGTAATAATCTTACTGTTACTGAGGGGCCAGGACCTCATCGTCGACAGGCTGAACAGCAAGAAGCTGTTGAGAGTAGACCGCTATCTTCCTTGTATCCTCGGGACTTCCAATACAGCGCAGAAAATGTAGAGCATAGACGGACAGCAAGTGGTCACCAATTGTCACAACATCCACCGAGTATATTGGTGAATAAGCTGCAGGAGCGTCAAGAAAAAGGGCGGAAAAGTCCACCCATTGTCCGGGAGCATTGCTTCATAAAAGGATCTTTTCCAAAAGGTATATAAGAGAGAGAAGGGAGAGGGGTTAATAATAACGGAAATGAGCATAATGACTAAGTTCTCGAACGGATAGGTGCGATCCGATGTAAAGCATGTCAACTAGCTATTCGTCGCAATGCACTCGTTTGTGAAGGTATGTTATGAGATTAGTAGATAATTAAAACAGATAAGCACCGGAGTTTATGCGTAATCTCGTGCCACTTTTTTCTGTTGCGATACTGATAACTAGTGTAATTCTTCATCTTCAATATAGATTGTGGATTTATCTGTCATGATAAATGTAAGCCGGTAGCAGGTTCGTGTCGATCCATTCTGACAGTAAGTAGCATCAGAATCTCTTTTTTTTCGTATAATAACAGATAATCAAATACAGCTTAAACTGGTGGGAATGTGTTGTATGATAAATAACCCGCTAACGGTAAGGTAATGGAACAACAGGACAATGCATCGATACGTTCGGGATCGGAATCCAGCTGTTCATCCTCTAATATTGCTCATGAACAACCTTCCAAAAGCCCACGACCTACTTCCTCCATGTCTTCTCAATTACGCGAACGGACACGCAAATTATCCAAAGTCCTTGCGAGTCATCGACGGCCACACAGTACCCGATCGCATGACACATTAAGATTTATCCGAGAAGACGAAGTGCTACCTAATAACAACGGTAACAGCAATGATGGCAATGATGGCACTGCTAGTAGCAATAGTAGTACCATCAGTAGTAGTGGTGGTACAAAAGCCAACAAGAATGATCCAAAGAAAAGGATGACAGCGACAGAATTCGATCAAGGCACGATGATTCGAAACAGTACTTCAGCTAGTTATGCAGAATCCCCAAAATTGAAAGGAAGAAGAGTACCTAGGCGTTCATCGAGTCCTTCTGAAGATTGTGTTATCTCTTAAAAAAAACACCCCACCTCCACAATCTTTTTTTGTACATTTTGTTCTTTTCTTCGTTCTTCTTTCTTTTCGCAAAGCAAATATTACAAAGCCCAAAGTCCGTACTAAGAAGCCAAAGAGCCGACTAATTGCATTAATACAAAAGGAAGTAACAATAATAAGGGAGTGTAGTAGTAGTAGAGCTTTTATAATTTGCTTTTGCTGGAAGACGGCCAAGTCTGTTGCTGTTGCTGTTGCTGTTGCTGCTGTTGCTGACGGTGGTATCCATAATATATCGGGCTTTGTTTGGATGCGTCAAATGGTGGTTGACCGACTTGTGCAGGAGGTGGGACTTGTTGTGGTTGCTGTGCGGGTATCATGGCGTGTTGAGGAGAAGGAGGAACAGGAGGGAAATAACGATTAAAGGAATGGGGCGAAAATGCTGGATGCATTATGGCTGGATCAACATTATTATAGCCTGGTCGAATTGGCCGATTGGCGAGTTTGGGATTCGTCTGTGAAAGATGAGGAAACATCCAAGATTTATGCAAAAAAGAAAAGAATTGAAAGAGTTTGAGAAAAAGATACGATACACGCACTTATTACCAAATGCGTTTCGTTTCATTTGATGTTCTTACTCAGCGGAATTTTATTCATCAAGAAAAATTCCATTGAAGAGTATGCACGAAAAGAAACGAGAAACAAACGTTAGACAGCTACCATATCAGAGTTGTCAAAAAAGATACACAGATCCACAATATTAAGTTTTGTGTGTTCACTGCTGATTCATTCTTCGTCGTCAATTTATACATTACCAACCCTGCCATTATGGGAGCCCAAGATGTCGCGACTTTAATACAACAAAAGCATGCGTCTTGGGAATATATTGCGCGAATGATTGGCGACCGCCACACACCTTCAGCCTGCAAGGCACGATATCGTCAATACAAGGTAAGTATTATATTGGAAAAACAGAAAGAGCTATTTCGGAATCGTGTATTATAACTTTATCATTGTATATTGAATTTTGCTGTCCACTATACTTATCGAGGTGCCAACAAGGGAGACCAGCTTCCCCCCACGTTCTGAATTTTTTTAAGCTAAGATCTTTCTCTCATCCGATTCTGACACACGGCGAGCATTTTACTACAGAAGATTAAAAGATGACGCATTAAGGTGAGTTAATCAAAAGGATTTAAATTGAAAAAAGGAAGGCATGTTTATTTTGCAAGAGAAGAAAAAGAAGAGGAAATGGTGGAAAGAAAGTGCGGCAAGAGGGAAAGAAGTTCACCGTTTAACACTTCACGATTTTGTCCAACTCACACAGGATTGTTGCAGCAAATTAGGGTCCAACACTGATTTCGAGCGTGTATATTACGTAGAAGTCCTGGAGAAATGGTTATTTTTCTTTAAAAGTAATGACGATTTTTAGGAAAGAAACGTTTCGCTTTTTTATGTCTGATTCGTCGCGCATGCTTGGTCTTCACTTATAAATTAACTTGGCCGATTTTGACACAGATGACACCACAAGCAAGCTTAAAAGCTTTGGCTTCTGAGAATGTGGGGTAAGCTGGTCTCCCTTGCTGGCACCTCCATAAGTATATTGGGACTCCACTACCACTTGCCAGTCACCGCATTGGATTGATGCCGGTCGACCTTGAGGCCTTGTATTACACCTACGCGAAGTGGACGAGCGAGATCCTGCACTAGTGTCAGACAACATTGTGGTAATGATATGCTTTTTTACTCTCCCTGTGTTTCCATTTGTTAAAAGTTGTTATTTGTTTATTTATTGGCTTGTTTCCATCGATGTAACATCTAGGACCAAACAACGTTCCTGGTCGTGGGCGTTGCTTGGCATATAATGTTTTCAGACAGCAAGATCCTGAGCTGCTTGAAGGCTTCTGGGAGTCGTTATTCAATATCGGTCACGTAGAGCCGCGACGTTGCCGATACGCAGTCGAAGGTAGATTCCGTATACATTTTAAATAATCACAAAGTGGTATCTTTGATAGTTATATACAAACTCATTATCTCATATATATTCATATAATATGGTGTGCCCAGGTCAAGGTGTTATTCCACCAGAAGACCGCGAGCTCAAACTCTTCAATCAAACTTTTTAAACGGATGGTGTCGCTACAGTATCGTGTTCCATTTTCGCAGGCCTGTGACAACGCGGCGTGGAGGTTGGTAGTACCCTCATAGCATGCACTATTAAAATTATGTATTTAGTCATGGCGACGTCTCATAAATCTGATGTTTCTAGAGTATATGCCTTCCAGCTCCAAACAAGTTAAACGCTTTCCTCGTGAAATTGACGTCACACAGTGGAGAAGAGGAAAGTATCATCTTTCCAAAGAGCCAGATGGTCTTGCTGCAGAGCGGCTTCACAATTCTCAAACAGTGTTCATAGACCCAGGTATACATCTAATCGGTTAAATTTTATTTTCAAAATATGTAACGTTATCTAAATAGATATTTTGTATGGATTATTTTAGGCATCCGGTCTCTGGTCACTGCTGTAGACACTCTTGAACCGCTCGACACACCTGAAGCAAGAACGGAGCACGTATATCAGCTAAATAACAAAACATACCAGTAAGTACTGCGTGCAGTATATTTACTTTTAGCGTGTATGAGCGTGCGTCCGCGCTTTGTGCATCTGATGCTAACATGCTTCATATTGTACTTAACCCTCTTTTAGGTTTCAATCCATGTTCAAGTGGGCGCTCCAGAAGGAGAACAAAAATCGAGCACGCTATGCTCATGTCGAACGACAGGCTCATCCGGATCAGGATATCCTGGAGATACAAGAGGTGTATGATATGATGAGAGAACATCCGGCCTCAATGCCTTCCTCGGAAGGTTTCCAAAACTATATCAGAATGTTGAGTGGCGTGCACAGACAGTAAGTTACCCAGCCATGTCGATATATACTGGAACACCGTGATCATCATTTTGGTATGAGTATTCACTCTAATTTTTTTTAAAAAAAAAATAGCGTCCATGAACAATTTAACAAACATTTCTTTCATCGGGAAACGTTACTCACTCTTTTTTCTGCGCGCAAAAGTGCATTGAAAAATCTTGCCAACAGATTGATAGGGTTGGATCACCGTGACGACGTAAGTGTCTTTCTGTATTATCCCTTTTTAATTCTTCAATGAGTACTTTCTTGAAAAGTCGCAAAAGCTAATATGGTTGCTTCAAGGTACCTCTCCCCTTCTTCTATAAGGCCTCCAAAAACGAACGCAAAGCTCACCGCCGCCAGTTTCGCCGACCGCGCCGCGCACATGCAGGATTCAGAGTGGAAGACAATTGTATTGTAGCATATGGTGATGGAAGGTTTAAGCCCTCCTACAGTCAATCCCCGTCAACGTCAACCCCGATAACGTCAACCCCGATTGCGTCAACCGATCCACTGGTACCCTTTGAAATCTAGCAATTAAAAATTTTGCCTATTCTCTACCCTCGTGGTCGTCAACTCTCGATATGGTCAACACTTTTGCTGGTACCCTGAGCGTTGACGTTAACGGGGGTCGGCTGTACAAAGGATTTGAACCTATCCCTGTTGAGGTAAAAAGAAAAATTATCTGGCAGACGTGGTGGAACGTTATTCAGTGATGAACGGAGCGAGTGTCTTGCTGTGAACTGACGCTTATATTAAAAACTACTTTGTAGGCATTCCGGGCGGTTCTACCAAGACGTGTACTGGTCATGCCCATCTATGAGTATCGAACCAGTACTGTGTAGTGCTTGCGATGCGAACGCGCGTCAATTTCGAGACCGTCCAGGAAGTGTTCAAGTGTGCCGCGAGCACACAAAGCGGAAAATTCCCCGGATCCGCGAACGTGCTGAAGACGGTGGGTGCAGGAACAATGCCCGACGGCAGCTCTGGTGTGTGGATGACGACGATTATAACCTTTGGCCAACCTCGACTTGCAACAACCTTCACAACACACGTTCACAATATAGGCTCTGTTCCTTTCTATCATGTATACAAAAAGTCTTTGAAACAGTGAGAGAGTTTCAATAGCTAACATCATGGTAATAATATACCAAAGCTTATTTTCAGCTGGTTTTCTATTATCCGTATATCCATTGAAGTTCTGCGATCATTGTCCTGTAGCTACTGTAAACAGCTAGTATTTTGATATTTTATTACATCAGTGTCTTAATAATGCATACGACTTACGCATAAGCTCACATTATGTATCTAGATGTGGAACCGTCATAATAATGCTGCGCGAAACATTGGTCGCATCTTTATTTATACGTAGAAACTGGTAATTTGAGATCACGACCGCCGCCGATGCGTCGTCCCGCCGGAGAAGATGTGTTAGATGATGCCCACGACGACGAGTTTGAAGATGAGGAGGAGTAGGGAAACGAAGAAGAAGAGCAGGAAGAGCAGGCCTTGGCGCCTGTCATGGAGTGAGTGGAGGGCCACTCCAACGAGATACAAATTGGGGGGGAGGTAAATATCTTATTCCATACTCGTTTCTTTACTTTTATAGTAGCTGTCTAACTTCTGTTTCTCGTCTCTTTTCATGCATACTCTTCAATACACTTCTTTCCTTCTTTCTGTTGGGATTTTTCTTAATGAACAAAAGACCCCAGCGGAGTTGTGTTTTTCCGGATCAAGTGCACATGATCTGAGCGCAGCACTTATTGCGGCACTTTAAATTTTAATGCATCGCGTTATCAGAATTTGTCAGCTTACTTCTGTTTTATTTTTCTTACATGTCTTTAATTTTACTGCTCTAATTGAAGTAACATATCTATGATAGACATCGGAAAATCCATAATCTCATCAACCAATCGGGAAGTAACAACGGCTTCACAATGTATAATGCTGTAGCAAACTGCCGTAAACAGGATATTTTTGATACGTGTCCAGCGAAAAAAGGGGTGCTGGTGCTGTAGCAGGAAAAGAAAGAGAGCTCGGAATCCAGAGCTGACAGGTTGGAGCATTGCAAGGGAGTAAAACAAAAATAGTGGTGGTCGTACACCATGATGCTGTTCAGCCGCAAGAGTCCACGATGCACTCGAAGACGTTGATGCAACTACTAATGCGATCACGTAGACCAAGATTTTGAGAGGAGGAACAAGAGGCACAAGAAGCATCTCGAATACTATGTATATAATAAAATCAATCATTTAAACATTTTAATTTACGTACGATGATACCTAGCACTGTAACAATGGCAAAGGATGCACCGAAAGCAAAGTGCTTTATTCTTACTTGTATCCACGAAAGCATCTTGCTTTTTCGTGTAACCAATCGTGACATCAAACAGGGCCTGTTGTAGCACAGCTGCATTTGTCCAAAACACGATCATGATGGCGAGCCAGGTCAACGCTGTTTTGAGTTGGAACAGCTCGGTGTCGTATGGGACTGGTAATCGACGGCCGCATAAGGATTTGAGAAGAATGTACATCCTAAGACCGTCGTGGAAAAAAGAAGCAAGTACTGGTGGAAGCCAAATACAATAATTGTAAGATGACAGAGGGTTGTTGCACTTTGGGTATAATAGCATGGCCGCATATGCTATGAGTCGCAATGGCGCCAGTACCATACTAAGCATATCAAGGATGTTGTGATGCGGAAAGTAAACAATGCAAAGGAATATAACAAAAGGCGGTGCCAAATACATGTTTTTCTGTTTGTTTAGATGTTGCAATGCCTAAGTGAAAAAATAAGGGAAAGGAAGAAGAATTTGGTAGTTTGGCAAGCTGATTCGCGGTAGAATATTATTAGAGTGCAGTCGTGTAACCCGATTACAAGTTTGCTCAGCATGTTCTACGTTTGCCGAAAAAACCCGCTATGAGTCAGAAATGCAAATCGTAACGTCCTCACCGTTCAGCGACGCGACATACTAACTTGATCGTCTACATACACCAACCAAGAACAACACCGACGGTGCATGCCTTCGCAAACCACACACAGCGGGTCTAAAAACCAGCCGAAGCCAATTTTCTCCTTTGCATAGGCTGCTTGTAGTGATGAGGCCAACATCGCTATGACAGATTTCTTCTCGTCAGCCAACAACAGTTTCTTCGTTGTAACTACTGCCGTCACCACTAGTTGAAATATTCTCAATGTAGTCATCGCTTGCATTCACGACCCTAATCCAAAGGTGTTGACTTGCACTATAAAAACAAATGGGTTTTTGTCGAGATCATCCCAGCCAACGACAACCAACGCACTCAACTACTTAGCGATGGAACTCCAGTCAATGATACGACCATCAACAGTACGCCAACCTTTAAAAAAGGCTATCCTTTGAAGGCAATCGATCTCTACAACCTTTCCCATGCGTCGGATCCCTCCATCAGCACCTCTAATCAATCTCTGCTTCGTCCTTTTGGCACAATTTGAGTATCAGCCTCTCTCTTACAGCCATACAGGTACTGTTCGAGGGGCAAGGCGTCGCGTACCTGGATCTTGCCCATTCAATAATCACTGTCTCATGCTCCCCGTTTACCATCATTGGAAACTGACTAACTGCTCCTTGACTTTTCTCTCGACGAACTTCGTTATGGGTTCAGTCGCGTGTTCAGCTCGAGCAGCCCTGGCCCTTATAGTTTACCGTATCCTGTTTCATGTCTTCTTCTTCGCCACCAAGCCGCAGCAGCTATTGCTCTTTAAGTCTACAACGATGCCTTGCACCACGGTATATCCCCGCCTTCGTGGACCCAAACCTGCCTATGCCTTTTGCCTAAAAGTAGCGATTTATCATCTCTCAAGAACTGGCGCCCGATTTCTCTAATCAATGCTGACGCCAAGGTCTTTACCACATTGGTCAATGCTCGGCTCTGGACCTGCGTTCCTCCTCTCATCACTGGTCACCAGACTAGCTTTCAACCCAACAAATTTATTGCTGATAACGGCTTCATGGCTCGCTTGATTATGGCGTATGCACGCGACCATCGAATCCCAGGAGTTGGCTTGTTGCTCAACCAAGAAAAGGCTCACGATCGCATCCATCCGTCAGATCTACGTTAGGTTTTATTACACGCTAATTCACCGTGGTTACTTGTTCTTTCCACTCGTTCTCTTTTCTTTAGCACTGAAATCTCGGTTATATTGTTAATGGTTATTTGAGTCAGCCCATCTCCCAAGGCCATGGCCTTCGCCAGGGTAACCCGATCTCTCCCCTTCTCTTCAATTTGGCTTTTGAACCATTGTTGCATTCCATTTTGGATGATTCTCATTTGTCTGGCTTCCGTTTTGGTTCGCCTAGTGCTCCATTGGCCTATACTTCTCCGGCTCCGGTGAAATTGTTAGCGGATTCCGTTGATGTGCTCGTCTTCCTGTCATCACTATCATATCAGAAATATACGTTCTCCAAGTTCACCTATCGAGACACTCGCAAGCATCTAACGCCCGAGTCAAGCATCACAAGGCTCAAGCTATTCTTTATCTGGTCAGCCTCTTCCGAAACGGCAAAGCGCACTCTCAGCGGTTCAGGTCGTAGCTTGGCACGAACGGTATTCCACCAATGCTGTCAAGTACCTATGTTATTCTTTGAATTCTGCAATAAATCAGTTAGACCGTTTCCTTGACAATTTCCCCCACAAAGTCATCGATGATGTCTCGCTGCATCAGCAACTAAACCTTTCCGTCCTGGGACAAGTGACAGCTCTAAATACTTTGTTGTTATCTAAAGTATGGCCTGTGTTAAGAGCCGTGCCTACCACTAAAAAGTCTCTTTCTTCTCTTAAAACCATTAGTGTATCGTCCATAATGCATCATATTGTTCTCTTGTACGCTATGACTATTTGACCCTCCCCAAATCTCTGGATGGTCTTGGTTTGCTAGACCCGGGTAAATAACAGCAAGCTCTACGGTTACGATGGCTTTCGGGATTTTGGAACACTTCTCCTACCCTTTCTTCCTAATTATACTCAACTGTTTCGTATGTTTCTTGTTCCTTATCCGGATTTACTGACCCTTTATTCCCCATTATATTCCCTGAATGTCGTTCTTCTGCCTTGAAGACAAGTTGGGTGCTTTCAAATCAGGGTTCTTCGCCATTGATTCCATTGATCTTGCTTCTACTTCTTCTATTCGTACTTGTCTCTTTCTACCACTTATTTTCGCATATTAAGACACTTCTCCTTTGTCTTTTACACCAATGTCACCTCTTCTCCCTCTTTCGGTATCTGATGCTCTCATCTTTGATCCAACCCTGGAATTATCTTCGCCGCTGTGTTACTTCAGTAATGACTATGGCGCACAATTTAATTTCGCACTTTTTCCTGGCGCTCGATTCTGGCGTTGCTCTGATCACTTTGTTTCTGGCTCTCCTCCTAGCTCCTGAACCAGACCGCAAACCTTGAGATCGGCCATGTCGACCTTTCGCCTTTTGCTGAACGCTACTGGTTGTATGGTCATGGTATGGTCCAGTGCACCACCAAAGATTTTCGTCGTCATCATCAAGACATTGCCGTCACACGCCTCCCATCTAATTTCCCTCGGCTTCGTCGCGTTTTATGGCGCCTCTTTTGGACAGCGCCCATCCAGCCGCACGCCCAGACAATCTGGCGGCGCGCCATTCTCAACCGTTTGTCATGTCGTAGTGAGCTTGATCGTCGCATGTCCGACCGGTTCCCCTCCTCACAGTGTCCACTTTGCGCGGCTACTGCTGATGATCGCTACCACTTCCTGGTTTCCTGCCCGCGCAAATGGATTGCTTGGGACATGGTATGCACTCGTCTTGGTTTGGACTGTCCATTGCCCGACACCATCATTTCAGCACTTTTCGGGTTGCAACTCCCAGGATGGTCTCTCCGCGTTCGCCTCAGCACAACTCAAGTCTTTTCCTCTATCCTCATGTCCATCTAGCGTTGGCGCTATATATTCGATTATGTTCCTTTCATCAATGAATCACTAGCCGATTTTGCCGAGACTGTCATCATCAGGATTACCAAAGAGGCTTTGTCCCATATACTACCAACACTTTCAGACCCCCTTTATACCACTTCCATTTTCTTCTCTTAGTAGATACTTCCCTCTCTTCATTTGATCATATTGTTTTCTTTCTTTTCTTTCTTGTCTCGCCTTCATAATCCCTTTTCTGCTCATTTCCTGATTCCTAGCTGTCATCTTGCTGTTGCCGTTCAAGCCTTTCGAGAACCGCCGTCAATCTCATCGATCATCGGTTGCCGGAGCACTTATTGGCGGCACATTTTTTCAAATATTATGCATCGCATTAGTAGACCTTGTCAGTTTACTTTTGTTTTACTTTGTTATATGTTTTTAATTCTGCTACTCTGTTTGAAGTGCCATATCTATGATAGACATCGGAAAATCGGTAATTTCACCAACTAAACAGGAAGTAACAACGGCTTCACAATGTATAATGCTGTAGCAAACTGCCGTAAACAAGATATTTTTGATAGGTGTCCAGCGAATTAAGTCGTGCTGGTGTTCTAGTAGGAGAAGAAAGAGAGCGCGAAATCCAGAGCTGACAGGTTGGAGCATTGCAAGAGAACATAACATGAGAAGTGGTGGTCCTACATCTTGCTGTTCAGCCACAAGAGTCCACGATGCACTCGAAGACGTTGATGACACTACCGATTCGATCACGTAAAAGAAGATTTTAAGAGGAGGAAAGAAAGGCATAAGAAGCATCATGAATACTATGTACATGACAAAACAATTCATGCAAACATTATTAGTTTTAACTATGCGATAATACCTATCACTGCATGAATAAAGTTCTTCGTTTCAACAATGATGAAGAGCGCACCGAAAGCAAAGTGCTTTATTCTTACTTGTATCCACGAAATTATCTTGCTCTTTCGTGTAACCAATCGTGACATCGAACAGGGCCTGTTGTAGCACAGCTGCATTTTTCCAATACACGATCATGATGGCGAGCCAGGTCAACGCTGTTTTTAGTTGGAACAGCTCGGTGTCGTATGGGACTGGTAATGGACGGCCACTTGGGGATTTGAAAAGAATGTACATCCTAACTCCGTCGTGAAAAAAAGAAGCAAGTACTGGCGGAAGCCATATACAACAATTGTAAGATAATAGAGGGTTGTTGCACCTTGGGTATAATAGCATGGCCGCATATGCTATGAGTCGCAATGGCGCCAGTACCATACTGAGCATATCGAGAATGTTGTGACGCGGAAAGTAAACAATGCAAAGGAATATAACAAAAAGCGGTACCAAATACATGTTTTTCTGTTTGTTTAGATGCTGCAATGCCTAAGTGAAAAAATAAGGAAAAGGAAGAAGAGATTGGTAGCTTGGCAAGATGACTCGCGGTAGAATATCGTTAAAGTCCAGTCGTGTAACCCGATTACAAGTTTTGCTCAGCATGTTCTATGTTTGCCTATTTGCTGAAGCTGAGTTTCATAATTAATAAGGCCAATATGGTACTCATGCTGAAAAGATATCACAATTGACACTCATCTGGATTTATTATGGTTGCTCTAGAAGTTAGCTTTGTAACCTCTTAAGACGCAAAGGGAAGTATTGGTATTTACAAGTACCAACATGGATAAAACTCCGAAAAAATAGGTTGATTTCTACAATGGACGTGGGCGAAGGAACGATATACCGCATTGAGAAGCTTATACAAGATCGAATACACACAGTTCTCCAGTCTTTTATTCTCGCAATGGTGCATGATACAGGCAAGCTGGAATCTTGTTCATTTGCTTTGCTCTACAGGTCACAGGCAGTGGAAAATTCGATATTTTTCAAGCTCTCGATTGCAGTCGCTTATACACTGTCAACTGTATCATGTTTTATCTCAACTCAAGATAGCAGAAACAGATTGCTCCAATTTCCTACTTTGGTCAATCTTAACGAGGTATACAGTTTGCTCACAGTGGCAGATCTCGTTTTGTCAACAACACAACGCGATTTCCATCAAGGGCGACATGCATATGCCGCAGGCCATTATAACCAAGCACCGGCACAACGACAAGAAAACAGTATCTCTTCTGTGGCTACTGTTTTTGGCAAAGAACGCCACTTCTTTATCAATTCCAGTAGTCTCTATATAACTTTTATCCCTTTTTTTACAATTTAAGAGAGAAAATCTCTTTTGGTGTTGGTTGCCCACGGACATCAAAGGAGTATACATCTTTCGGATTTTACTTAACGGAGCAAAAAAAGATACATATTACAGTATCGGCGAGGAAAAAGTATACGTTATCTTCTCTGTGACCCAATTTACTAGTCACGCGATTGGTATATTTGAGCGTTATTCAGCTATTGCTTAGAAGAGGGGATTATTACAAAGCAATCGATTCAGGCGAATACAAAACCATAGATACCTTTTTCTTATTACATCGTACTTCAAAAACATTAATAAGTAATAATATGGAATACATTTTTTACTGATGTCGTACATAACCTGTCGTTGCTCCTCATACTGGTGGGAGGACCAGCAGTGTTATATAGTATACAGCACTGCAGGATACTATGATACTTCCACGCACTAAGCGATGGTGAAATACTTGATCTCCTGCAACCCGAGTAGCGTACATATTAAGCTGTTGAAAACAAGCAGCTTTTTTGTGAATGCACGTGCTAAAATACGTGTTACCATATTGCAAAGCAGAAGCGATATCGCTGTGGATCAAGCACTCATTGAGAAAGGGAAAGCGACAGATCGGCGGATGATATCCTTCTACGAAAATAAGACGAAAGATTGGAGCTCTAAAAATCCATTAATATAAAGCAGTAATTATTTCTCAATGCTGTTGTCGAAGGGAATACTGTACGTGATTCTTTAAGATGACCTGTTTAATATCAACATCCGATGGGTATGATAACAATGAGAAAGGGAAGCAAATGCGCAGGAAGCTCAAGAAGTTGATTATCCATACTTCAATGGACCCCCGTTAATGTCAACCTCTTTTTTGTCAACACTCGATAAGTTCAACGTTTTTTCAACTTCAATGTAAGGTCAATGCCAACACCTAAGCCAGGGTTGATTTCTTATCGAGGTCAAATACTTCCAATCAAAGGGGTTTATTCCGTCGTCGGTTAGACTGCGTAGCATACATAGCCTTTTATAAATTTTTCAAATTTCAGGTATGATATGGCATGCACTATTGCGTCATGAAGTTCCTCCTCCCCATGCAAAATATCAAGAAAAGTATCAATACTACCGCATATAGTACATATCTATTGACTGACTGTACATACAGTTTATGCCCCTATTCTTTAACGACAGTCACAACAGTGAATAGCATAGTAGCTGCTGCTTCTATTAGTTATACATGGAGATGCTTTTAACTCGTTCATCACCTTTTTCCTTCTTTTTTTTTCAGTCATCTATTTTCTTATATTATTTAAGTCATGACAAAATTAGTGCCATCGAACTGCCAACAAAGGGCATAATCATGGACATGTTTGCAAATTACGTGCTAAACAAATTTATAACAACCAATAATTATAATTCATGTTTACGATGGAAGTTGCAAACAACCAAGTTGCTCAAGCTCATACTTTGTGCAATTGGCACGTACTGGTTAATGCTAGTAAGTGTATCATTTTTAGTAATATAATAGTATCGACGGTGATACTTGTAGTAATAGTAATCATGAAATAGATACATAATGTTTTACTACATTTAAATGAGAAAAATCAAGTTTTGCTTTATTATGAACAACATTTCTTCTATTACATTCTTGAATAGCCTATATACAATGCATTTCTTGGCCCACTCAGCAATATACCAGGTCCACTCGTCCTCAAATTCTGGAGCAGACTTTTGATGCTAAGAGGAAATGGTCCTCCCGGAACAAAGTAATGATGATACTATAATCTAAGATGATGATTGTTCCGTACAGCCCAGCAGCGTGTTTTTTCTTTTTGCCAGTTGTATCATGACTTGCTGATAGGAATACTCCCCGCAACTTTTTTTTATATAAACGATTGGAAGCTTCATTAAATTACAAGAGTGGCAAGATCGATACGGACGAGTAACTCGAGTCGGTCCATATACGATATCCATTTCTGACAAGCACATGCTGCAGCAAGTACTATGTCATGAAGATTTGCCGAAAGGACCTGCATACAAACGAGTCAAAAGTGAGCTATATTCAGATTTTTGTTATATCAACAGTATTTTGAAAAGAATGCATTCTTTCGTGTCTTGCTATATATGCACTTGACCTAAAGGGATTATGTATAGAGCTGGGTAATAACATGTTTTTTACTGCTGATAAGCGGTTTCATCGACAACGGGTAAGTTTACTAATTATCAGTAGTACGCAAAAGAGAGAACTAAACTATACATCAAATTTATAGAGACGTATCATATCGCCTGCATTTTCAGTCAAGTACCTGAACTCTCTTGAAATTTACATGCTCTCAGCGAACGAAGCATTCGTTCAGCGTATTGATAAAGACATTAAACGAACCAATAATTTAACTACGGGAGGCTATGGTGAGGTGGATATTTGGAAACTTTTGAACTATCTAATTCTCGACATAATCGGCGAAACAGCTTTTGGGCAGACATTCGAACTACTTGAGAAGGACAATGACCATATTGTTCCGCGTACAGTTTCGCGGACAATCGAGACGATCTCATATGTATGTAGTAACCATTAGTCAAACCAATTAAGAAAACATTATACTGTACTGTAGTTACGTGAACTCACAAAGTTAGCGCTTACCTTTTTCTTTTTGCTGTTCTGAAGGTTTGCGCTAATCCTATCGCTGGGGTGCTGAAAACGCTTCTGTCATTTAGCGAGATTAGGGCCGCCAACAATAAAATGCAATATGTATACATCTTTTTTTCTGTTGTTTCCAATGTCGAAATTATTATCATACTTATAATATCACTTTATTCTAAACAGTTTATGGAAAAGATTATCATGGACCGATTGCAGGGTGGTGAAAAAGCGCGTCGTAACGATATTCTTCAAATTCTCATCGACAGCCAAAAATCAACAAATAAGCACGACCGACTTACTGTAGATGCGATTGCTCAAGAAACCATTATCTTTCTTGTTGCCGGCTCCGAGACCACGAGCAATACGATCGGATTTGCATTGATTGAGCTATTACGGAATCCTCACGCTTTTGTTGCATTGCGCAAAGAGATCGATAGTGTACAACAACAATCCGATGGCTCTGCTGCTCTGGGAACGCTGCTATGTCACAAGGAGCTGAAGAGTTTGCCTTATTTAAATGCTGTAATTTATGAGTCCATGCGTCTTAACTTCATTGCTCCCAGTGGCATGGAGCGCAGAGCGGATAAGGATATGGTCTTAGGTGGCCGTGTTTTTGTACCGCAAGGGGTAGGATGTGAAACACCAGAATATCAATGATGATAGCGAGTTGCACTAAACTAACTCTTTGCACACACATATATAGACCTTTATACAATGCAATCCTTACGGTGCTCAACGTGACCCAGGCTATTGGCCTGAGCCATCGAAATTTAAACCTGAACGTTGGATTAATGGGTCTGATGCTCCTGCAGATCACGAAGCTTTCTTTCCTTTCAGTACAGGGTAAAGATACTAGATGATTGCTCTGATAATGAAATGTTAAAAACAAACACGCTAACAGCTTTAACTACTTAGATCAAGAAAATGCATTGGCAATACGTTCGCTTTACACGAAATGCTAATCACCCTTGCAAACCTTGTGAAACTTTACGATTTCAGAGCGATCCCTGCAGAACTTGAGGCATCAAACGAAAGACGTGCCTTTGTAACACTGACTTTGAAAAACAGAAGCTTCAAAGTTCAGATGAAGCGTAGATAGTTATTACTCTGTTCTTTAATACTATACATTATGGCGGAACATTGTAAACGAAGATCGCTGTTCATAAAGTATGAGCGTTACTGTGATTCAGGTGACACAAAGGACAAAATTTCAGGGACAGAAACGTGACTTGTGCTGGGTTGCTGTCAAAAAGAAAAGTTTTCCGCGAGATTCAGAAAAGCTACTCTTTCTAGTTTTTCATCGTTTTACACACTTCCTTATGGTACGTTTCCCTTTTTTTATATCACTTGAAAAGAAGACCGTGTGTTTGTTTTGCAAAGGATGATACCCGATTTTATTTGCACGTCAGTCCGAACTTTTGACTGTGGATGAACTTTCGCTTTTTTCTGATGCAAAGAACATGTCTTTTTTCGGTGGAAAGAGACTTCATGCATTCGTCGTCGAAGAGCAATATCATCTAACTCGCCGTGTTGTTATTGTTCTCTCTAGTTTAAGCTATCCAAAGCTATATTTTGCTACCTATGTTAGCCAATACCAGAAAGGGAAGAAGGAAGCGGATTGTTGTTAGCTAGACTGTGGATGCTATAAGTAAAATAAAGATGATATTGCTTTAGATAAAGAATTGGAAGGGTGCTTGTTTTGATGTAGAAGTGTGTCGAGAAGGATTATTTCGTGCTTTGGAGCATGTGATTCTGTCATTGTCACACTACAACGGTGTGCTAAAAAATAGACACTTTGCCTTTCTATTTGTGCACATCCATGGCAGAGGCCAATCGTTCTTTACCGCATTCGACCAGCAATCCCCACATTTATATACAAGTGAGGAGAATCAAGACCTCAGCATGGAGATGGGACGAAGGTTGCATAGAGAAAAACTGTGACTTTGCCTTTTGCAGAGTTTGACACTGCCCTCTCCTTGCTCAGTTTATTGAACGCTTGTTATTACTATTACAGTGGATGTAATCACCTTGCGGTAATATGACAACATTAACTGTGAGTTAAGTAAAGTGTCGACTACTCTCGGCAACGGCAACAAGAACGGGATATACATTACTCGAGCGGTAAAAGTCGACGATGAGAACAGTAATAAAGTATAAAAAATGACAACAAACAATGGCAACAGCAGCAGCAGCAGTCGGCCGCAGCAGACTTTGTTTCAAATTTTCCATACGCGATTCTGGAGTACAGATCATGCTTGGTGCGCGAAAATGATCTGCTTCAATGCTTGGAGGTCTCAAAAGCATGGCGCGACAAGATTACCAATTGTCCAGCTTTGTGGCATCAAAATCACGGTTGACCATGGGCAGGATACACCTACGATCGAGCTTATGTTGTCCATATCAACATTATCATCATGACCATTGTCATCGTCCTCACTGCAGCACCAACAGCAAAGGTTGATTTATATCGAATCACATGGTCTAAAAGATTCGTTCTGGGTAATAGCATACAAAGGTTTACGGGGCTTGTCAGCCTCAGGGGAAGTCAAGCTGGATTATCGCGACGACGCCAGGTCTGGAATCGTTTTTTGAAGAGTTACTGTTAAAGCAGCAAAATAACGCATCATCATCATTATCGTCGTCGTCGCCGTCGTCGTTTCTTAACAGAATGATCACCTAACTGACTCTAGACATTATGGAATTTTTGAAGAATCCTGAGTTAGAGCTATTCGGCAGCATCATCGGCAATCATGCCATCGAGCTACGAATGTATAACCATATCACGGATGCTGATGTACGACAGTTCTCCCAGCAACAACAGCAGCAGTAACAGTAATCGATAGCAGCGACCCGAGACGGAAGGAGAAGACAGCAACAGCAACATAACCATCATCCTCAATCATTCAAGTTTGTCATTGCGCTCAGGTTTCCAAGGAAATAGAACTCCTTGTCGAGCGATTATTTCCCATTTCAAACAAAAAAACAGTATGTATCTAAGACAAAAAAATAATTTCATTAAGCAAATTTACAAAGGTTGGTAAGAGAGTGTTATAAGAAAAGAAGGAAGGAGGCAAGGGATGGAGGGAGAGAGACTTGGGTATTATGCTGTATATGTGGACCGGCTTAGTGTGTATATAAGGGCGTTATCTAAAATTGCATTTTGAATGAGAACGGACCACCACTACCGCCACCACCAGGGAAACCGCCGCCACCTCCAAAAGGGAACCCGCCTTGGAAGTGCGCGAATGGATTGCCGCCACGTTGTTGATGGAATGGATGGCCACCACCACCACCACCACCACTTTGACCATTTTCAGGATCATACGGGTCGTAACCATTATCGTATTGCTGGCGCATTTCTGTTGAAAAAAAGTTGCAAGTTAGTTCAATTATACCTAGTGTGTACATGTACATGTAGGGTAAAAGAGAACCTCCTCGCTTTCTTACCATCATCGCTGAGCACTTCATAAGCCTGGTTGATATCCGCCATCTTCTTCTCCACTTCTTCTTTGGATAAATCGCCGGAATACTTGTCCGGATGCCATTCTTGTGCTTTACGTCTATATGCCTTCTTGATATCACGCGAATCCGCGTCCCTTGCCACATCCAAGATCTTGTAATAATCGCGCCGTTTACTCTGCCGTAACATTTGTTGTGCCCGCTGCAGCATGTGTCGTACCCGATTGTTTTGGCCACCACTGACTTCATTGGCCTTTTCCAAAATCCGAACCGCTTCTTCAAACTCGTTTTGTTTTAACTTGACTTCACCCATATTGATCAATGCGTCCAGATTGTCGTCTTGTAATTCCAACGTAGCAGAGCACCACTTTTCAATAACGTTCTGTTTCCCTTTGTTGTTCTCGGCAGCGATCTTACACGCTAGTTCGTAGCATTTGATGTGGAGTCGTTTGGGTAAGGGTGAAGTGATGTCGAGTTCTTGTACTAGTGCATTGTAAGGCTCATCGATTTCGGAAACCACGCCAGCAGAAGATGGTGTGCCAATGATTTTGTTGCTAGCTGTTGCATATCGCTTTGCTTCGAAATCGTCTTGTGCCTTGTTGATCTCCTTGTCCAGCTTTTTGATTTGTCGAAAGAGCTTTTTGCATTGTTTTTGTTCCGGATCGTAGTGTAAGCATTGTTTAAGTTGTGAAAGTGCGCCTTGTGCTTCGTACAGTGAGAAAAAGTTAATCTTGGCCAAACGGACTAAAATGTCTGGATCGGAAGGGTTCAAATATGCCGCTCGACTATTTTTAAAAATGAATTGTTAATTTTTCGGTATTTTGTACTTGTTATAGCAAAATACTGTATACTCACGTCAGATCACCAGCTGCCTCCTCAATTTCTCCTTTGCCAATGTGACAATTGGCACGCAAGATACGTAAACGAGTCAACTGTGGTGCAGTTGTAATTACATTCGAGGCATGTTGGATGCATTCGTCATACTGGTTCTTTTCCCATGCCTTTTCAGCCGCTTGCATGGTTGATTCGGCCTCATTGACAGCTTGCAGCTATATTACAACAACACAATATACAAGTCAGTTTTCTTACAATGACACCCTATCCAAAACACTAAAAGAAAAGAGTTTTTTACCAAAGCCATAGCGTCAGCATCCTTGGGATGACCCTTTAAATATTTCTGCAGATCCTTCGTGGCCAATGCAAACTCGCCTTCTTTTGCATAGATCCGTGCGCGCTGCATCAGTGCCTGATCAAAATCAGGCTTCAGATCAAGAATTTTCGAAAAATCGTCTGCAGCTGCATTGTTGCGTCCCAAGGATAGATATGCCGTGGCTCGCTTGTAGTAAGACAAGTAGTTATCCGGATCCTTTTCTACAAAACCATGCAATGAGCATTTAGCATACAGTTCGAGATTTACATGGAGACTATGAACGAGAGAGGGAAAGAAAAGAGGAAAAACTTACGAATGGCAGCGTCAAAGCTTATCAAAGCGTCATTAAGCTGTCCGGTAACGAGAAACTGGTTTCCTTCCGTAAGGTGTTGCTGCGTGCTCTTGTCTGCCAGAATAGAGACTGGAAATAAGAACGGCAGCACGCATGCGATCAGATAGCGATGATGCAGCATGAATGTGTGTGTTGGTAAGGGTGAAAGAATAAAGAACAAAAAAGAAAGAAGCAAGTACCTTCGTAGCCAAGAATGGTAAATGTAAATTAGAATCCAGCAGTGTAGCTTTATGTGGGGGATTTTCATTGGCTGTCCAGTACTGCTTCACGGTCACTGTCATGTCTGTAGTAAGGTTCATCGACCACTCAAAGGAATCCATTTCTGGCTACATGTCCAATTGCTGACTCCCAAGTCGAACCTTGAACTTTGACGGGGGCACGGAGGCCGATCACTTTTTCTTTTTAAGCGCGTTATAAACTCGATATACCAACATGTCAGCAACGCAAGGCGACTTTATAAAACACATTTTAAGTAGTGTACATGCAAAACAAAATTCACCCGGCGGATCGGTCATTGATCAATACATTGAACGAACATACGAATTCCTCGACGCTGTGAGTTGAAATTTGCGCGGTGCGGAATCTTTATCACGGTGTATATATTGAAAAAACCCCCTTATACTAACGGGTGCCGAAACCATTATCAAGATAGACTGGTCACAGAAATGGTTACAGGGATTAATTGGGTTCCATGTCATTTGCTTTGCCACAACGTTGTTGCTAAGGAACCATTCTACTGGGCTCTCTGTCTATTTTTTTGTACTATGTAAGTTTTTGATTGATTCATGCGCGGTGATGATATTTATGTTCCCCTCAGGAAAAAGAAAGCAAAGAAGTGTGTGACAAATGGTGGTAGAAAGGACAATAATCGAGATTAAATTAATTGATGCGATTGTACTGTCATGCTATGTGTGTGCATGTGCTACTCTATTAGTGGGCATGGCAGCATTGGTAAAGCCATTGAACGGCCTGTGTAAGACGCACTGGGAAGAGTTTGCGTCGGCCGATTACTTTGACGAGTCGGGCTTGTTTATCGTTTCCGTGTATGCGTTGCCGCTCGTGTTCAATGCTTTTGTGACACTGGTAATGTTTTTTTTAATATTTGACAAGCAGCAATCGCAGCCAACGACGGAAGGGAACAAAGAAACAAAAGAGGAGCCGAAACTATGGCAACCTTCTAATATAAAGTCAATATATAGATATTCATTCTTAAAACGGCAGCGGGACTTCTGGTGAGTATGAAGCGGGCTCAAATCAGGCAGCAGCAACAGAAAAGACGCAGCGACAAGCAGAATAAGAAGGACGAGTAATAGAGAACCTATGCTGATGTACTACATGACACCCATGATAATTTATCGAATTTAATGTATTTTCTTTCTCTGTGTCACGTTCTGCCACTGTTAAATTGCATACATATGATATGTGTACTACGATACAGAAAATATTCTACAAAAACATATATAAAGAAGGAAGCAGATTTCTGTTTCTTTTTCTTTACCACGCCTTCTTTTCCTTTTCGCACCAACTCCCCTCACAATGCGCCCCATTCCACTCTTTATCACCATCCTCGTCTTGAGCTTGATTCAGGTCACGCGTGCCATCTCGTCAGCAACTGCAAAGAGCGCGCTGAAGATCCATAACGAATTCCGTGCAAAGCATTCAGCACCCGCCTTGAAGTGGAGCACCACCTTGGAAAAGTATGCCCAGAGCTGGGCCAACAAGTGTGACTTCAAGCACACCAATGTATGTATTGGTTTCTCATTGTTATGCTCGTAGTGGCAGCAGTTGTAGCTATCGAACATTGTCCTTTTCTATGTACTGCTTTTACATAATGTACTGACAACAGATTTAGGGCCCCTATGGTGAGAACCTCGCTTGGGGCTACGCTAACTTCCCAGCTGCTATCAGCGCATGGTACAACGAGGAAGAGAAATATGATTACAACAATCCTGGCTTCTCCGGCTCCACTGGTCATTTCACTCAAGTGGTCTGGAAGTCCACCACTGAACTCGGCTGCGGTATCAAGACCTGCCCCGATGGAGGTAGGAATTACACTTAATTTTTGACTTGGCCTACTTGCCGCCGCATATACTTATCTTTTGCTCTCCACTTTTTTTTACTTATGTTATATCTCTTTTTAGCCAAGAACTACGTTTGCTCGTACAAGTCTCCGGGCAATGTTGTCAGCAGCGACAATGCTTATTTCAAAAAGAACGTTTTGCCAAAGTAAATAAACTGGCCCGGTACAGGACTACCTGAATAGCGTATTCTGAAAATAAATAAACAATTGTCTTCTATACCTTGACGCGTTTGCTATTTGCCGAGAAGGGACATTTTCCCGTTCACAGTCTAAAAGGTTGTAGCGCAGCGTTGCTTACACCCGAATACACCGCCTACAGTGTTCCCCATTAAATTCCACGTCAACATTGCCGATTTTCTCTCAGCAAGGAAAGATTTACTGGAATTAGTGAGGGCTCAAAGCCTAACGGATTTAGACTTTACAGGGCTTCAACTGTGATAGAACTTTAGTCCGTTACTGCTAAAATAAAGACCACTATCTTCTTCATATGGCTTGGTAGCAGAATCGGGTGGAATAATCATCAGGTAAAGTCCAAGTTGGCGACGAGTCTCCTATCACTGACAAATGATAGAGAGTCCCGTGTACCCATACCCTCAGTGTTGCTCAAGGACAAATATGGATATTCAGGACTCGTCGTAGACGCATTTAGTCGAGGGGACATTGTGGCGAGCCCATCATCAAGCAATGATATTATTTAAATTACAGCTTTCAAGCATGTATTCACCATGCAAGAGAATCAACATTGCATAAACAAAGAAGGTGCGTTTTTTTCATAATCGTATACATACAGGACTTTGTACTGGATCAATTGAAATACATAAAAAAGGAAAACTCTATTATTACAGCCTGTACTTCCTGATTCATTTCAATTATCCTATACGTAGCGTTATAATCAGCATCGACGATTTCGCTTTTCTTTTTGGATCAAAAGATCGATTTACAATCAGTGTAGACCGAGCATATCACTAGCACCATGCACCAGAGCTTGTATAAAATCGCTCAACAAGTGGGTGGGTGGATGACGAGAGCTTAATATAAATCACAATAAGCCATGTGTTTATTGACACTGTCAATTATGCATATAGAAGTTTTACAGAAGAGGTGATGGATACAAACATCTAGTGAAATGTAGTATGGAACCAAGTTTACGTAAATCACAATTTTTCTTGCATGCGATGAGAAATGCAGATCATATATTTACGGTCATTTACTGTCATAGACATATATAATGGATAATTTGCTATATAATTTTATTGGTGGAGAAACAATCGCATACACGGAAATAAATGTGCTAATACTAGCTATTAGAGATCAATGATGGACAGAGTAGGAGGGCGATTTAAACCTTGTGAAAAAATCACATTGGGGCTCAAAAATATTCTGGGGTATACATAAAGTTCCTGCAATCGAGGCGAGTGCTGTATGAAGGCTTTCGCAAGATGTAGTCTAGTGTCGTCATTATCAGCGTAAAGGCGTGAAATTTGAACGCGCTTCAAAAAGTGCATTGTTTTGAACTCGAGGGTTCGACATTTATTAGGCACAAAAAAAGGCGCCGTCAAGTTGAGCACCGTTACTTTACTCCGTGATAAGATATCGCACAAATCATGTAACCGGTACACCGAGAAACAAGAGCAGATGCTAACGACGTTGAGAGAGTACATGTTTATTTCCAGCGATTCCAGAATTTCGGATGTACTTCCTTTGATACCTATCATGAACAAAAATAGACTCGTTATTTTTTCCAAAAACAAAATGTCAACCGTCAAATTGATTTACATAATGGTCATAGATGGAGGAGACATAAGAGCACTCACCAATGCTGTGCATGATTAAAGATCCATTATCAGCAGATTCAATTGAAGGAAAAATTTCAATCGATGGGCTGTTGTAATATCCGGTATATACGAATGGCAAGTGATCTCTTTCTCCACGCAGTGCCTCGAGTAGCCGCGTTTGAGCATCGTAATACATCTTCTTCAAAGGAGAAGATGAAAGATAGAATGCCGATCGACGTTCCCAGATGTGATCCATCAAAAACGTACGCCAAGTACGGCAAACTTGTGTGCACGACCAAAATTCGAGGAACGTAAAGTCTTGCAAGAATATCTTTTCCACAAGTTCGAAAGGGAGATAACCGACAAAGCTGCACTTTCGGAATAGCTTCACTTTTGATGTCTTTTCGTGTAAAGTCGAGAAAGTGGAATCATCGCTGTCGTGTTTGTTACGGATGACGCTAACCTTGTTGTACTCGTCGGGCTTCATGTACTCCTGGGTTTTCAGTAAGTCGTCAACCTTGTCTTTGCTATCAACACCCTCAATCATTTGCTCGGCAACTATTGGAAAAGCATGTCCGTGATCGCTGTCTTGAATACTGCCACTCCCAATGGCATTGAGCTGCTCCATTAGCTATGTTGCTTTGCCGTTTTGATAAAGAAAGCTGAGAAAAAAAAAGAAGGTGGAAAAGAAGTGACAAAAGGGTATCACAACAGGCTCGTTTTAACTTTTTTTAATGATAATTTGGCTGTGATCAATCAGTCCCGTTACGCCAAGAATGAGGTATATGTAGTGGGTCAACTGTAAAAACAAGCGCTTTTCTGTTACAAGGCAGCCCGTGTTATTTTCTTATGTTTGTAGTGAGAGGCCGACAATTACAGACCATAGTACAGTCGTTATATGGGAAACGCTTAGTTAAACAATGCTATTTAGCTTCCATTTGACATGGCAGCGTACCATTAATTAACATACGATACGTTTTTGGCAAATTCCTTCTGCATATAACACATTTGCTTGAAAATCGAAAGACGGTATTTTTACTAGACATTACGTATTGATGAAACATTTCACAGCAATCTAGAACGGCACAGCGTTCTTTCTTGTGTAATTGCTGCCCAACAATTTCTATATATGAAAATATTCACTTTATAATTCTCCTCCTCTCTTTTTCCACTCCTTTCTTCACTTGAAATATCAAAGAGCCAAGATATCATGTGCTGCTTTTGACTTTTGGAGAATTTTGTTCACATGAAGAAAGGTCCGTGTTCTATTGGCTGTCAACAAGCCTTAATATCGATACTACACTAGTTATTGAAATCACAAACAATGATGGAGCCATTAAAAGAATTTTACGTCCCAGAGTGTATTGTTAAAATCATAGACATAAAGTTTCTTATTTTTGTCATATTTTGAGCATGTATCATGTTATGCAAGCAATGAGACATGAAGAATATTGGAGATGAATAGTTATGCAAACGGGTAATTGTATGTATGAGTAGCTCTAATTTTGTAGCGGTACAGTACAAATCATCATCTTTTGACTAACATTAGCAATGTACTTAAATTTCGAGCAAATAGGCTAATTGAAGGAAATACTGACGGTAAAACTACATATTGTAATTCTTTGTTTTGTCAAGATTACTGCACTTGAAGTACAGCTTGATCAAGAAAAGTTTTGTATGTTCGAATTTTTGTGCTAGATGATAACGCGTTGTGTCGTGAGGTGATGGGATGCATCGCAGTTCCGTCTTACAGCAGACAAAAGAGTAAAAGCGTAATATACATACAGCTTTCTGATGCTTTTCAGATGGCCACAAATATCGTTGATACGCGTGTAAACCGATTCGTGAGATAAACGTGCAGGGACAGATTCGCGCAAAGAATGGAACACCGTGTATTCACACATAAAATTTGTAATAAGGGATTGGGAAAGTGAATCCTATGCCAGGACAAGGTACATTATTGTAGAGCAAATAAAATGCATGTGTAGCATACCTGTACTGTATGCTACATTGCATATGGTAGCAACACAACTGTGGTTTTCTTTTATGATGTGTAAAAATAAAGGCGCGTATCATAGTATAGACGATGGCGCATTTTCTACGTGCCCTTCCTAGCGACATTTACTCTCAAACAGTGTAATCAGTCGATAGGTATGTAACGTGCATTTACTATATATTTATCCATACATGCGCATGTCTTACGTCATCACCATCTTCATTGAAAGAAGGAGTGGTGCAGAACTGTATATCCAACAGAAGCAGTATCGTCCATTCTTGGATACGACTACGGGCAAAACACGATTCTCGGGCGGCCAATCATAATCGACAAGAATTCCCATGGTTATAAAGTCCGGCTATCTCAGCTCAGTTGCCTTTTCGCTTCTCTTTCCCTTATCTCCATGTTTTTCTATTTCGCGCAGTCGTAATCGTCATAAACGCGCTTTTAAGCCAATCACAGGTAAATTCCTTTATAACCCTGCTTCTGCTGCTTTACACACGCTCACACTTGTGTTTTAGTTGTGAATAACCGTAGTGCGTTGTTTCAAAGGCCCATCACTTTTTGTATGTGTCGGTAGTGTTTCTGGGCACGTTTGCAGGTTCGACTCCTGGCTTGACACAAAGGTGGGCGCTACGTCGAGGTCTATTGTTCATTTTGGGAGACCATTAGTCGCATCGGCCCCGCGCAAAAGAGCTCGATCACCTTCAGTGGCTATCCTGAACGATCGGGTCCCGCCTTGGACGATACAAGCGTGTCTGTTTTAGCCTGGACTTGCCGTACTCTTCGGAGTATGGTGGGTCTGTCAGATAGTCTTGAAATAACGCTTGAGGAATTGAGGGAATAAGGAATTGACGGAAAAGGCATTGGCATTGGTGTCATTCCTGAAGGCTTGCCGAAAGGCTTGCTGGAAGGATTGGCGGTGTAGGTTCCAGCTTCGAGCTGGGACTGAGGCTGTGGTGGACATGGAGGTTGAAAGGTACTATGTGCCCTTCTCAACCTCCTTCTTTCTCGTTTATTGTCAAACTAATGGACGAGAGAACTGCCAATGCCTTCTTCTTTTTTTCAGCTAGACACTTTTTTTCACCATTGTTATTTTTCTTACATTCTTTGAAATAATAAAATAACTCTTCCATCTGTTTCCCTTTACAAATATTTCTGTTTTTAAATAGCGTATATCACGCGAGCTTTTGTCGCTTTGATGTAATAGACGTTTGCGATGGCAACTGAGGCATAAGTGACAGCTAAAAGCCGTTGCTATAATAGTATGGCCTGTTCTCGCTGTTGCGCAAGACAAAGTGCTTATCAACGGCGTAGTGATGGGATCGTCACAATTCTTGATTCCCACATGGACTCTGTGACCAAGTTGCCATCGCTGGCTTCACTGGAAGACACTTTGCATAAATCGAAGCGAAGCCCTCCAAGCACGCAATCTCGCGACAGCAGTTCATGAATCTACCTCAGCACTCGATCAGCTACACAGATATCTAGAGCAGTTTCTGGCAGTCCGCGTCGAAGCATACCCGCAACAGGGCAAAGCCGTAAAGGTGTACAGTGATGCCCTATTCTTTGTCGACAACTTCCCAGCTATTTGAGAGCATAAGTTATCGCCACACGTATTCTTATCAGACAACAGAGATTCAAGAAAGCAATAGCGATATGCGCAAGGTTCTGAATAACGGTGAAGGAGGGTACCTCAACTTCCGATATAATCCCCTGACAGACACATTATTCTACCTCTCCAATGAAGCTCACCCTATGCTTGAAAAGAGTAAGGACATGAAAGTGCAACCTTACGATGTGCTCGCCGTAATCCTAAACGAGCACTCTTTCGGTGACATCCTTCGGTGCATGACTGTATCCAAAGCGTGTCGTCAATACATTATTGATTGTCCTACAATGTTCACGCTACAAACTAATATCTACATTCGAATGGCATAGGATCCTGCGAACTACGAACAGAATACAACGGGGGTGTGGAGCTAGCACGGCACTTGGATGCGTGCTATGTCTTGAACAAGTAAACAGCAACGCCTATGAGATATTCTAGTAATAGCAGCATCAGCAGCGCTAAAACCCGCATCTCGTCGCCATGTTGTAAAAGCGACGGAATAAGGCCTAAAAAAGAAGGCACTACTGTAGGAAGGCTGACTGAAGTAATCTTCTTCTTGTAGCTCACATATTAAGAAGACAAAGAACCGCCTACTATGTGGTGCTACATTGTCTCTTTTCACGCAGTCTGATACTCTATCCACTGCTCCATGTTAATCAATGGGCAATGTCTGTGAGCGTGATGAAAATACCCTGATGGTGACTGCGCTGTGGATGTTTCTTGATTATCATAACAACCATTAATAAACAATCACCACCGCTAGTGAAAAAATTAATAATAAAAAAGACGTACTTCGTCATAATATTCGGAAGGCTGTATGATATCCATGATAACTCTTTTCCCGGGCAGGTTGCCAATTTTCGTTGTTCTTTTATACTCTTTATTGATAATGGATGATGGGCAGGAATAGTAAAGGGAAGAGAGCGAATCGACCAAGAAGCAATCGTAATCCTTTTTTTTTTGAAACGAAATTTGAATTTAGCGTGTCTGTGTCTCGAAACCAACTGCTCGCTGCACGGTGTGGTATCGTGATCTCAGTCATGAAAAGAAAGGGTTGCCCTGTGATTGGTGTAAGTAGCAATCAGATTATGCGTAGTGCTCGGCTGCTTTGTCTCTTATTAATCATCTCAATGTAATCCAAGTATTACAACACACGTCTGAAATGGAAACGCATGTATTCTTGACTTGAATGAGTCATTTTAATCGTCCTGCGTGAGCTGCCTGTCTGCTTTGTCCTGCTGCGCGAAAGATGCCCTGTAACAACTATGCTTTATGTAGCCGGAAGATTACTACATGTCATCGAGCACAAATTTAGATTTCCGGAGATATTGATCTCTCCTCGGTCCCCATGTGCAATATTACGCTGGGTATGCTGAAAGGAGAAATGCATCAAACTGTCAATATCTTTCGACAGGTCATCCTGCAAAACAATTGAACAGGTCTAAGTTACACAAGGATCTCGTCGTTCAAGTAACGCAGTCTCTCTTTCACGTTCTCTAACGACTTTGCGCATCTCTCTCCAATGTGAAGTAATAATAAACGATTTTACACACAACATTGTCCAAAACGAAACACGAATGTGCTCGATATGCCATGACTATTCTGAACGGAAAGATGACTTGCGGCCTAAGTCCGTTCCAAAGTCTATTTTTTATCCACACCTACACTTTATGTCGAGCAAACCCGTCTCTAACATACACTCTAACATGTCCTCTCTGTACGATCTAGACCTTGATTGCAGCTCTCAAGTAAGTTATAAGCAAAGGCGCGGCTTGTGTCAGGGTTGTTTGGCGTCATTACATTATGCATGATACGGGATGCTTACAGAGCCAAACTAGCAAAATTCCAAGTCCAAACTATTGCGGACCGGTGCACACGAAGGACGGAAGCAAAGAGCACGAAACACACTTGCAAGCTCTGACTTCATCGTCACGGCAAGGTTGAATTCGGAAACCAGGTCGTTCAGGGAGAGACTGCTGGAGAGATCCCTGAGTAAAAAGTCCTGCTTTCACAATCTACATCTTTCTTACAGTGTTTGTCGTTGGTTAAGCTTCTCTTGCTGTTTACTTTATCACATTAAACATATTATGATATTGATAATTTAATACGTACTCATTGTATCCAGGTGATTCTGCTTGAGTTAGCTGCTGTTTTACCTGCCTGCAAAGATGCTTCCAAGGAGGCTAGATACGAGCAGAGGAACGGCTTTTAAGAGCGATTTATATGATGCATACATACAACTGCCGGTATTGCTATTCATTGAAAACCACTGCCCGTCGGACGTCTATAGTTAAACAAAGACATCATAGCAAGCTAATATCCTGCTTAGAATGATAGAATTTGAGAATGTAACGTCTATGTATCTATAAGCTACAGTAGTGATCTCAAATCATACCGAAACACACAGAGAGCATGGCATAGAGAGCAGTCTCTACTATTGTATTTTCGATATCTTGCTCTCATAACTAATAAACACTTCATATTGATGATACCATTGATACTTCTAAAAAAGCAAGGAATGATATCATAAGAAGAAGCTCCTCTAGCTCTTCCTTTAAAAAGCGCTTATCATGCCGCAAAACATCAGTACAATCCATCATCATGATATAGAGTGGTTTGATCTTTTATCTGAAAGAGTTTGCATTAGCTAAAATTCAGAACAATTGTATACAGCCGGCGTTCACTGTACGGTGGCAATTTACATATGCACATTTGTGCTTCACTTAACTATTATGCTTCAGTGATTGTGGAGATGTAGTTTCAGCCGAGCACTTCTGCTTAAGTTTCAATGCAGAACAATGTGAGGGAATTATATTTAGCTTAAACTGTCGCTGCATCCTCGTGGCAAGGTGGATGTCGAGAAGGCAAGACAATAAGCGTCGCACTGTTGTTGTCTGTACTACCATTTGAAACTCGAGCTTAAGAGTATGATACTTGTCAATAGTAATCTTAAAAGTTGGTACTGTAGATGTGTAGCTGAGATAAGTAAAAGAGAGGTTGTTTATGGGCCTTTTAAAATGTCACATCATGTTTGTCGCGTGGAGCTGCAAATACAGTAGTAGTATATCTATGTACATCAAGATGAGGTGATGCATATGTTTATCTATTATCTGTATCATACATCAAAGGTTGTTCAATAAAATGTATTTTGCTTCTTCTTCACTTGCCAATAGATACGCAGTGAATTTTGTATTTGAGAATCCATACAGTACATGCACTCCTCAAATATTTTAAAAAATCTGAAGCTGGATCCCTTTATAAAGCACAACAGACTGTTGCAGTGCATACGTAATCGATTGAAGTAAAAAATACAAATTATATTATATCATCTTTCAAAAAAATCGTTATATCGCTCAAAGCTGTACAGCCAATGTGCGTAGACCGATCCAAAGATTTTCGTAAATGCAGGTGCAAATTCATGTTGGGTGTAACAAAATCAGGAACGTGAAATGCTGCACATCCTGATATGAAACGCTCGAGTAAATGATGAGCTTGGTCGAGACGCTCATAGTGGCTGTGATTTAGACAAGGTGCCATGCAGCGACGAAAAACATCCTATTCGCCATGTGAGCAGGAGGCAGGATAGATTTGAGGACAAATGCGGAGTAGACGAGTGTCCATGTCTTCCAGTCCTCAGCCTTCATCAAATCGAACTTGCGCTGTATTTTGCACTTTCCATGCGGCAACACAATCCCATCAACGCGTTCTTGCATGGCCTCATAGTCAGCTTCGCGGAAGTAACCAAATAAAAGTCCTCCACCCAAACACCAGAACTGAATGGCAGTTCCCAGGAAGCATATTATACATTACGTTCGCTAGAATATCAAAGAGCTCTTGAACTGCTTTTAGAGAATCTTTGAATCTCATACTGTATATGAAAAGGCGTGAAGTACGACCAGAGAAATACTTTAAGTGATTTAGACGTAGGACGGTAAAGGTGATTTCTACTATCATAGAAGACTGCTTGTACTATTTCGGGTTCGATAGCAGACAGCCTAATATGATAGCCATTACTATTGTCGGCAAAAAAATATACCTGCATATAGAGAAGCAGCAAATGATGATGATAAAGTTCTCAATGCTGTAAAGAGCAGAGCAGAAAAAATTAAGGACGTCTGTAACCTTTTCTTTTTTCGAAGACCAATTCAAAAAGATCAGCGCGATGTGCCTTTGAAATAAGTACATTGCCCCTTAATGCCCTCAGGGACGTAGCCAAGCACTCCCACCAAACCAAACAAAGATAGTTTACACATCTGCGAATAACGTAACACAATGCGTAGTCAAATAATGAAAATATCAAACGCTAATCAAGGCAATCACTTTTTATTTTTTCTTGACCAATATGTGCAAAAGTTGGATCATACGCTAAGTACTTCAATTTTGTGTCACTACTAAGCAAGGACAGATGAATGATTGATCGAAAACAATCCGAAGTTTGTCAAGGTTGACCAAGGTTATTTGCCTCCCTTTTGGGCTTCACGGGTATCGGCCGTAGATTGTGCACGCGCCTTGAAGTCTTGATTCGTTTGTGTGCGATCAGCGTGCGATTGGATACGGGATGCGTCTCCCTTCGTCATTGGGTTCTTGGGCTGTGTAGACTTTACAATATATATTAGGGAGGCTGCAAAGTAGCATTTTGATCTGCAGGGAATAGTAGCCAGCTAGTAATACCTTGTCCATTTCGAAGATGCTTTTTCTTACTATTCCAGTTTGTACGTAGAAGAACAAAGAAGAGAGAAACGACAACATTACATGGTATTCATATATGCTATCCTTTTCTCTCGTCATACACCTGTCAGAGACATGTAATATAATCACGCTACAAAGAGCGGCATGTGTGTGTCGAGTCATACCTCGTGAGAGTTATTGCTGACCCTTGTAGTAAAAAATGCATGAAAAGAAACAGCATATGCAACCTTTTTCGGGGGGTATCCCCAAACCGTAAATTATACTTGACAGATTCCAGTTAATTTTTTTGTGGTTGGAGCCATTCGGCTGTAACGTACAGTTCCAATAATACGTACATAAACAAAATGTATATTGCAACGTGTTTTAAAATTACATCAGAAAAGCAGAAGCAACATGTATCAGCAATAGCTGCCAACCTACAAGAAAAGCGTCGTGAAATAATATTGTAGAATAAGGCATCAGTAATGACGACACGGCTTCACGAGTGATGGGAAATCTCATGCTCCAGACCAACGTATCACTACAGCATATGACATGAGTTTGATCAAGGACTGACATTAGCCCCGAAGCGATGGGATGAAACAAGAATTCGTACAGTTTGTCTGTTCTTCTTCCATAGTCAGATGTACTACCATCGCTTGTTGCATGAAGTCTTTTTTGCAAGAGTATATGCGAATGAAAGCTTACATATAATAGCTCTCTAACAATATGCCAAGATACAAAAGTGTAAACAGGTTGATTGATACATCCGCCATTTTGCATGGGAAAAGCTTGTTGTAAATATGCTATTATATATTCGTGATGTTACCGAAAAGCATCATTTAGAGAGGCAAGAGTGTAATAAAGACGTGGTCATAAATATCCCAACATGTAAAAAACTTTAAGCGCCTTTACATATTGGGATGGGTAGAGAAAGAAAACACAACAGAATAGTGTCTCTATTCTATGGCCGTATGTAAATTGGGTCCCAGCATGCACGTAAACCATGGAGCGCCCAAATATCAATGATGGGGGTTTCATGAATAGAACCTGTTGTTCTTTTTTTATGTACAGAAGCTTATAATAACCTGACACACGTTTACATACAATATCAGCAACTGTTGCAACACCTACAGCACAGCGGAAACCCTATCATATCAAATATATGCAAACATCCTGGTGTTTGTTTTCTTTATAGTAACAAGCTTTATGTATTATTTAAATGAATTGACAGGCTATCAAGAAAAAGGTATATGGGCAAGTGCCAAAAGCTTCACCGGAAAACCAGAGAGATAGGATTGGACGGCGTTGTTGCTCCTTTTACTATCTAATAAGCTGTAGTAGCAGTAATAGTAGTAAAATCATAGTATTAGTAATCCGCTAACTGAAATCCAAAAGAAGCTACATACCAAAATCCCTGAAACCAAGTAGTTCGCGAGATGTAATTAAGAGAACACGCTTTTTTACGTTGCTTTGACTGAGAACAAAATATGGTGCATATGGTGATGCGCGTTTTCTTAACGGAAACAAAACAATGCTTATGTGCTCCTGGAAGAGAGAAGAACTCGACGCTTTCATTGGATCCAGAACAATCCCCAAAACAGATATTATATAATAAGCAAGCAAAGAAGGGCCGTCCCCAGAAAATGGCGCTAAAGTTGGATACCCTTTCGCCCAAACCACCCGACCCACCTTCTCCCTCTCTCTTTTTGCTTTCGCTCTAAGTTTGGTGTGCGTGTTTCTGTGTATATATCCATTTTACCTCTCAAACTCCCAAAAAGTCACCAATTCCGTCTCCCTATTAATTTCGTAGCAACCTTATATTTACTCGCTGTCATGACATCCCAAGCGCCACTCCATATTTTCCATAGCAACTCACCTACCACACCAACACATTTCGACAATGTTGCAAGGAAACAATCACACAGTCTCGAAGAAGTCCATGCTTGGCTGGAAAACAAGGTTGCAGAATGGTTGACACATCATAATTTTAGTCGTTACAGGAGCAAGTTTATCGGTAAAAAGTTGTTTCATAAGAACAAAAAGCAGTAGTTTGAAAAGGGACCTGAACGCAGCCCACATGAACACTTTTTTACCATTCATGGTTCTTTTAAAACTAATTCTGTTTCGTTTATCACCATCATAGAACACAATATCACAGGAGCAGTATTGTTGGATCTCGATAATGAAGCGCTGAAAGCAATGGATATTAAAACGGTTGGTGAACGAGTTAAACTGTTAGTTGCTGTCAAGTCATTACGACAAGAGTGTTATGCTTCAGCAGCAACAGCAGCGAGAGCAGCACGAGTAAACGTAAGGCAAAGGGAGGGTTTGTAAAACTTGGAGACAGACGATATTAAAAAGCTAAATCGCCTTTATCTTTCACCAGAATGCAAACCATACCGATCAGCAACGATCCGATTACCTTTTACACAATCAGTCTAGTACATCAGTTGCGAGTTCACACACGTTAGGGGGTTCTTCTTGGGGGTTTCATTTGGACGGTGGCGGCGGCGGCGGAAGCCACGGAAAACACGAAGGATTCAATGTTACAACGCCACATCCAGAAAAGACTTCCAAATCGGCCGAATCTAAAAGCTTGCTTAATCGATCCAATTCGTTCTCTCGTTTCTTGGGTCGATCCGACTCTAAGAAATCATTGCGATCTGCAGCAAATGGCCAGGAACCACCGCCCGTACCTCCGAGTCCAAAGGCTGTACAAAAGGTAGTTGGATTTGTTTTGTGAGAGAGAGGCAGAGACACAGAAAGGGGCACATATGCGTGCACACAAGGGTGTACTTGTGTCTATCATTGGGATAGTATCGTAAATGCGAACACAGTCCAGAAATTAACTGATTTCTGGAAACACGTTGTTTAGCGACAGTCGTTGGAAAAGGGGATCATGTCGATGGAACGCGTCAAGCAGGTAATAAGAGAGGTGAATTTACATTATTTCCATCCGTACATGAGGATGTATTTTTTTTACATTGTGGGAGGAGCGTTGATCTTCATACACATGCTGACATTAAGTACCTACTATGATTGGGGGTGTATAGACGTGCGTCAAAGTTTTTGGCGAAGAAGGGCAGACGCGCATCGTGAACGTGCATAATGCTACAGATGCAAAAGCAATCATGGCCAAGGTTCTGCATAAATTCGGAATAGACGAAAACAACGCTGATAAATACTGTATATTTGTCGGATCAAGCACCAACGGTGAAGGTAAAGTTTTTGGGTTAACTTGGAAATTTGTCCCCAGTTTACTATACTCACACCCTACACTATCTTGACTCGTTGAAATAGCCCGAGCTCTATCCGACGCTGAAATGATCGAGATTTGCAGATCAGCAGATCGCCCTGAAAAAGAACGGCTAATTCTGCGAAAACGACACCAATATCCCACCCACGAAGAGTTCAAACGAAAAGGAACAACGACATACAAACAACATCCCAATGCTTATACCATTAACTCGCCCATCACAGCATCATCCACAATTGCCCCGTCCACGTTCTCAACAGCAACACCCTCATCATCATCATCTGCGAATGGCTTCCCCGATAAACAAATGACGTTGGATATAATTACAGGTGGAGGATCACCCATTCATAATACCAACTGTAGTAGTAGCAGTATTCGTAGCAATGGCAATCACTTGTCAGTCATGGAAGATCCACGTTTATCGCTTCGTCCACAAGCCAGAGTTCGTCGATTCTTTGGCGAACGGCCGCCGTCTGAAGTCATTTCGTCGAACTTGCCATCGTTCTTCCCCAACCATAAACGAGAAGTGTTGGAAACTGCCGGTATCAATGCAAAACGACTCTCAATGACACGAAGTTCGTCTGCTGGACGACATCATGAAGGCACGGCAGGGTTCAGAAACAGTGTGCTTCCAGAACTTGTCTCTGTGCTTGGTGTTGATCTCGGTAAATTTTTGGAAGAGGAGGACGAGGATGGTGACGATGGAAGTGATGACGGACATCGTGATGATGATGATGACGACGACGACGAACACGACAACAGTAAGGACATTGATAGTGATGATAAAGCTAAAGAAGAAAGCTACGAGAAAGCTTCTTCCACGGTGACAGCAGCTGAAAGTGATGATGATTATGCGGATGCCCCAACAATGCCCGTCGTAGGTGGCAATGAAAGTGTGGTTTCTTATGATAGCAGTTTATCTGACACCAACAACAACAATAACACGGAAGCTTCGAGCCAGCAGCAACAACAACTAACCTCGGTACCAGCAACAACTTCAACAAATAATACCAACACCTATCAAATCCAAAATCGGTCATCTAGTTTATTACATCTATCTGGCAAACAGGATCTACAACCACCACCTGCACAAGCTGCACCACTTGCTGCACCACCCACAACACCTCCTGAAAATGGTAAATATTTGATCAAACGTAACAATGCTAATCAAATGAAAGTGGATTGAGGAAATTAACCAATTTTTTTCATCAAAGAAACCACAAAGCAACCCAATTTCACCATTCAGGCCGAGCCACCAACACCTACCAAAGTACAACCGACTATATGTAAGTTGATGAAGTTCATAATCGCTAATTATCCGTACACGACGAATAACTCTATGCTTAATAATATGCACTACTTTTTCCTCCTAACCAATCTATATTAGCGAATGAGTCTCCTGTTGCTTGGATGAAGGGGTCACTTATCGGTCGAGGAACATTTGGCGATGTTTATTTGGGACTGAATCCGCTAAGTGGTGAACTGATGGCGGTGAAGCAAGTCGAATTGCCGGTAGAGAATTCTGCCACTGAAGAACGGAAAAAGTCAATGGTGGTAGCACTGCAACGTGAGATTGAATTATTAAAAGATCTACAACACGAGAATATCGTGCAATATCTCGGTAAAGCCATCATTCATATGAGGGATCGCATGTAATTTATGTATGTATATATTCACTAAATTTACTTGCAATTTTTGTTTTAGGGTCGCAAACGGATCCTGCCCATTTCAGTATTTTCCTTGAATATGTACCAGGTGGATCGGTAGCTGGACTATTGGCTAGTTATGGTGCATTCCAGGAACCACTTGTCAAGAGTTTCGTTCGACAGATACTAAAGGGATTGAATTATCTTCATGGCAAAGATATTGTACACAGAGATATTAAAGGCGCCAATGTGCTAGGTAAGGAACAAGGACTTTATGATTTTGTAATCCGCTTCTAATAACCAACTCCCTATCATAGTGGATAATAAGGGAGGTGTAAAAATAAGTGATTTTGGTATTTCGAAAAAAGTGGAAGAAGGTAAATTACACCATTCCCCCCCAAGAAAAAAAAGTGTACAACCCAAAAACAAAAAAAAATATTGATGCACTTAATAAAAACAACAAAAATGGTTCGTTTTGTTATAGATATAATGCAAGTGTCGTCAGCTCCTCACAGACCGAGTCTGCAAGGGTCTATATTCTGGCAAGTATTACACAAGCTTCTCCCAAGAGCATATAGTTGCTGCGCGGTATTACGAAAAAGAGAACACTAACATGACATGATTCTTCATGTTGTTATATAACAGGATGGCACCCGAAGTTGTTAAACAAACACATTATACCCGTAAAGCTGATATCTGGTCACTAGGCTGTATGGTGGTGGAGATGTTCACTGGTGACCATCCATTCCCTGAATTCTCGCAAATGCAAGCTATTTTCAAGGTATGAGTTTTAAAGATTATGGGGAAACCAATAATCAAGGCAACAGGGGGCCGGGGAGGAGAGGAAGAAGGAGGACACACGCAGAGGGTTAGAGGGTGAGAAAGGGGACTTGGCCCAGGGATTCTAATCTTCTTTGCGGGGTTTTCGCTTTCGTTATAATGTAATAGATCGGCAGCTACACAGCTCCCAGCATTCCAGATAATATTAGCGAGGATGCGCGCGATTTCTTAAGATGCACCTTTAAACTGTAAAGTATTATGCAAAGTGGGCAGTGTGTTTGTGGGATCTGTTTGGGAGGATAATCCCATTTGCTAATATTGAAATACATATTGGTTTTATAGAAAACATGAAGAACGACCAACAGCCAAGGAACTATTGGACCATGTTTTTGTAACAGCACGATGCCCTTCTCCGGACGCATCTTAACCCTTGTTGCATTATTACTACTATTACTATTAATGTTTATTACTACTACAACTACTACTATGTCGTGGTGTTTAAAAAAGCATATATACACAAACACACACGCATATACTCTATTTCTCTCACTCTGTGGATTATATATATGATACGTAGTATTGTGGACAGCGAGAATTTTTTGTTCCATGTTTATATAAGCTTTTCGTTTATTGCCATTATTTTTACTTTGTTTTGTGTATGTAAAGCGGAAAGGAACAACAATTATTATGTTACTATTTAGTAAATAGGAAAAAGTCTATGTAAAAACAACGGACTAAACGGTGTAGAGGGTGGTTCCCCTATCCATGAAGCTCGACGTTCTAAAGTGCGACCACCACCACCACTTGATGCTGTTGTTGCTATGGGTTTAGGGATGGCTTTACGTTGTTGTTGTTGTTGCTGCTGCTGTTGTGGAAGAAGACGATTATACTGTTCACCAGCTATCCTAGCAGCAGAAGTGATAGCATCAGCAGTACTATTATTATCGTTGATGGTGTTGCTGCTATGGCGGGTCACCATAACAATATAAGAAATAGCAACAATGACGATCAGCACGATATGCACTTCGTCGCCAGGGAAAACAGGGGCAGGCTTAGTAGTAATGACAACTTTCGAAGAGCAAGAAGAAGAGGAGAAGGAAGGGGTTCGAGGAGCACCAGCGGTGGTCGTAGTAGTAGTAGTAGCAGTAGTAGTTGTGGCAGCAGCAGTACAAGGACCAGGAGTAAGAGGGATTGTAGCAAGAACGGGCGATGGTAACGCTAATTGCTGGCGTTGGTGTTGGTGCTCCTTGATGGATGTGTTGCAATTTAAGTTGCTGTTATTATTGTTGTTATTACGGCGAAGATACTGCAGATGTTGAGGATGAGAAGGAGGCGGCGGCGCAGCTGATGAAGATGAGGCAGAACTTGCTGCACGTCGTCTTAATCGATGATGATAATGCTGTTGCTGTTGTTGTTGTTTTGGGCTTGTGGCAATTGTAGAGGTGGGGTATTGGCGATGATGATGTTGAAGATGGTTGTTGCTGTTGTTGGTATAATGATGATGATGATGCTGCTGCTGCTGATGATGCACTGACCTGGAGCGCGCTCTGCTGACTGCTGCCGTTTTTGGAAACATTATTAATTCAAACTCGTTCAACTGATACATGAGTTCCATGTTGGGTTTGATAGCTGGTGCACGGATACGCACAAAGTCATATGCCTCGGAAAGTGACATTTGTTTGGTAACCACTGACGACAGCGGGTTGTTACGAGACAAGTAGAGAATATAGGCAATGACTAAAGAAGCAGACCGTTCAACACCCGATTGACAGTGTACAAGAACATTCACGTTGGATCGATGAGCGTTCTCAAGAATGCGAATGGCACGTTGGAATTCACGGCGAGCCAGGTTGTTTTGTGAATGTGTCCATTTAAAGTGGTGGTAAGAAGACACGCTTGGGGCTGGACTGTTGATTTCGTGAGCAACATTTATGATACACGAGATATCGTGGCGCTCGAGCACGGCGCTGTTCTGAGCGGTGTGACAGGCGCCCAAAAAGAGGTTGGGTAGGATTTGGGCTGGTCCTTGCTCATAGTGTGTCAAATGCTGTGGTTCTTGTGAAGGTGGATTGTCGTCATTGTCGCATGCTGCTTTGCGTATTGCTGCTGGTGTCGCTGCTGCTGGTGTCGTTGTAGCTGGAGGCTGGATACGGCGGGATGTCAAGTTCAACGAAAGATTTTTGTGATTCTTGCGTTTGTCAGCGAGAGTAGTGCTGTTGGTCTTGATGGCGGTAGTAGGTCGTTGTAGAGTAACCATGCAAAAAATAAGGGTGGGTTGGAAAGAAGAGAAAGAGAGGAAGACAAATATGTTCGATGGACGTGGTTTGTTCACACGATATAATGCGAAAAAGAAGGGGGGATTTGCAAGGAGGAGAGGTAAAAAGGGCAGGCTTTATATATATACTGTGCATACAAGACTTGCTCAAGGAGGTTCTGGAAAGGGGGTTGGGATGAGTTAAATGCTCTTCATTATCTCTCTTTGTCTTTTGGGGAATTGCTGCAAATGAAGTGCATGAACGACAAATACATATTATACCAGCTAACTTACTGCTACGTAGCACTACTACTTACTGGTAATATTCACAGCTTAGCCCCTTTTACTTATCCACCTATTAGTGCTATTAATACCACCATCATATATGTGTCACTTTTTACTAACTTACCAACCAGACAAAATCCATTTGATACATTTTTTCGTGGACATATCACAGCCTCCCTTCTTTTCTTCATTTTTCTTGTAGTCCTCGTTGCTCAATATACCATTACAACAACCATTATGAGAGAAATGAAATGACAAGTTTTTATTTTTATAACAATGAGGATGTCCAGTCAAGGGTCGTTTTTACATTATCAGCACACGGTTCATAGAAGAATGGCTTTAACATATAGAGAGTGAGTGAGTGAGATGTACTACTACAACAAAAAGCTTATTTTGTTTGATTTAAGCGGTGGCACCCAAGGATGGGAAGGCAGCATCATCCTGGATGTTGACAGCGGGGGCAGCAGACTGACGGCCACGACGACCGTTGCCACGACCACGGCGCTCGCCACCACGACGTTCGCCACCACCACGACGCTCACCGCCACGGAAACCACCACGGGGCTTCTCCTGGAAGCGCTGCTCGATCTCAACAACGACCTTGTCCTTGCGCTGCTGCTTCTCAGTCTTCTTGACGGGCTTGGCATCCTATACAACCATGCATAGAAAACAAACACAATAGCTTAGTCCACCAATTCATTGGACTGCCTCCAATCCAATGCGAAAACCAGAGTCCTACAGCCAGCCAGACCCACTTATTCCCTTTGGATGGGTAGCGCTGTCCATCCTCTCTGGCCTTGTCTGATCCTCTCACACACTCTCTCGATCCACACTGGACTTCTTTCTTACCTTGTTGACGTAGAAATCAGGCTCATCCTCCTTGACAAAGGCAACGGCGTTTTCCCACTTGGAATCACCCTCAGTACCCTCGTTGGCCTTGCGGGCCTCGGGAAGGACGACCTTCAAGGACTTGTTAGCCTTCTCGGCCAAGTACTCTTCCAGAGTCTTGGTGACTTCCTCAGGCTCAGCAGCCTCAGCAGCCTGCTCTTCAGCACCAGCGGGATCCTTGGGGGAAACAGAGTCCTGGGCACTAGTTTTTTTGAATGTGCAGTTTTTAGCAAACGACTCTTTAACATCTTGAACTTGTGTGTGCGTCTCTCTCTCTTTCCCTCGGCTGTCATATCCGTGTGTCTCGTTGCCCCCCCCCCCCACCACACTCGTTTCTTTCAAATTCGGTACTAAAACACTTACGCTTCGGCTTCAGCCTTTTCGGGGTGGCCCCAACCTTGGTTTTCCTTCTTGTCGTTGTCGCTAATGTAAACCGTAGCACATCAATAAGTCTTTCTGTTGAACACATATATCGAGGCGTTTTTTTCTCATTTTGGTCAACTCACACAATACCGGTACCGCTGTGGCGGTCGAACTCACGACCACGACGGCCGTTCTGCTGGCGACCACCACGGCGACCACCACGGGCACCACCACGAGGGGCTAAATTAAAAAAGTAAACAAAAGGGCGTACGTCAGTTGGGTTTTCCAATTTCTTTCATTGCTGGCACCATAATGTAAAAATATAGCAACATGGTGGTGGTGTGGGTTATATTGGGAGTTCGAGAGCAGAGGGACCGAAAAGAAACGAACAAGCGAGAAAATTGAGAATTTTCCCTCAATTGCTTATTTTTCCCAATGTTGCTGGGGCCCTGGCCAATCCCTTTCCTTTCCAACACATAGACACCCATGTTGCTTATATTTTGCTTTTCGTTCGATTCGTAGTCGAGTTGATTGCGTTGTTGTTGTTGGCAAATAAAAAAATAATAATAATTACCACCGTTGGCCTTGCCGTTAGCGCGCTTCTCGCCGTTAGCCTTGGGTTCATCGACCTTCTTTTGCTCCTTGGCGGGAGCAGCAGCAGGCTGACGGACCTCGTTATCGTCGCCGAGGATATCGAAGAGGTTCTTGGAGAACGTGGCGTTGGACATGACTATACGACCTTTGAAACTGATTCTTTGCGATGGATGGCCTCGTTATTAGGCGGATGGATGGATGGATTATCGCAAAAAAAAGGGACGGTTTCTATGACGAACTACTTGCTGGAATTTAGACTCTCCTCCCCCTCTCTCTCCCCCCACTCAAGTCTAATTATCCATCCACCCCCAACCACCGTACTAATATTCACGACTCTTCCAGGTAAATTGTTGTGCCGCCACCGTCTCCGCTATAGCCGTATTGCCGACCACACTCACTTTGCTTACTTTCTCCATTGATAAGTCTTGCTTGAAGACCCAAGTAGTACGTAGTCAACCCTGCCGGATCACTGACTTGAGCTATATGTATCTCAGATACCTTGTGGACCAATTGTTGACTTTGAGTTTGATGAATATTTAAAGAGACCCTTTTATAGTAACTTGCATATTAGCAGTAATGACATGATCCATACCTGCAAACAACAATGAAGCTTCTGAGTTTCTAGGCGGGTTGCCACTCTGGTTATCTAAAATCTATAACTTAAACCAGATAAAAGAGCAAAAGAACGGTAAGTGAATTTTTTTTCACTTTAAGTATATTGAGAGGGGGGACAGTACTGATAATTAGTGCTGCGGGTTGTGAACATATGACAGGAAATGCTATGCACGGTACATCCAACAGCTTGTCGAGGCATCCATGTTTGACAGGTCCCACCAGCTAGGAAAACATCGAGCACCTCCGCACAAACTATTGCAAATCGCACTGATAAGAGAAAAAAGTGACACGCACAACACACTTTGTATCACACGCAGCCAAGTTGACGATCGTCCTTTTGAGAGTGTAGATGTAGATCATATGGCTTCCCTTATGACCATTCTTCAAGATCCATATAAAGAAAGTCATGAAACGCGACATCTTATATATGCTTCTCCTAACATTTAGTTAGAAAACATGTAGCAAAACATGCTTATCACGGAAATAATGTGGCACCGAGTGACAATCTGCTTCCATATTGGCTCCTCTACGGATCCAGATTCATCATTCATAACTTGAGCCACGATGACATGTTCCCTATCTAGTTTCAAGTTGTTGATAATTCTACTGCAGTCATAGCATTCCTCCACCGATATCAGTAGTTGTTTTCCTATGCCATAAATCTTATTAAACATCTCCGTGCTTGCTGGTAGATGATAATTATATAAAGAGGAGCTTTGACAATGGCTGGTCTGCCTCTCTTCTGTTGGGTCACTCGAAAAAGCGCAACAAGAAAGACATCCAATCTTGACAGGCGCTGCTTCTTCTCTTCCCTTTTCCCCTTTTACACTTTTGCACTCACCACTTGTAGCTCAAAAAGACCTCTCAAGCGATATTCAATTCACTAGGAACAAGAAGGCTGACATTCATCCTCTAATTCTGGTTTAACTCAACCTTCTGTTATAAAAAGCAGCAAAATGGGATCTCTTGTTCGTCATCTTAGTATGATAAGGCGCCAGTGAAAAGATGAGCAGCCAGAGTACATCAGTTCATTGCGCAGTCGATATGATACCCAAAAGTCAACATTTTTTGAAGCGTTGATTAACACGTGTATACGTCTGATCAGAAAAGTACCTCGCTGATGAATTAATGTGGAGTTCTTTCACTACAGCAGCACAGAGCTGTGGAGTTTTCAGTGTCAATGTTCTTCTATCCTAGTGTATACTGTGTAGCCCCTCGACTGTCTCATGCGATCAGTGAGAGTCATGCTTCTAAATAAGTCTCTCAAAAACTGAACTAGTAGTATTGGAAGAAATCAAATACACAGGTACAAGATCGAAAATGTTGTCGTAAATGAAATTATGCGCGGCTGCATATAATTGTTATGACTCCTACATTTTCTTACATGTGTTTTGTCAATTAAATAAAATCCTACTACATGTATGTGCGTCGTTTGCTAAATTGACTTCACTTAAACAGATTATGCAAGCTTATACGGAAGGCTTAGCACAAGGTTAACACTAAAAGTATTAATCGCTACCGGCTAGGGTTGAGCACACCATTACAACAACACACAGTGCAAATCACCTACTTTTGGTCATCTATGATATACTTTATCAAGAAAAAGAAGAAGAAGAAGAGGAAGAAGACTGTTTACGGAAAAAGAGAAAACAAAGTCATTACGGCTGAATGCCAAAGACTTCCTCGAGCCAAGCATCTACATCAAAGGGTTCAGCACTGTGGCGCGGGAGCTCTTGCTGGGTAAGATCAGCTTGCTATTTGCTGCTCACCCCTGTTGTTGTTGTCATTGTTGGTAGTTCCATGGCTGCTGTTGCGCGGCTGTCGCTTGCTCTTTGCTGCAACGGTCACCTTCTTGATCCGCCCAGCACAGCTCGTCGTTATTTCTATCATGATTGTGCTGACGAATTCTTTGGCGCACGAGATCTTGGTTACTACTTTTATTTTTCAGAGGACTTCAAGTGAAAATCGCGTAAAAAGAGAGCAAAATTTACTTCCAAGGAAGTAAAACTTTATTATGATGATCAACTGACTCAAGGGTTGACAGGGGTCACCTGTCAATCCAGACCATGCCAGGTTACACCGACAAGCACACTGGACACGTCGAACAATGGGTCTGCCATCTCCCCAAGGAATGGCGACCAACCTGACATTCCCCTTTGCAATGTGCACACTCCTGGCTACACGTACACACTAGTCTTGTCCTTCTACGTGGCTCTCATGAAGTGTCTTTATTCTACTTGCTAAAGCATGGCTTTCACCGGACTACATTATATAAGCTTGCTAGTAGTGCCTTGTGAGAGTGTGTGTAACCAACGACGTGTGCATAAGTTGTAGGTGACGGTGGGTTAACTTTCGTTTGGCCATACGTATCTGGGATAGATAGAAAGAGATATGGACAAGAAGACAGAGACATCCAAGGTCTAAAGTCGAAAGAGACCAAGAGCGTGTGATGAAGCGTGTGGGGATGATTGGAGCAGTGTGCATGAGTTCTGTCCTTGTGTTACTCTGAGAATAAAAAAGTTATAAATTCTGTTCCTTCCCAACTAAAACTCTGCTCCTCCCCTCTCTTTCCGCTTTACTTCTCCACTGGTTTTCACGCAAGCATGAAGGTCGTAAACAAGATAACTGGAAGTAAGTTCATCACTTCACTGATCACCAAGATCAAAACCACCCGTGGAGGTCGCGTTACCAAAGTGACCACAGCTATCAAGGACAAGCCCCGCCCGCGCCGCAATCGAGGCCACGACGGCCACCACCACAGCGATGACAGCGATGACAGCAGCAACAGTACCATCATCATTGAAGTTGATGTTGACTCTGCTGCTGACCAGGAGCAGCACGAAGACGACGACGACGACGACGAACAACAACAAAAGCATGTCTCCCAGGAGGAGAAGATGGAGCGGGTAAGTGCGTGGTTGGGCAACATCGCGTAGATGTGAGCAGTGCAAACCACTCTCTCCCTCCTTCTCTCCCTCTCCTTCTCTCTCTCTCTTTCTTTCTTTTCTATAACTTTGAAATATACTTTTATAAAAACACTTAATAAATCTTTCCAGCCTTGTGCTGAGCGAAAACCAATATGATTGTCCATTTGTTTTTACTGCGCACGCGTGTGCCATGTGTAAATCGTCAAAATTACATTTCAAGCGGTGTCAACTTGTTTTCTACATTCTCATCGCGATTTAATGAATATTGACCTCTCAAACCCGATTATGGGAAGCGCGACATGATGTGAACTGATGCAGTCAACGCCCTACCATATGCAAAGCAGATACAACTCCTTGCAGTGTAAAGAAAAAGGCGAGCACAGTAACCAGCTCAAGGCAGCTTCTGCCGGGCTTGCTTAGGTTAACCTAGCTTTGAATGTAGACTCAATGGCAATATGAAAATGGAAACACGGTATGCGTTCTCCTTCACGCGTCGTTGACATTTTGATTCGCGTGATTGGAGCGTTTCGTGGTGAATTAATTGGTCAAAGTCACAGGGCTGGAAATCTTCCATTTCGAGAAAAAAAAGAATTGTTCAACTGACCCACCCACCCCATCCAAAAAGGAAAAAAGAAAGTTGATAGGGTCACCTGTCCATGTAGGCAATGTCAGGTTACACCGACAAGCACACTGGACAATGGGTCTGCCATCTCCCGAGTCATTGGGATTGCAATCAACCTGACATTCCCCCTTGCAATGTGCACACGCCAGGCTACACGTACACATTAGTCTCGTCTTTCTACATGGCTCTCATGGAGTGTCTCGACTTGTTAAAGTATAAAAAGACGCGTTTTTTCTTTTACTCGACACTAAAGTTACACAAGGTCTAGGCTATCCAAAACGGGCGCATGAAAGCATACGGAACAGTCAAAGATGGCTGCCTCCCATGCAGTTCTTGCGACTGCGGCTACCAGCTATGAACTGTGCAGTATAACAAATGAGCACCCGGGTTCATGATAGCTCTTCCTGCGAAAACACTTCATTCAATTCGCTAATGTGTGGCATTGTCTTAAGGGAGATCTGCACTGGCAATCGGTGATCCAAGCGGCAGACTTAATTCCTACACACGCGTTTGAATGCCCGCTTCTCGGCATGTAAAAGATATTGGAAGCCAGGGATGGTCAGACCAAGAGATGCAGTGCTCGTCTTATCGTTTGGATGATGTTGCGTGCTTGTGCAGATTATGTAAGTTGCCTGTAAGGTTGCTCTACTGCTTCTTGAATACGTTGTACAAGGCACTGTATTACAGTATTCTCGACGTCCAGGCTGAGAGCAGCAGAGTTCTCTTCAACGCTGTCAGCAGTGAGAAGGTGATCGCGTCCTTCCACATACGCGTTAAAAGCGCGGTCGAGCTGACGCCGCACGATGGAACCGCTATCTTTCTGTTTCTGCTGTTGATGTTCGGCCTGCTGCTGCTGCAATGGTGATGCTTTATAACTACACACACCTCTTTTAATACGTTCGCTGTTACTTGTTATTACCGCAGTGGCGATCCTGGGGACGTTTTTCTACTCACGGGAATCTTGACGGTTACTATCATGCATGCTTTCCCGCGTAGCGCAAGGCTAGCACCAAAATGTCAAGCTCGTTTGTGTTACACACACTCTGTTCACACATGCTGTCATTGGCTTTGTAATTTTTAAAGTGACAACGAGAGCTCAT